ACCAAAGGCAGAAACATGCACTGCTGATCACATTTTAAAAATGTTTTATAAGTTTTATAAATCTCACTCGAGTGAGTGCTCACGTGCCTGATTTCCACTTCCTGGTTTAACCATAGATGGATGGCTCAACCTAGTGAGCAGTTGTTTTAGATGATTACTGAGTCTTTTTAAACATGAAACATATATATTTGTGAGGTGTTTTGTAAAGATTTACATCCTCAGGAGGAACCAATGGGCTTGGACACGAAGTTAAGACCGTATTGAGGGACGGACTGACCTGTTGAGTCCTTTTATGGGGTTTAATCGACAAAAAGAAAAATATAATAAAAAAAGTCTAATCTTTTCCTTTAATCAGCCGTTTGCTCCACTTGTGTGTTTATGTAGAGTAAAAAGCTAAAGCTTTTTCTTTGTCATCATTACGCAACGACTGCAACGATCACTTTGAATGTTGAACTAAAAAATGTCCAAAGTGACATCTACTAATGTCTCGTTTTGTCCGACTGACCGTCCAAAAAGCCCCAAAATATATCCAGATAAATGCAGAATATCCTTAGACTGAAATAAGAGTGGAGTTTTGCCTTGATAGATGTCAAGAAAAAAGTATTCAAGGTCACTTAACTGGAACCAACAACTCCTCCTGGGGCGTTTTTAAAGATTTAAGGTTCTTTCACCAGTTTTCTGTCACAGCAAACCAAATATCTTTGGGTTCTGGATGGTTGGTCGGACAAAACAAGACATTTAAAAGACATCACTTTCGATTTTGTGGGTTGTGATGGGCATTTTTCACATCTTATAGTCTACATCAATCTGCGGCTAACTGCAGGAGTGGAAATCAGGCTCTGAACCTTGACACCGAGAAGTGTGCATATTTCTGTTACGGTCTGCAGCCATACTTGGACCCAGCAGTACTAAATGAGTCCTAATGTGACCAGATGAACTAAAATTTTTTTAACCTGAAGCTTAATGAAAAGTTTCACAAAGTTTTAACCAAATTTCATGACGATCCATCCAATAGTTGTTGAGATATAGAGAACCAAAGTCCCTCCCCTTCCGGTGGACCGCCATGGGACTTTATTTTGGAAAAATATGTACGGTAGTCAACGGCGAGAGACAACAAAAGATTTGATCCCATTTGAATTGTGTCCTGAATCACACACGTTTGTCAGTTTAAATTGTAATTTAAGTCAAGAAAGTCGCAGTTTGTTGTAAAACTGAAGACTGAACTGTAAGACTGAAAATACGTAATTTGCACAAACCCAAATGTTGCGAATGTGACTTCTTATCTATTTCTGAAGCTAACGTTACTGATGTCACTGAAGCTAACATTAACTCTGAAGCTAACGTTACTGACTTCACTGAAGCTAACGTTACTCTGAAGCCAATGTTACCGACGTCACTGAAGCTAACATTAACTCTGAAGCTAACGTTACTGATGTCACTGAAGCTAACATTAACTCTGAAGCTAACGTTACTGATGTCACTGAAGCTAACATTAACTCTGAAGCTAACGTTACTGATGTCACTGAAGCTAACATTAACTCTGAAGCTAACGTTACTGACTTCACTGAAGCTAAAATTACTCTGAAGCTAACGTTACTCTGAAGCCAACGTTACCGACGTCACTGAAGCTAACATTAACTCTGAAGCTAACGTTACTGATGTCACTGAAGCTAAAATTACTCTGAAGCTAACGTTACTCTGAAGCTAACGTTACTGACGTCACTGAAGCTAAAATTACTCTGAAGCTAATGTTACTCTGAAGCTGACGTCCCTGAAGCTAACGTTACCGACGTCCCCCCTGAAGCTAACGTTACTCTGAAGCTAACGTTACTGACGTCTCTGAAGCTAACGTTACCGATGTCACTGAAGCTAACGTTACTCTGAAGCTACATCCACTGAAGCGTCAAAGAGATTCCAAGCTACCAGCTAACCTAAAGGGAAGAAGTTTTTAAAATCCACACCCAAAATGCACAACACCCACAGGTGGGGAAGCACCACTGATGGTTTCTGTGCTAATTGTGTGTGTATTTAGATGATACAGTACCCAGGTTTCCCAGCAGATGCCGCCAGATCGCCCGTTTCAGATGGCAAAACCGTTAAACTGACAAACATCATATGTGTAATTCAGGGCACAATTCATTGACTGCCATATTTAGTCCAAAATAAGGTCCCATGTGGAGGAAAAGAAGTGACGTCAACCTTCCTAGAGCAAAAATAATTTGAATGCACAAATTTAGGCTTGTTTTTGAAACTTTGCCCTAATCCTTGTTTTTGTGTCTAGTAAAAAATGATTAGTTTAGAAAGAAATCACTTCTACCTGTTAGACCTGTAGACGTGGCTTCGTGTGGAGGAGGCCATGAAGGTTGGGAACACTAAATTTAAAGTCCTGATTAATAATAATAATAACTGACAGTTTATTGCAGGTCAGCAGAGATAATCCCCAAAGGGCAGAATCATTTCTCCCGTCAGGCGGAACTCAGTGTCTCTCCACTTAACTCTCACAAGAGTTAAACTTCTGTAGTTTTTTAAAAGTACAATGTGTAATTTTTTTTTTGTGGAAGCTGTTTTAATTTCTGTTCGTTAACCCTTTCTTTCCTCCACAGTATCCCTTCATAATGAGGTGTAGACGGTTTGAGCTTTACTTTGATTTTACTGACAACTCCTGAGAATGTCTTAATTCATATAGTTTGTTTTTTTACAGTGTATTTATGTGTTGTTACCATGTTTTACTGTTGTCTCTGCATCTGTTATCCACTTGTGTGAACTAGAAATTGTTATTTTTAAGTAACTACTATTCAATTAAACGTTAACAAAACTTTAAATTTTCTTCCTCGCAGTGTTTTTCTTTTAACCACATCTTTTCTTTCTAGATCTAAAAGAGTCAAACTACGCTGCTGTCGTGTATTAATTAGGTCTTAGGAAGTTGAACTCTATACAAATCTAATGAATCTGCTGTGGTGATCTTATCTTCCTAAATGTGTTAATAATAATCAGCAGCTTACGTTAGCATAAAGAGGGTGAAAAATATCTTTAAAATCGTGAAAAGCTTCATAATTTTGTCACATTAGTTAATGCGTTTCAAAGTTTTAAACTTGACAGGACTAGCACACCTCTTTTCACTTTGACCGAGACCGCCACCAGTCTGACTGTAATGTTGTAGATACACCGATCAGCCATAACATTATGACCACTCACAGGTGAAGTGAATAACTCGGATTACCTGGTTACCTTTCAGTGGGTGGGATCTATCAGGCAGCAGGTGAACATTGTGTCTTCGTAGTTGATGTGTTAGAAGCAGGAAAAATGGGCAGCGTGAGGCGTTGACAAGGACCAAACTGTGATGGCTAGACGACTGGGTCAAAACATCTCCATACCGGTCTGCAGAGACCAGTACCTATCAGAAGTGGTCCAAGGAAGGCCCGTGTGGTCTGATCCAACAGACGAGCTACTGCAGACTAGTCAGGGGCCACATGTTGACCCCCGTTTACTGCTGAAAGTCCCTACAATGGGCTCGTGAGCATCAGAACTGATGGCCAGGTGAGTGTCGCTTACCTGGGGAACACATGGCACCAGGATGCACTATGGGAAGAAGGCGGAGGCAGTGTGATGCTGTGGGCAAGGGTCCTGCCGTTCATGTGGATGTTACTTAAACCCTTTTCCACGGTACGGCAGTATCAGCTCGCCTCGACTTTTTTTGGTTTTCCATTGTGGAAAAGTGCTTCCAGGTACTTTTTTCATATCACCCCCGTCGAGGTTCGAAGCGAGGTGATACTAAAATGTGACATGAAAACAGACCAGACTACTGATTGGTCAGAGAATCATCACAATACACTGCGTCATCATTGCGCCTGACAGAGTGCACAGAAAGTTTTATATTGTACAATTTGCATACGTTATTTCATCACTAAATCAAGTTTTGAGGTGAGAAATCAGCTGTGTAGATTTCGAATATAGACAGTTTTACGAGAAGTGATGGCGGAACACAAATGTGCTTGAATATTTTGAGTTACTATTGAGTTGAGGAGCTCCGCAAGTGGCTGCGAAAACACAGCTGGAAGGTTTTCATACCGCTCATCTGTTTGAGGAATGTTGAAACGTTTTAACTTAAAAAACAGAAAGCTGTGTGGATCGCAGCAGTTGTGTGTGGTGTTTATTATGACGACCAGCTTCATTGAGGGGTACCATCTATCTGCAATGGAAAACGGAGGACAGTGGGCCAGTCGACTCGGTACTGGAAATGGAAAAACAGCCTATGACACGTACCACCTACCTAAGCATCGCTGCAGACCATGTACCCACTTTCATGGAAACCGTATTCCCTGTCGGCTGCTTTCAGCAGGATAATGCGCCCTGACACAAAACAACAACGGTTCAGGAATGATTTGAGAAACACGAGTTCAAGGTGTTGACTTGGCCTCCAAATTACCCAGATCTCAATCCAAATTGAGCATCCGTGGGATGTGCTGGACAAACAAGTCCGATCCATGGAGGCCACACCTCACAACTCCCAGGACTTACAGGATCTGCTGCTGACGTCTTGGCGCCGGATACCACAGCACACCTTCAGAAGTCTAGTAGAGTCCAGGCGGCAAAGATTACCTACGATCAGAGTGGCTCAAATACAGACTGAATCAAAAAAGCCACCACAGGGGAAGTTGTTTTTTTTTCTCTTTTTATATTATAGGAAAGTTAACACTGAAGCTAAGCTAACTGTCTGTAGCTTTACATTTTAACAGACAGAAATGTGTTGATGTGTTGCTTCATATTAAGGACCCTGCAGGAGACTGATTCAAGAGTTCCAGTTGTTTTGTTTTTCCAAGGGTTTTATTATTAATGAACTGGTTTCGTCTGTAAAAGGACAGAGGTGGGACAGGGAGAAAAACGATGTTTCCACCAGTTTAACGTCTTCGGTCCAGCTTCATGTGTGAAAACAGTCTGTATGTACATATTAAAATCCAGAAACGTCCCGTGCAAGGTGTTTCTGTGTTCTGTCTGCTTTTCTAAAAGTTGTGGATAGAAAGAAGGTTGTGTTAGTTTGATGTCAGGAGGTGGGAATGTTACGAGTTGTTTGGGGTTTGGGATTTGGGGGGGGGTGGTGGTGGTTCGTCTTCCTCGCTCCTGAATCCAGCGGTGACGTGGGGAGGGATCAGTTTGCAGAGGGGTGGAAGGAAAGCTGCTGGGTGGGGTGAGCCTGAACCTGCACAGCTGGAAGACAAAGCATAAAAAATATTTTTTTAAATTAACTTCAACATTTAGAATTATAAACACTTTAAATTACACAGTCACATCATCGCTACACTATGTTTTTGTTAAAGGGCCCTATTTCTACACATTTTTAGGGTAATTGCATCCGTCAAACTATGTCTTTGAAGGGCTTGTGTTTGCCAACGAGAGTCTGACATCCCTTCAGAGATAGACCTGAAAAGAGTAAGATGTCTTAAAGACTCACGTTTCCACCTGTTGTCTTCCTGCAACAACTCACATCTCGCGAGATTTCAAGGCTCTTTCATTGGCCTCCGATTGCATTTTAAAATTTTAACCATTACTTAGAGCCTTGCATGGTCAAGCTCCCTCTTACATCCAGGATCTACTGGTCGCTCTCTGAGGTCTTCAGGCCAAGACCTTTTTAACTGTTCCCAGAACACGTTTTAAAACAAGAGGTGATTGTGGTTGGTGTGTGGTGGCTCCAAGGCTCTCAAGGCTAAAGGGAGAGAGCCTTCTGTGGAAAAACCATATCTTCTTAGACAAGCATTTAGCTAGCCGTATGGCTTTGTAGGTTTGTGTTGTTTTTATGCGTTTTCTTTTATACTGTGAAGCACTTTGTGACCCCTCTTGTCTCTGAAAGGTGCTATATAAATAAAGTTTACCTACAATAACACAAACTAACTGATCGAAGCAGCGGTAGACCAGAGAGGTAAAATTACTGGTTTTATCAATGGAGTCTGGTGGCTTTTGTTAGCGAGTGAGATCCCTTTTGTTTAGCCAAAAACACATAAGTCTCGCGAGAAGGGAGTTGTTGCTGGAAGACAACGGTAAGTCAGTAAGTCATACTCTTTAAGGCGAGACATTGAAGGCACTCGTCAATTTTGGTATAATTTGCTTCCATAAACATGTCTTCTTTCAGACTAGCGGAAACAAGAAAACCCAAAATAAAAATGTAGGTGTTTATTTTACAACACTGTCATTTTGTGTGTGCAGATTTCTCCTAAATTCACCAAATGTTAGCATTAGATAATGCCTCATTTGCATGTTTAAACATAACATTTAAGAAAACTTGTAATAAAAAAATAACTGACTTAATGCAAGTAATCAACCGGAGAATTTTGATGTGGATACCTATCAGTGAAAATGTTCTACCCTATTCACCTTTAGTGTCCCACCTTAAAAAAAGGGTCTCTCTCTGTAGAAATCAGACTCACTTAATATAACAATCTGAGCCGTACCGTGACGAATCCCAAAGGATTACGTTGCAGCCCTGTTTCTTGGCTGCAGGCTGAGGCGATCTACTGGACCAGTTCTAAAATGTTTTGTACAGATTATTTATTTAGACCCTAAAAGACGTAACATAGGGCCCAGGTTTAAAAATTCCCAGAATTACCCTTTAAAAAAACACGCTGAAGAGTTTTTGCTCTTCAGCAGCCACATTTCTGATAAAGTGAGCTGTTTTCAAGATATCTGTGTTTTACAGTTACACTCTAGAAGAAGACCGTATTGTGGCCCAGAGGCAGTCTGTGTCCGGTTTGAGTTTTACCTTGGTGGTGTCCGATGTAGAAGTGTTGTGGTGCTCCCTGCTGGGGGTTGGAGCCACTGCCCTGCTGAGGGGAGACGTAGTGCAGCATGACCGGCGGCAGTCCATGACCTGCAGAGTGGTGAGGTCCCGACATGCCTCCTGCGACGTGAGCCTGCAGAGGACAAACAAGACATCTCATGAGAAACCGCAAACTGGGACCACTGAAGGACACGCAGGGCTCTGCGCTAACCCTTCCGGCCCCCAAGGAGCACTGTGACAAATGCTCAGTAACACAACAAACTTTTATTTGCATTTATTGAATTCGGTCCGGTCTCAAGCGAGTGCGCTGCGGTGCAGGTCAGCAGCAGTGAAACACGGGAGCAACATAATCCTTTCGGGTAAAAGCGCCACGTCAAAGTACGTCCACAAAAGTGCTTGTTTTTGCTGCTGACGGGCTCAGATTGTTATTACAAGTGTGACAACATTATGGAAAGGATCCCTACAGAGAGAGACCTTTTTAAACAGTGAAATCCTCTTTGTTTAACCAGAAACAGTTTCTATATCGTTCTAGTCAAAGCCACCAGACTCCACTGACAAAAATAGTAATTTAACCTCTCTGGTCTACCACTGCCTCGATCGGTTAGTTTGTGTTATTGTGTGACTATGGCGTTTCTAACCTTTAAAGCACAAAAATCATACAATAAACACAAAAACAACAAAGTCACACAATAAAACAAACAACCGACCGACTGAGCCAACAGTAGACCTGCAACTCTGGGGTCCTGCGAGGTAAAATTACTGTTTTTGTCAATGGAGTCTGGTGGTCTTGACAAACGCGATATAGTAACCGTTTCTGGTTAAATAAAAAGGATCTTACTCTTTCACAAAAGGTCTCTCTCTGTAGGGATCCTTTTCATAATGTTGTCAGACATATACAATAACAATCTGAGCGGTTAAAACAAGCATTTTAGAGGAAGTACTTACCCGCAAGGACTACGTTGCCGTAGTCTTTCACTGCTTCTGACTGCAACACGTTCGCTCAATACCGGACCAGTTTCAAAAAATGTTGTTCCAATAAGCTACAGACAAAAACATGGGGAAATAGTGAAGTTCCCCTTTAGTGGTGAACAGATTCATATTCACCTGTGTGAGTTGGCTGATTGAGGGGAAGCCATGCGGCAGCGGCTGGTGGGTGGGGAGGCTGTATCCCTGCATGGTGTAGGAGGCCTGCGGGGAGCTGTGGCCAGGCGGCAGGTTAGGAGGGGTCGGAGCAGACAAACCTCCAGAGTGGAACATGGACTGAGGCTGAGGACCACCCTGATTCGACTGCGAGGGAAACGAGTTGAGAAAGTTGACCTGAATACCCAAGATTGATCAAATAATGTCACAGGAAGGACAGAGACAGCTGAGGCAAAGATATCACATGGAAACAACTTTATTTTCCATTATGTCCTTCCAAGCCAAAGTTCTTAATGTAAGTTAAAACATGTTGTGGTGTAAATTAAAAGAAAATCTTGCAAAGTAGTTTTGCATGTTATGTCAAATTCTGACCAACATAACCACATTGTAAATTTTCACCTGGTTTAGTCAAACTATTATGCTAAAGGACACTTTCATGCTGCCGACCATTTTACAAAGTACACAAAAGCTTTTCATAAGGACCAAATACATTTCTCATAATCTCGGCAGCACATTAACATCCGTACAGTGTGAGTATCTTTACCTGATTGTGTCCCGGACTGGGTGCTGTGTGCTGGGGTTGATTCCCAGTCGGGGTGCTGGAGGGCTGAGGATGATGGAGGGCGCCCGAGTGGTGAGAGAAAGACTGAGCTGAGAGAGAAACACCAAATAAAAGCATTAAACATGCAGTATTCCCCCAGAAAGCTCTACTGATGATTTACATTTAACTTCTGGCTGACATGCATACATGGTTTAAGTTCCCCTGTCATTCAATGTACAGACTTTGGGGATTCTGGCGTAAACCCCGCCTGCAGTTCATGCTATCATAGATTGCATAAACTACAAGCAGGGTTATATAATATTATTGAAGTCCTATTTAAAGTGAGCATAAATGATCCCATGCTAAGGCATCTGTATTAAATTAAACAGCCCTTTTTGTTCATCTATAAAAATCTTTGATCGTGCCTTGCTTATGAACAAACTAGGATCCAAAGGATTTGGTCTTAAGTCTCAACGATGGTTCAGTAACAGCGTAGAAGGCCGGCCGATGCTATATCTAAATTCATTCCTATTACAAAAAGGGGCCCTACAAGGTTCAATACTTAGACCAGTTTTTTTTTAAATTTTTTAACCAATATCATCTGTAATCTGAGTTTTCAGATGCTAAGTCAATATTTTGAGAAGGTTTCTCATTATTTTAAGATACTAACTTATTATTTTCAGATCGTATGTCATTGCATGACTTACAGGACCTATTTTCTTTTTTTTTTTTTTTTTTTTTAAATCACAAAATTCACAGAAATGGGCTCCCAATTTTTTTATCTATCTATATGCAGATGACATTATTTTATACCTCTGTGTCGATTCTATACAACTAGCTTTAGAAAATGTGCAGCTTTCCTCTGCCTCAGCATCTGGATTCAATGTTGAAAATCAATACTGAGCATTAGCGAAGTTTTAACATGGCTTACTGTACAGAAATAAAAACAGCACTTTGTCATCAGAGGATCTGGATATGTATGCACATTTATAAATGCATCATTATGCATTTCCACTTTGGCTTTATCAAGAAATCATCTGCTGTCATGTTCCTAGGTAGGAGGTAACTTACACTAAACCTGATATTTATATTTTATATTTATATTTTTGTTTACACCGGCTTCAAGAACATTTTCTATCATTTATCTTTCAGGGACCCGAAGTCGCAACCAATTACTTATTATGTCATGTTAGGTCACAACAAACCAAACTATATTCATAAAATTCACATTTTATTTAGTTTATAAAACTTCCTGCTCTGCCTTTGATTACATACAATGAATAAAAACATAAGTCTGCTTACCATACATGGCCTGCTGTGGCCCCGGCTGGCCCTCAGCCTGGCCGGGGTACTGGGGGCCAGGAGCTCCCATCTGTTGATGAGGGGCTCCGGACGTCAGCATCCTCGCACCCCCCTGCAGCATTGAGTAAACCGCCTGGAAATAACATTAAAGACAGATTTGTCCAAACTGCACTTTACTGTTGGTCTGCTGAGCGGAATTAAAGAGATATAAACTTTTGTGGGGTCACTTAATATGTAAATAGGGTCACAAGAAAATCAAGGGTCCAGTAATTGTCTAGCAGTTAAACTTGGAAATAAACACGTTTTTACCTATTCACAGACTCTGATTTTTATTAATAAAGGAGGTGTATATGTAATTTTAATTATTTTTAAGTAGGTATTTGATTTGTTTCCAAATATGTCTGGAACTTTAAAATACAAGTTAGTTCAACTTTTTTATATACACTTAGCTAGTTAGAACTATTTTATAAACCGTTAACTAGTTTTACTATTTTTTAATACACTGGTTGATTTACAGCTGAACAGTGGTTTGCTGCCTCTGTACCTGTCCGTGGTAGTGTGGGGGCATGGCCTGGATCACCTGACCGTACTGCAGGTAGGACTGGGGATAAGGTGAAGCCACCAGAGGGGGTCCTGCAGCTGAGGCTGCAGCTGACATCATGGGGGAGTTCTGGGAGGGATGGTGCTCTGGACGCTGTCCCACCACCGGGCCTGAAACAGCAGAACACATGGTCACCGTTTCACCTGGGATATCTGATCATTAATGTCAAAAGGATATTGATAGATTTACATTTATATTAATGGATTTCGTCCTTGCACCTGTTATTATTCTATCTACATCAATTTGAGGAGAAAAGTCCGAAGTTTTAGAAATTTAAGTCCCAATAATGTAAATCATTATCAGAGATAATGATATCCACACAAGTATTAAATCACATTGAATCTAAAAATATGTGCATGCGGTCTGCATGTTAAGAGTTACGACTCAGAGAAGGAGTGTGATATTTGACACAAAATGCAGCAACAGATCATTGATCAAACTACAATAACCAACCTCCACTTGACCTCCGAGCACCTGTCTCTTTCAACTCACATCTAAGCTTTTTTAACTTCCCCTTATTGTTGCGTACAGACATTAATAATAAAAATGTGTGTGTGGTGTTGACCTTTGGCTCTGGGGTATTTGCCCTGGTTGACAGTGGACATGGTGTACTGATACATCTGAGGCGCCTGAGGAGAAGACAAGGAGACATTAAAATGACAGCGGTGGAACAAATCTCTGCTTACAGAAACTAAAGAGGGAGAGAGGGATTCAAACCTGGATTGAGTGCCCTTGGATGTGGATGGGTGAGACGTAGGACAGGTAGTGTCCAGGTGGGTTGCTGTAGATGGCTCCTCCTCCTGGCTGTCCTGGACCGGGCAGAACCACAGAGGGGCTGGGGGGGTTCGGTCGAGGCGGGGTGGGGGTCGGCGCAGGCTTCTGTCACAACACAAGAGAAAGAAACACTGTCAGAGAGGTGAAGTTAGTTTCACAAACACTACATGACAGGTTTCTCATAGACCAGTTTATCGATTGTATAACAGACATGTAATCGAAGTGTTTGGAAGCCATCAAGTCAAATTTTAACTTCTGTATTATTTAACTGGTGCTGCAGCATAATCCTTGCGCTGACAGGCCCATGTTGTTTTTGTGGTGTATAACATATGTGCATTTGACGCATAACAGTTTAACATAGCACTGTAGCAGCTGGATAGAGGATTAGTGACCTTTAATGGGAGAGCAGAGGTCAGTGGTTACGTGGAGGCTCAGACCCTTATCTGGTGTCCAACAAGATGTCTACACTTATCTTATAGAACTTTGCTCTTATATGGATTGGAGCCTTAGTTTGCAGACTCAGACCCTTATATGGTATTTAGCAGATACCTAAACATGTCCTATATAAGCTGTGTTTGATGTACAGAGAGACAGAGTGGCCATCGGGCTGGGTCACTCTCCAAGCTGCTGCAGAGCTTGTAATTGATGCTGAACTCCTTGATGTAATAAACTTTTATGATCAAGAACAGTGTCAAGCGGATTTCTTCTCAACACATCACCGCAGCATTATTGTTCGGACACCACATTTTTGACAACATTATGGGAAGGATCCCTACATATCATTTGTTTAACAAGAAACAGCCACTGTATCACTCCCGTCAAAGCCACGAGACTCCTTTGACAGAAACAGTAATTTTACCTCCCAAGGCTTCCGCTGCCTCTGTCGGTTAGTTTGTGTGCATTTGGTGTTTTTAACCTTTTAAAACTCCAGATACAATACAAACAAACAAAAACACTTAAAGTCACACATCTAACTGACCGAAGCAGCTGTAGACCAGCAACTCCCCTGTTCTGCAAGTAGGGTTGGGTATTGGTACCTTTAAAGTGATACAGATACCAGTGGAGTACTTAATTCAATACCTTGCATAAAATGTCACCTGTTGGAGCCATAGTAGTGGATTGGTAGCTTATTATTATTTGTATTGTTATGGACAAGCAAGGTTATCCATTTTATTTCTTCTTTCAAATAGCTGTTATATAAAAGTATTGGGAAATTGTATCAGATCCTCCACATCCTGATTAGTTCATCCTCACTGGTATTATTACACTGGAAAAACTATAGCTTGGAATGAGAGAGGAGAGAAATAGTTTAGAGACCAAATAAGTTGTGGTAAACGAATATAAGGTAATTTTTTGATACGTGTGTTTTTGTTAACTTTCGATCGCCACACAAGCGTTTAATTGATGTGATGGAACGCAGCGATCGATTAGTGACAAGTGATGTGAACAGCAAATAAAAATGTACAGAGAAGAGCTAAATGATACCAGAAGATGAAACCAACGAAAGCCGAGCTTGTGCTGATAAACTTGCCACAGTGACGAACATGCCTGAGATGCAGCCGAAGGTGAGCGGCTGTTAAAATCACACATGGATTTGGTGCATGCAGCCTTTTTTTAATAAAGTTAATGGTGCAGGCACAAAGGGGGAAAAAAGACTCTTCTCTTTTTTTTTTTTAGTGTGTTCGGATGATACCTTAAAGGTACAGAGTAGCGTTACCCGTCTCTATCGGCAAGGTAAAATTACAGTTTTTGTCGATGGAGTCTGGTGGCTTTGACGAGAGCAACACTGTTTCTGGTTTAACAAAAAAAAAAAAAAAAAAAAAAAAAAAAAAAAAGGTCTCTCGCTGTAGGGATCCTTTCCATAATGTTGCCAGACACTTGTAATAACAATCTGAACCTGTTGGGGCCAAAACTACGACTAATGTGGACAGATGGAGCGCAGTTACCCCAAAGAATTTTGTTGCAGCGCTGTTTCACTGCTGCAGGCTGCAGCGCGCTCGCTTAATACTGGACCAATTTCAAAGAATGTTGTCCCAATGTTGTCCCACACAGACACAAAAACAAGTTCAAATAGGTTGAAAAAAGTGACAGATCTCTCAATACATTCACAAACTTACATCAGACATTAAGAGTGACAGTTTCATTAAACTCACCAGGACTGCGTTTCCTTTTACAGGAAGAAATTCTTTTGCATTTGGATTCAACGTTGAGTGTTTCACTTGCCTGCAAAAAAGACCAGAACAGGCACAATATGATAAAGTTTGAGTAACAGATCTGTGAGTTTTAAGGTTTATCTGACAAAAGGTTATCCCCTTTAATACGCAGTTGCAACGATTGAGAGGAAAACAAAAGAGCTACATGTTGACCTTACAGCCTTGTGTTAGGCTGACACCTGCAGACCCCTTCTGGACAATATATTGTACATACTATAATGTCCCCTCCACATATTTTTATTTCTTGATTTTTGTAGTAGCTTTGGAACCTACAATTTTGGCTTATTAATATTTATTATTATGCACCAAAATACCAAATCAAATAACTTGTATGTGAAACTCTACTCGGTGCAGATTCTGATTAATCAAACTAATCCCAGTTATTACTGTTGTTAATGGGAAGTCATTTTTCCACCGGGGTCTTCTTTAATCTCATTCTGACTTGGGGTCTGATTCAGGAAAGAATGACTACAGAAACACTGCCAATATCAGTGGAAGCAGTGAATATCCTACGACAACGTTTCAAATAAGTTAAATTTATATAAATTATTTCAAACAAGACCAAGCCCCAGACAAGTGGACAGATATTTCGCTCGTCTTGGGGTCTGACCGAAAGTAAAACACAGAAAGTAGCACTCTGCATTTCCTATTGTAGCCAACAGGAATCTCCTTAGAGGATAATTTTTGTGTAACTAGTCGTGAGCTTATGACTCCTGAAGCTCGTGGACATATTGTGATTATATGTGCATTTACGAGGGTCACTCACGCTGATCCAGCTGCAGCCTCCGTACGTTCACTGCCCTCTGGACAGGCCTCCTCGCTGCTGGGGGCCTGCTGGGTCATCCCAGGCGGAGGCCCCTCTGGTCCTGAGGACTGGGGTCCAGCAGGAGCTGTGGGGGTCGAGGCAGCAGGGGTCATGGTGGGGGGAGCCGCCTCTGTGGTCTGCTGCACATCTTGGGCAGAGGAGGTGAGAGTTTTGGGTGGTGCGGGGGAGGAGGAGGCGGAGGAGGTGAGCTGAGGAGGATCTGCAGAGGCCGGACTCGCTGATGGAGAGGAGCTGGGCTGCAGCTGACAGACAGGAAGACGAACATCACCAACCGAGCCCTGAGACAACGTTTGATACGTTTATAACCTCACCGTTGATGTGAGACATCGGCACTCATTTATCAAACCGTCTTACAAAGAACAAAGTTAAAAAAGGAGACATTTTTCATTGACACGGCGTCTGTTTGCCGCTAGCCAAAATTAGCATCGCAGTTAACATGAATTACTGTACTGATGCATCTTTAACCAACCTAGCTAGCTCCACCCCCTCGTCCAAATATGGTCGCGTGTCTGGTTCCAAAAAAAATAATCAAGATGGCAACGACCAAAATGCCAAACTGGAGGCTTCAAAACGGTTGTCCACAAACAAACATGTTGCGTCACGGTGGCTACGTCCACTTCTTTTATACAGCCTGTGGTCACGACCCTAGATTGTGCAAACCGAATTTTGTACCATGAAGAAGATGAAAGAATTTTGACTCTAATGCTGTGTTCACATACAACGCAAATTTAATCCTCGCAACGCTTTCCTTGTGGGAGTTTTATCGCTGGACTACTGTCAAGTACTTGTACTTCCGGCGCCGCAGAGTGTGGCAGCACAACAGCTCCCTCTCTCCTTTCCTAGTTTTTAACCTTTTTTATATTTCTATTTAACTTTTTACTTACGCACTAATTTATTTGCACATTCTAGCCTTTTTTCTTGGTGAATAGTTCTCTTGTGAAAGCTAATTCACTGAAAACGGTGGAGATCCACGCCCCGTCTTCCCTCAGTCGTCATGGGGAACGTCCGCTCACTGACGAACAAGATGGATGAACGCTCGGCTCTGGTCGGCGGGCAGAGCGAGTATCTGGAGTGCAGCACGTTATGTCCGACTGAAACTTGGCTGAATGGGAAGACACCAGACTGCTCTGTGGAACTAGCCGGCTTCTCGCTAGTTCGAGCAGATAGGAAGAAACAGAGCGGTAAGAAGCTGGAGGAGGACTTTGTAAACTCCAAATGGTGTAACCCAGGTCATGTTACCCCAAAGGCAGAAATCTGCATTTGCTGTTCAAATCTCTGTTGAACAAGAAAAAGATTGCTTTCATGGCAGGGGTCAACGAAGAGGCCAGGAAAGCAATCCAGAAGGGGCTGAAGAGAGAGCTGAGGAGGGCTGAGGACTGTTATAAGAACAGGATCGAGGGGAAGCTGCAGCAGAACAACAGCAGAGAAGTGTGTGGGGGTGTGAGAACAGGCCAGCAGGAGCAGCAGAGGGAACAAAGGACCGAGCAAACGAGTTACACCAGTTTTTCAACGCTGGCTGTGCCCCCCTCTCTCCTCTCGCCTCCACCCCAGTCATCACAACCAGCCAGCTGAGACGGCAGCTCACCAGAACCCGGATAAACAAGGCCAATAAACCCGATGACATCCACCCGAGGGTCCTCAAGGTGTGTGCTGAGCAGCTGGCGGGAGTGGCATCTTTTTGACCTCTCGCTGAGGTTGAAGAAGGTGCCGAAGATCTGGAAGACTTCCTGCATCGTCCCTGTCCCCAAAAAGCGCTGTTCCAGCAACCTCTCCAACTTCAGGCCTGTGGCACTAATGTCACATGTCGTGAAGACTTTCGAGAGACTGGTTCTGCAGCACCTTAGGCCCCTGGGTACGCGACTGCCTGGACCCTCTGCAGTTTGCGTAGCAGGCTGACATCAGCGTGGACGATGCCATCATCTACCTGCTTCACAGAGCTTACACCCACCCTGGAGAAGCCAGGGGGCATCGGGACTTGTGGCGCCAACAAACTGGGCGAGCTGGTGGGGATGGAAGTGGACAGTGTGGAGGCAGTGACTGAGAGGAGGATGAGAGGGAAGCTGAAAGCCATCATGGACGACCCCTCTTATCCTCTCATCTCAAAGAGCTTTGGAGGCTCATTTGTGCCAACGCTGGCAGGACTTTATGAAACATTAATTAACTCATCATCAAACTATATCGGTATAAATGGTCTAATTTTATCTCTACTTTGTATGTAATCAAGCCGCCCAAAACGCTGAATTCGCTCTCAGTGTGAACACAGCATAAGCAAAGCTGGAGGAGAAGATCAACAAGAATACAGCTCCGAAAATCAATCAATCCCAATTTCTGGACAAAATAAACTCACTCATAAAATTTTACATTCACAAATACGAACTGGACAGTTTTGGAAATAAGATCGTCCCTGAATGTCTATTTGGAAAAAAAGTGTCAATGCCCAGGCCCAGTGTCTCAGTCCTGAACCCTCTGACAGGACCCTGACCCCTGTATGACCCCTGTATGACCCCTGTATGACCCCTGTATGAACCCTGTATGAACCCTGTATGACCCCTGTATGAACCCTGTATGAACCCTGACCCTCAGCATGAGATTCTTCTTACCCTGAACTCTTTGCCGAACTTGCGGAGTTCCTCCAGCTGGGATCTCTGCTGGACCGAGGGAGCTGAGCGAGAGATGAGATCAGTTACACCACAGTGGGATTAAAGGCTGACATAAGCACTGCTGTGTGGATTATATCGACCTGAAGCCAGGTCCTATACGTATAAAAGGGACGAGTGTAAACCTCGTGAAGGACAGAATCTTTTACCTTTGCTGCTCTTGCCTTCCTGCTGACCGGACAGACTTTCAGTTCGCTCTTTAGCTGCTGCGATGAGGATTTCATTCACTGTGGAGGACAGAGAGAGACAGAGAGGACATATTTAACACATCAGCACCGTCCACTCTCATGTTCTAACTATTCATTAACATCCATATATTTCAATATTTAAATGTTGCTTAAACAACTTGCAACCTCGTCTCTATGTAGCGGTGTCAAAATGTCATTAAAAATATTTCCCCCCCAAGAAAACCTTAAATAAATGTCTCACCATCGACAGGGAAGAGCGGGGTGGGGCCGGATGGTTTGGCGGTGTTTGCCGTGGAGTCCAAGAAAGTGGGGCCGACCAGGGGGAGGTCCTGGGGAGGGGCGTCCGGTTTTGGAGCGCGAGAGACTGGAGCGTGAATAAACAGAGGGAGGAGAAACCGATCTGTCGTCAATTTACTATATGCAAAAGCAAATACAAAATTATATTAAAGAGGTGGTATTCTGCTCATTTTCAGGTTCAGAATCTTATTTAGAGTTTGTACCAGAGCAGGTTTCCATGGTTATATTTTTGTCAGACTTCACATTGCTGCAGCTCCTCTTTTCAGCCTGTGTTGAAGGCTTCGTTTTAGCTATGGAGTGATACATCTTGTCTCTAAATGATCTTTGTTGGGAGTCGCACATGCTCAGTTCCTAGTTAAGGACTACTAGCCAATCAGAAGCAGAGAAGGGCGGGTCAGCGAGAAGCCGGTAAACAGCTCGGGTTCAGCCGTACGTGTTGCCGACCAGCTTGGCAACATGGACTGGAGCGAGAGTTTCAGAGCGGTGAGTTATTAATCTGTATCCATAAAGGTTTAACTGAGCTCTGTCTCTACATCACAGGAACAACTTTATGTCCACTGACTGCCTGGAGGGTAGCTAGTGTTTGGAAGGGAGAGGAGAGCTGTGTGCTGCAGCTCGCTGTTTCTGAGGGCGTGTCGGAGTAGCCGCTTGGCGAGCGTTATATGAGGCGCGTTTAGCTTTAGGGAAGAGGCTGGACTACAAACGAGCGGTTTTCAGTTCAGAGCAGAGTTTTCTGTGGGAGATGGGAACTCCCTTTGGGCTTTTTCCCTTTGCAAACCTGTTACATGCACAATAAAGGAATATAACTCAATAAAGGAGAGGGACAACGCCAAAAAACAGAATACCACCTCTTTCAAAAGTTATAAGAAGAAAATGAATGAAGTTCTTTGTTGTTTGAATGAACCATTTCATTGTTTATATGATTATAAAGTAACTTATCCTTGTGTGTTTGCTGGACCCACCTGCAGGTGAGGACTGGGAGTTGGGGGTCCGCAGGGTCCTGTTGCTCTGAAGTCTCTGGGATTTGGGGGAAGTTCTGGATGTAACTGAAAGAGAAAACGAGCAGTTAGAGCCAACACACACAAACATTAAATTACACACTAAAGACACGGGAGGCTTTAACAGCAAACAGAGGCAGGAGGAGATTAAACCATCAACATCATTCGCTTTTTTTTGCCTAATTAGACTCTCAGGCTGCTGTGGAGGGATGCTGATTGGCTGAAAGAGCAGTGATGGAGATTAATGACGGTAACATGTTTGATAAGAAGCTTTATAATCTACATTTCAGACCGCTGCTGTTAGCGTGCTAGCCATGCTAGCTCAAGCAGTTTATGTTTACAACCCTGCCCACGCCATTTCCTGTCCTCCCCACTTTTTGGCGGCACCACGCAGGTAAAGTCCACCAGGTCGGACTGCAGCTTCGGAGCGGTGTGGGCGTGTACAGACTGACTGACTCTCTCTGACCCTCCTATTAGTTTTATATAGTTCTCTACCTCAAACCAATGACAGCTCAAACTCTTCTCTGACCTTGAACCGCCTCCGTACCTCCGTTAACAGGAGAGCGCGTCGTGTCAGCCAGCGCCTGAGGATGGGAGAGGGAGTGCGGGAGAACGTGATTGGCGCAGGGAGGGCTGCTGGCCGCCGGCGGGCTGCTCTGTGATTGGTGAGGAGAATAGGCAGTTCTGACGGACAGCGGGCTGCTCCTGTCAGACGGCGGTTTGGGGGAAGACGAGCTGGGCGGCGGGTGTCTGGTGGAGGTTGGTGCGGCGGTTCGGCCGGAGGCTCCGGTCCTCACGCTGCTGCCAGACAGGCCGATCTCCCGAGCCCGCTGGGGGAGAGGGATGTATTTACCTTCCCTGGAAAAGCAGAGGAAGGAAAAGAGACTGTGAGGAGAATTCTGGGAAGCTGATGGGATAAAATTCTTGCTTTCAATCAGAGAGGGATTTCGCCCTCTTCACCTTCTCAATGCTCGTCTCCTGGTCAATCCTTTAACAAACAAATCAGCTGGCTAGAGAGCTTTTGCCTACCGTGCTCCCTATTTATGGAAGGACTATACTATATGCTGTTAGGGGAGCACTTCACTTCCTCTCCTAGAATTTGTTGGGTCGAGCTCCTTTTAATATCCTCTTAATCTGAAGGTTTTAAATGAAGCAGTTTCATCTTCTTTATCATTAATTTTCTAGCTTAAGGTAAAATATGATATGATTAATGTGACTGCTGTTTGATGTGTGAAAAGAAAATCTTCAAACATTTTTTTTTTCTTATCAGGGTGAATTCTGAACACCTAGAGGATTGCTGGTCTCAGACTGTCTTCAAACTTCAACTTTCCAGCATTGTAAAAACCTCTTCATCGAACTGCTGTTGTGTGTTTTGGCATCTGAAGGGTGTTAAAGCTCACGGGAACAACACCATTACCTGTTTTAAGCTTTGATTATAACAGGCGTGTTATCGTCTGTAGGGCTGTCATGTAGGGGTGGGCGATCTCTCCACGATACCCATGTCGCGATCTCTCCACGATACCCATGTCGCGATCTCTCCACGATACCCATGTCGCGATCTCTCCACGATACCCATGTCGCGATCTCTCCACGATACCCATGTCGCGATCTCTCCACGATACCCATGTCGCGATCTCTCCACGATACCCATGTCGCGATCTCTCCACGATACCCATGTCGCGATCTCTCCACGATACCCATGTCGCGATCTCACCACGATACTTATGTTGATTTTATTATTATAGTACCAAAAAGTAAAGTTATTAAGTACAATTTATATAAGATCGATACTTGGCGTCCATGTATCGATACAGTATTGCCATGGAAAATATCGCGATACTATGCTGTATTGATTATTTCCCCCCCACCCCTACTGTAATGTCACTTTGTATTTCTTTTACAGTTTGAACATGGGGAGAGTGAACATTCAGTGTGAAATGTTTAGCGTATAAGTGAAACGGTGTTGTTGTGTTTAAGAAGTCTTTATTCTTCTAATCAGCCTGTTTTTAGAAAACAAGTGTCAACTAACAGCCCAAAATGGATTTTATAGGGGTGTAACAGTACACAAAAATCACAGTTCGGTATGTACCTCGGTTTTGAAGTCACGGTTCAGTTTATTTTCGGTACAATAAGGGTAAAAAAATGCAAACATTAAATTGTTTATGAACTTTTGTAAACACAAATTAGTTCACAATTTTTCAAACAAACTTTAAAATTACACATTACTATACTACTACTACTTACTACTATACTAAAAATACTGCTGAAACTACCACCAAGTTCTCCACTAAATAAAATATTCTCTTAATAAAAAATATACAATATGGATTATAGTGCAGCAGTCTGATTCTTTTATTCCGTCTATGAGCATCATCAATCCCAGCTTGAAGGCCTGCTCAGATAAAAATTTAAAAATCTTATCTAGTCTAAAGTCTGTTTAAATCCCTAAAGGCGTTTGCACTGTGCTCGTTGTTTTGCAGTAACGTTCTCCTTCGTGTGGTACCATTAGTGAGTTAGGCAGTTTGACGTGTTGCCAGAAACAAACCCGATCACTGCTGAGAAATGTCGGCCCGCTGCTTTCGTCTTATCGAAGTTTTCCCAAACATAAGACCTTAACAATAAGGGAGGGTCTTAAAGCTCTGGCTTCTCTGCTCTGGCCGTGATGCTTAAGTCACTAGTTAGCGAGAGGCGGGGCTAAAGCGGCTGCTTGTGTAGTGCTGTAAGGCGGAGATTTGGTCCGCCACTTAATATGTTGATGTGGAAACTCAGAATTTACGTATGTTCCACACACAAAACAAGCCTAATATTTAACGTTAAAGTCTGCATTCGGTGCACATGTGCAGCGTTCCAAACATCCTGTACCGAAGCGGTGCGGTACGAATATACCAGTACACCCCTAGTACTTTATTAACCCTAACCTTAGAAATCATAAGTCTGATTAAGGAAACTGATTCAGAGTATTTCAGAGTAATTTAGAGTAAGAAATCATGTTCCAGGTCCTGCACAGATTGTCATCACAATCATTTTTATATCCAGGAAGCTAACAGACAATGAAACGTAATGTTACTCTCACCTGCCGGTGGCGGTGAATCCGGGGCTGGCTCTGTCCTCCCTCTCTCGGACCACGGAGCTGTATTTGTCCTCCTCGCTCCTGCCATCGTCGTTCTCTAAAGAAACCCGCCGGCGGTACTGCAGGCTGCTCTCGATCTCGCTGGCCAACCGAGCCGCTCGGGCTTCCCGCTGCCGGTAAACCTCAGAGTTTGCCCCCTTCTCTAAAGGCATGCTGGGAGACCAAGCAGGAGACAAATAAATGCTTTAATGTTTAAAAAACACATTATTTTTCTCATCCTGTCCGTTTCTTCAGCTCCTCTTTTCTTTTCTTTTCTTTGGCTCCTGTCTATTTAAGTCCCTACCTCCCTGAAAGCCCACTTGCTTCTGATTGGCCAACAGCGATTACTGAAACTGAGGATGTTTTCCCTCTGATGTCCTCCAGCTGCTCTGCCTCCACTTTTGGTGAATTACAGAGCTTGAATGTTACTTTAGCCGCTAACTGCTGCTAACAGCAGCTGCAGCTAGCTACACAGCTAGCCGTCCTATTACTGATTCTTCCCGGAGTGGAAGCTTGGAGCTCCGGGGGTGTGTTGGTGTTTACACCTCCAACAAAAGCTTTGGACCGCTGGTTCAGAGCCAGCTGATAACAGCAGCTAGGGTTATCAGCGGCTAGCGGTTACTGTGGCGTTAGCAACAAATAAACTTCATAAATCACAGAGTTAAGGCAGAGGAGCCAAAGGACATCAGTGGGAAAACCAGACAATATTTCCCTTTCCTTCAGAACCGTAAAAAAGCACTTTCTGTGAGACACTGAACAACCTCCAGCTCCACGAGCTCGTATGAACGCTTCTCTCGAACGTGGGCTAGTTTGTGTAAATTTTGGGGGCGTAAACATTAAAGATCCAAGATTTTATGTCACATCTAGCGCTTGTTGGTTCTCGCCCGTTTTTCCAGGGAACTTTTGCATGCGTGACATTTACATATGAAGGCGGAAACAATGGCGTTTGAGGCTCACCGTCTGTCAGCTCCATGTACTGAACTCTTTTTATTCAAATATGCCAGGGGTATTCAATTAGATTTCAAAGAGGTCTAGTTAGAGAAAATTTCCTGAAGCAAAGGTCCGGAACATCAAAACAACGAACTTGCGTTATCATTCAGTACTATAACCTATAGTTGTATCAACACATGTTTTTAGTCAACAACGGACTGTCAAATCAAATAATATTTCAGTCAGTTTTCACATCAAACTGGAGGGATAATAAATAATAACTATTCAAATAATAAATTCTAAATTTAAGTAAACTAAAGTGCCTCATTTTTAGAAAAAATTTAATAAAAAGTGTAGCTTGAAGTGATGAAGTGCAGTCTTAACCAATTTTATAATAGACACACAAATGAACAGCTGTAATGCCTCCTCTTCTCTTTCATTTCCTCTTACAGAGCTACCACTTTCCTACTTTCTGTTGTTCAGTGAGAAACGTGAGCTCCAGCTAGCATCTAGATCTATGAGATATTCTGGTTTTGAACTGCCCGTGGGAGGAATGTACATGTAAAAATCTGTACATTCTTGATTAAAAGTCATGTGAAATCTCTTTTATCTTTCGTCTCCTCAATTCGCGTGTTTCCAAAACGTCTCTGGTGAATCTCGCGGACTCGACTCGAAAGCATCGGTATGCACAGATTTGATTGGCTGAGCAGCGTCACATCAGACGACTGGAGCACATGCGATTGGTCTGTGAGTTTCCTGGTCCTCTAAACCAGTACAGTAAATGCTAGAAAAGCTGCGCGGGTTAAAATAGAAACGCTCCGTCACGACGTAGTAAGTCTCAATAATAAATGGGCTGTAGGTCGGCGGTCCGGAGAGGACGGCGGCTGGGTCCGCCTATTAGTGACCTCTGAACTATGCCAACAAGGTAAATATAGTTTTCCATTCGACGGCACTGTTTAACAACCTAGGTCTGATATTTATAGCTTGGCCATCAGTTATGATAACAATATACTCACCAAGGTAACAGCAAGGACCAACCTCCCCATTTAATTTTGCTTTCTTATATTTTCACCTTCATTCAAGTGTGTCAGACAGAATAAACTGGCTGAACAGTTCTGCTGCTGCCCTCTTCCAGGTTCCCCAGGATGAATGCTGCCTGTACGTCACTCTGAATAAAGGCTCTGTGTCTAAATGCTCTAAAGGGTAAATGTGTGAGGACAGACTCACGTGTACATGGAGAGGCTGGAGTCGTAGGTGGACTTGACGCCGTACGCCTCCTCGTTGAACTTGAACATCTCGTTGGCGTCCCAGCCGTTTGACTGAAAACAAGCAAACATTAACCCTTTCACCTCTGTAATACAAATGGTCCGCCAGTTTCTACTCTGGAGTATCTTCAAATGCTTCATATCCATAAAATCTGTACCACCTCAGCTAAAAGGTTATGTAAGTCAATAAACCATAATAATTGATGAAAGTATTGAAATTGTGTGATAAATTAAAAAATAAATAAATACATAAATCTCATGTTTTCTCATAAAATTCTACAAAATAAACACAAAACATATTGATCCGAAATATTTCTAAATGTAGAGAGATCAGTAACGCTTGTAATTTATTATCCATGTTTCACATTCACTGCTGGTAGTCCAGGCTGATGTTGTGTGTTTTCCTCTGGAGAGGGGTCATGTGATAGGAGCCTGACGAATCAGGGAAGGACACGCCACGACTGATAAGACACAATCAGGACACTGAAATCAGTCTGTTAGGGGTGGAGGGAACGATATTTTGCAAGGTAAATTCGTATCACGAACGTCAAGTATCGATCTTTTATTATATAAATTGTAGATGAGAAGTTTGTTTTTTGGAGCTAATAAAATTGCTTTTTCAGTCCACTAGACCAAAAAAAAAAAAAAAAAAAAAAAAAAAAAAAAAAAAAAAAAGAGTTTTCCTTTGGGGACACAATTTGAAGTTGGTAAAAACGTAAAATATTGCAATAAATTGCAATATGTTTAACATCACAATAGTATTGTATCGTGACATAAGTATTGTGATAATATCGTATCGTGGGGCCTCTGGTGATTCCCACCCCTAGTGTCTGTGTCACTTTGCGGCCAACGGATTTTCGTTTTCAAACAAAATAAACCAAAACAAAAAACGGCTCGTTTCCCAATTACCATTAGTAAATAGGGAAAAACGGGAAGCTTTGGTAAGCAGCCAAGTAAGCGGTTGTGGGCCTATGGCACATTTGTTTATTGTTATAGGTTGTATTTTTTTATTTTACTTACTTTTATTATTTTTTTTTTTACTGTAAAGCACTGTGTAATGTTTGGAAAGTACAGTTGCGATGATTAATCAAGTAATCGATTAGCTGTCAATTATTTAATTAACCAGCGACTGTTTTGATAATCGATTTTTAAAAAAATCCAGTTTCTTAAATGTGAATATTTGCTGGTTTCTTTGCCGACTGATTCATCATTATTGGATGTCTCTGGTAAAAAACCCAGCTCAGAACAAAGCTCATTTCTCTTACATATGGTAATGTATACGTGTGTGTGTTTCTCACTCTGTCTGACTCCAGCTCGAAGTTTTCTCCGTTTCCATTTCCATCCCACCTCTGCAGAACTTTCTCCCGGTGTTCCCCGTTGACCCGCGATGAGCTGATGGACGTGTCGGTGAACGTGTCTGCACACACACACACACACACACACACACACACACACACACACACACAGGTTAGTGTTATTAGTGAACTTATAGAGGTGTATTTGTGAGCTTTCCTTCAGCGCCACAAAGGTCAACACTCCCTCCATGTGTCTGGTACCTCTGACCGCAAAGCTTAAGTCGACATCGCGGCAGGTCATGGTCACCAGGTCGGTGGGGCTGAAGATCATGGTGTCAGTTATGTCTTCAATCTTGGGTGGAGAAGACTGGCTTTCTCCTCCTCCCCCTCCGCCGCCGCCTCCTCCTCCATCGCTTTGTTTATGAACAGCATCAACAGCCAGCTCGCACTGGTGGTACACAGAGAAATCAGTTATTGCACATGGCGCCAACAAATGAAGGAATCAGAGTCAGGAATCAGTGTTGTGTCGTGGACGTTTTTTGTTTTGTTTTTTTTTGTTTTTTTTACCTGTGAGCTTAAAGTCTTAAAGATTCCTTCATACGCTGCTCCATTTTTCACCTTCACTTCACAGGTGGAGCCCTGTAACCAGCAGCGAGGGAAGCTTCAGTCTCTTTGTACGTGGTGCTTTATGACAGAATCAAGTTTTAATACAATTCAGACAGACAGAACTACTCACCACGACTGCCGTGAGGAAATGAAGCATCCTGGCGTTGTTGTAGACGCCTTCAAATAGCTGCAAACACAGGCGACAGGTGAGCAGGTTGTACAGTGAAGAACAAAGAAACACACACACAGAGCTTTGGATAAAACTGAATCTGTGTTTAATGGATCAATACTAACTTTTTCAGACCAATATTGATATCAATATTAGATAGTTTAAAAATCCAATATCGACATATTGACCACTATCTTTAAAGGATCTCTTGACTTTAGTGTAGAAATGAAACAATCAACTGGTTAATCAATTAGTCAGACACACAAAATTGGCAGCATTTTGTTCAATTATTAATCATTTCAGTAATTTTGTTATGTATTCTGAACTATTGTTTGGACAAAACAAGCAATTTCAGACCAAACGATGGATCAATCAGTTACCAAATTATTCAGCAGATCAATCAATAGTGATAAATAATAATAATATTCATTAGTTGAAGTCCTGATTGTGTTACAATATTAACAAAACGTATGAAGAGAGGGGAACATCTGTGTAAAAATAATCTTGCTCTCTGCTGGACGAACTCTGGATTCACTTGTCTTATTTATCGGCTGATGCATAAATCAATACCAATAAATCTGCCACAAACTAATATCTGTTGATTATATCTGCTGTTCGTATAATTTGTCTGGTTTTAATGTACACTGAGTTACAGATTATATAACAAACATATTTAGTCTGTTTCTAATTTAATTTTAATTTCTTTTGCGCTTTTCCCTCTGCAGAAAACTCCTTAACATATCACACTTAGTATTTATAATTTACATTTATTCATTTAGCTGACGCTTTTATCCAAAGCGACTTACAATTGCTGTATATGTCAGAGGTCGCACGCCTCTGGGGCAACGAGGGATTAAGTGTCTTGCTCAGGGACACACCAAAGGCAAGTGTCTTAGCACTGCGCCATCACCACCCATTTATTTATTTATTAATTACCATTATAAATTATTTCTATTATTATTTTGTCATTTTATTCCAGTCACTTCTGTCTACTACAAATATGCAAATATTTAATTTGGGGCTGAATAAATAAAATAAAATACTCATTTACTGCTCCTTTTAAGTATTTATTTAAACATATTAATAACTTACATCTTACAGCTGAAGTAGGGCTGGGCAATAAAACATTAATGATAATTATCGCGATATCCATTTACAGAGGTTTATTTTAAATATCTTTTATCATTCTCATTTTATTTGGTATTTTATCTGTAAATATGGGGGAAAGTGTCCATCACACATGAGTAGAATATGTCAATATGTCCCTGAGAAAGACACTTAACCCCTGGTTGCTTAGTTGACCTCTGACATATTTAGCAATTGGATAAAAGCGTCAGCTAAATGAATAAATGTCATGTCATGGTTGGAATCTAACCAAGGTCTCCCACACCACATCCAGTTTCTATATTATCACAATAAAACCCTCCAAAAAAAGACTCTTATCAATGTGCTTTAAAAAAATGGAATTGTGTGATATGCAAATCAGTGCATATAAACATAATAAAACATATAACATTGTTCTTTTCATGTTTATATTTAGCTTTGTAAAGGGTCACTGTGATTAGGGATGAAACGGTTACCGGTTTAAAGAGAAACCAGGGTAAAATTCTTGACGGTTACAAACTTTAATTACCCTGATAACAGTGTTCGATTCCCGCATTTTAAAAACTCCCGTGCTGAAGCATCGGCGTGTGTTTGTTTCGGTCAATGGCAGAAGACTCGCTGCAGAGATTTTTTCAGCCTGTCTGAAGTCTGGTCGTATTTTGTTTTTTTTATATAAGAGCGCTGAGGGAACCTAATTAGAATAAAATGACCTTATAGTGAAACAGGGCGAGTTAATTTTTAGCTTTGGTTTGTCTGTCTGACTAACAGCTTGTAAACTGAAGCTCTCAGTGTAAAATCTCCACACGTTGTTCTGCTGCTGTCTGCAGACTCTGTTCGTGATAACGCGTTAAGTAGTTCAGTCTCCAACAAACATGTTTAGTTCGTTTAAAAATCCGGTTGTTCTTATATTAGTTGTCCAACAGGAGAAACTCAGCAGCCTCCTGAACAAGACTCATCCTAAGACTCCTTTATATTCATGCAATTGTGTTTAGGGTCACTGAATTTACTGATACAATAATATAAAATTAAATAATAGTTTTAATGTTAATGGACATTTGATTTTCACATTACATAATTTATTAGCTGTTATTTTAAACAAAAAGTTAATTTTATTTGTGGTTTTTAATATAAAACCTGATGAAATGGTTTCATTGTTTGTGTAAGTACATTTTGATCTTTTTAAGCACATTTTATCATGATAATACTGATAACCGTGATAATTTTGAGCACTATAGTCGTGATTTTACATTTTCTAATTGTGATATAGGTAAAGTAGGTGGGGAGAAAAAAAAAAAAAAGACCGTTTGACTGTAGTGTCTCGCTTTAAGGACCCTTCAGCATCCTGGGTGCTTGTTAGTCATCAGAACTGGTGTTTACACGCAGACCTGCTTCTGATTTTTCTCCCCCGACCACAAAAATCACTTTCACTTCAGTTAAACAGGTAGAAAAGGACACGCCAACAACCAAGAGCCTCTTAATAAACACACCGAGCTGTCACTACTTACTGAACTGCTCGCTGGAGACGACTGGGTCTGTGATGGTGGTTTCATCGTGTTCCTGGTCCTGCAGAGGGTAGAAAAACACAACATAGAGCTAAAAACAGCTCCGACCGGGAGAACAATAAACACAAGCCGCACACAGGCAGCATAGCTACATTTCTAGCTAACAAGAGAGCGACTTAAAACACGTTGACATGGCATGATTCAGCACAAATTAGATTAACTACTGTGATATTAAGTGTTTCTCTTAAAGATGAAGACGGAAAAGCTATGTTGTTGTTGTTGTTGTTGTTGTTGTTGTACGGAATAGTAAAAACCCCAGCTAGCTAGATCAGCTAACGCAGCTAGCTTAAGCGCAGACGTCGAATTTAACAAACAGACGCACAAGACGAACCGCTGAAAAACGACGCTGGCTTCACATTAAACAACCGACAGGTGAGGAAGTATTAGTGTGTAAATTATACTTTTTAGTCATGTGCATCCCTGTTATTCCTGTCTCGTCGTCCCCAGTGAAAAGTCACACGGTTTTGACAGGCCGAACGCGGTGCGCCGCTGAAAAACAACAAAACACAGCTACGTGCGCGTTCGATTTGCTATACCCGGCGACTGGTCTACACGTGATCCGGGTGGAGACTTGCGGGCGGATTCATTTACAGGACATGAGAAAACCAAGAAATAGATTTTATTTAGCTTACAGACGCTTTTTATTTTATTTTAAAACGCTGTTTTCAGTAATGTAAACACTCGCGTCGCGTATCAGCAGTAACTTCACAGCAACCGGGCAGACTTGAGAAGCGGTACGAGCGCACCAATGATAAACCCCGCCTACTGACTTAACCTTAATAAGTGATTGGACAATTTCTGTGTCAATCATTCCTGACCTTGTTTCTCATTGGTTCGGCCTCATATCACTCATTGGGTGATTCCTGAAAGACTGTCACGCTAAAGGTCACGTAAGGTAATCGATGCTAGAGAAAGTTTGTTTTCAGGTTTGAGCAAAGAAATTACCAATCACAATTAATTTTAACAAATGTGAGCTTTGCTAATCAACATATCAAGTAACAGGATGATATTTTAAAAGCGGTTCTTGACTTAAAAAACAAAAACAGATTGAACTGTAAGTATTTGTGGTACTAAATATTACTTACATTTGACTAAATCAGCATAACATTAAATTTTTGACCTTGAAAACAGTAATTTTGGCAAAAAATTAACAAAAAGCTTATCTCATGGCCCTCTTACTAGCTTTTTACAGTTTCCATCCGCACCTGACATGTGGTTAAAAGCTCAGGTATGCACAGTCTATTGGTTGTTATTCTTCTCTTATTAAGCTCATATATGACATGTTGTAATACAAACTGTTGTGCCCCCCGAGTTGCATCTATGCGCTGTATTATTCACACGTTTTGACAAAACTTGAATAATTTCAAGCAGGATTACCTGGCCCCAAGTGTTCTGTTGTGTTTCTGTGTAATAAAAACAATTTAATTTAGAAATATACATCACATAAATAAAGTTTCAGATAAAATAAGGAAGGTATTAAAACTAGAGGGGCACTCTTCAAGACAGATCACATTATAAAGCACTGCAATGCCCTTATTATTTTAGTTATTGTACTTTAAAAGTGTTGCACACTAAAACTGCACAGCGAAGTTTGGACATTTGGGACTCATATTATGTATATTATGTGTAGAACTTTCTACAGCTGTAAATGTGCACAGAAAGTCATTCCCTCCATATTTCACATTTTAATGCTGCATCTATGTCTTCCCTGCCTCCTTACCGGCACACACATATCTTTATTCTTTATTACAATTAGATTTAAATAACAATCAAAAGTCCCTACAATCAAATCACTCAGTAATAATGGAGAACAGACAGCCCCCGACAGTTTTTCCTCATCTTCTGATCATAATGTGGTTTGTCTTTGTCATTTATGCTGTACTGTTTAAGTGTGGCTTGCACATGATTGGTTTATCTCGCTGTCAATCATCATATAATACCTCTGGTCCTCATAAGCAACATGATCGATCACGTTTTTTGGAAATCCCTCCTTGTGTGTTGCTATAATGATCCAATCGACACGCGAGCACCAAATTCGGTTGTTTTCCATTCTGCTTAACGATGTTAGAGGTTGTAAAGAGTTAACTGCAAAGTAGCTCGTTATTTTTTAAATATTATTCAGTCGCACAAAAACAAAAATATTTAAATAAAAATACTCTGTATGAATTGTCAAAATAATGACAATAATGATAAACGATTAAATAAAAACATACACAACACACATACTGAAATTTTAACCATGACATAAGTATTTTTTCTTGCTTACTGACAATGATGGACTAGTTTTGAAAGAAAGTGATGGTCCTCTGTATTTTATGGAATATTGTCCAAGAGTTGTTTGATACTAAGAGAAATGAATATTCCTTGCTTGTCGGGTTGGATATGACTGGACATCACAGTTAGTTAAAAAACGGTTATGAAATACTTTTGGTAGGGTTTGATTTTGAACCACTGCGATGGACTGGCGACCTGTCCAGGGTGTACCCCGCCTTTCGCCCAATGTCAGCTGGGATTGGCTCCAGCCCCCCGCGACCCTGTACGCAGGATAAGCAGTTGACGATGGATGGATGATTTTGAACCATCCATTTATACATGAAAATACATGTTTGATAGATATTAATGTTGAAAATGGATAAAATATTTAATTTCTTACAAGTCATTTCAAAACCAACATATGCTATATTGCCAAAAGTTTTGGGTCACCTGCCTTTACACGCACATGAAGGTCAATGACGTCCCATTCTTAATCCGTAGGGTTTAATATGGAGTTGGCCCACCCTTTGTAGCTGCAACAGCCTCAACTTCTCTGGGAAGGCTGTCCACAAGGTTTACGAGTGTGTTCATGAGGAGTTTTGGCCATTCTCCTAGAAGCTCATTTGTGAGGTCAGGCACAGACGTTGGACGAGAAGGCCTGGCTCGCAGTCTGCGCTCTGATTCATCCCAAAGGTGTTCTGTCAGGTTGGGGTCAGGACTCTGTGCAGGCCAGTCAAGTTCTCCACACCAAACTCTCTCATCCATGTCTTTATGGACCTTGCTTTGTGCACTGGTGAGCAGTCATGTTGGAACAGAAAGGATCCATCCCCAAACTGTTTAAAAGTTGGGAGCATAAAATTGTCCAAAATGTCTTGGTGTGCTGAAGCATTAACATTTCCTTTCACTGGAACTAAGGGGTCGAGATCAACCCCTGAAAACAACCCCACACCGTAACCCCCTCGTCCATCGGATTGCCAGACAGAGAAGCGCCATTCATCACTACAGAGAACACATCTCCACTGCTCTAGTTTCCAGTGGCGGCGTGCTTTACACCACTGCATCCGACGCTTTGCATTACACTTGGTGACGTAAGGCTCGGATCCAGCTGCTCGGCCGTGGAAACTCGTTCCATTAAACTCTCTACACACCGTTCCTGAGATAATCCGAAGGCCACACGTTTAGAGGTCTGTAGCTATTGACTCTGCAGGAAGCTGTCGACTTCTCCGCACTGTGCTCCTCAGCATGTGCTGACCCAACTCTGTGAGTTTCTGTTGTTCCCAATCGATCCCAATGATCTAATGCTTTAAACCCAAAAAGTCTCACATTCACTTCAGGATTTATAATGAATTACATAAGAAATGTTGAGGAATGCATTTTATTTAAACAGTGAAGGTGTGAAATATGCTGTCTTATGTTAGTAACACAACTAATCAGTAACATCTGTGAGGTGGTGTTGTAGTACTTGATGACCGGTCTTAAGACCACTTTTTGATGGACTTGGTCTCGTCTCGGACTCGACCGCATTTGTACTGGGCCTTGTCCCGGTCATTGAGGACTCAGGATTTTATTTCAAGACCAGTCAAGACCATAACTTTGGGAATATCAATAAATTGCTTTTGCATTGTCTGATTTATTTAAAACTTATTGCTTCAAATGCAACCAGTAACCCTAATTATAAATGTGTTGTCCCTGTTAATGACTGTCCCCCCTTGGTCTTGTCTCGGTCTCGATAAAGTCTGGTCTCGGTCTCGACTTGGTCTCAGCCCCTATAGGTCTTGGTCTTGTCTCGGTCTCGATAAAGTCTGGTCTTGGTCTCAGCCCCTATAGGTCTTGGTCTTGTCTCGGTCTCGATAAACTCTGGTCTCGGTCTCGACTTGGTCTCAGCCCCTATAGGTCTTGGTCTTGTCTCTGTCTCGATAAACTCTGGTCTCGGTCTCGACTTGGTCTCAGCGCCCTATAGGTCTTGGTCTTGTCTCGGTCTCGATAAAGTCTGGTCTTGGTCTCAGCCCCTATAGGTCTTGGTCTTGTCTCGGTCTCGATAAAGTCTGGTCTTGGTCTCAGCCCCTATAGGTCTTGGTCTTGTCTCGGTCTCGATAAACTCTGGTCTCGGTCTCGACTTGGTCTCAGCCCCTATAGGTCTTGGTCTTGTCTCTGTCTCGATAAACTCTGGTCTCGGTCTCGACTTGGTCTCAGCGCCCTATAGGTCTTGGTCTTGTCTCGGTCTCGATAAACTCTGGTCTCGATCTCGACTTGGTCTCAGCCCCTATAGGTCTTGGTCTTGTCTCGGTCTCGATAAACTCTGGTCTCGATCTCGACTTGGTCTCAGCCCCTATAGGTCTTGGTCTTGTCTCGGTCTCGATAAACTCTGGTCTCGACTTGGTCTCAGCCCCTATAGGTCTTGGTCTTGTCTCGGTCTCGATAAACTCTGGTCTCGACTTGGTCTCAGCCCCTATAGGTCTTGGTCTTGTCTCGGTCTCGATAAACTCTGGTCTCTGTCTCGACTTGGTTTCGGTTTGCGCGGCCTTGACTACAACACTACTGTGAGGTTTCTGGTGAAACTGGCAGCGACTATAACCATGTTTTTTAAGCAGACTTTTGAAATGTCGCAAAAAAGAAGAAAAAAAGTAAATGAGAAATAGGTGTGTTTCCATCAGCTGGTTTGGAAGCGAATAAACCAGGCTACGGAGAGCGTAGTTACGTCAGTAGTTGACGTTACACATGGCTGTAATAAGGTGGTGGCGCAATGGATAATACTATGCCTTTGGTGTGAGGCCCGGGTTCATTCCCCCACTTTGACCAATCCACCAAAATGTCCCTGAGCAAGACACTTAACCCCTAACTGCTCCAGAGGCGTTCGACCTCTGACATGTATAGCAATTGTAAGTCGCTTTGGATGAAAGCGTCAGCTAAATGAATTAATGTAAACAAGACGTCTGGGTTCCAAATCAGAAATAAAACCAGGCACATGGAACTGATGGCCATTGATCTAAGAAAAATGGAGAGGGGTCCTCAGGAATGTGTTTCAAGGGAGTAAACTGCTACCAGCCATGTCTCCGCACGTTATGGGAATATCCGGCAAGACGCCGACAGCGGGATCAGATGCGAGTTCGCTACGTCAGAACTTATTCGGCAAAAGTGTTTCCATCTCCCATTTAGCGCTCTTTTTTGACAAAGTCAAAAACCGCCTCAATCGAGCATAAAACTTTTTTGGTGAAATTCAGGATTTTTTTCCCCAAATTTTGGCGTTTCCATCAACCTTTTCTAACGCGATACTTCAAAAACGTGCATAAAAAACGTTGATGGAAACACATCTTATGACCGCTAGTCATTTCGCTTCAGAACACTGTAGTTACCCTTTAAACCACGAGTATTCACTTTCAGAACACATTCAGAAGTATGTGTACTTAATAAAGTGACCCCTAAGTGAATGTAATTAACCAATAATAGCATTTAAAGCTTGTAGGAAGAAGAGCAAAAAAAAAAAGACAACACACATCAACCACTCTGTTTCACTATATTTATATTATATCATTAAATTCAATGTAGTACCTGAAACTAACCACACAGGGTGGACAGACAACGCTGCCCGCCCTCAACACACGGTCCCAGCAAAGAGAGAAAAAGAGACAGAGAAAGGCACAAAGAGTTTTGAAACTGAGAAAAGGACACGTGATGATTAGGGGAGGGGTTGTGGGGTGCATACAGACAAATACATGAGCAAAGAAAAGAGCAGTAGACATGACCGGGTAGGTTATGTGGTGGCGTAAAGAAAGAGACAAGCTCTAAACTGAAAGATGAACAGAGGCCGATGACGAGACGACAGACACAGAAAGGCACAAGTAGAAAAAGTAGGTTTTTCATTGACATTTTCTGCTAATTGTGTTTTTTATTTTTTGATGAACGGAGGGTGAGGTTGAGGAGGAGAGGACAGCATGAAAACAGAGAGAGAGTGAGGATTACCGTAGCCTTGAGAATGAGGCATTATAGCAAATCTAATGTATTTATTTTTTTTGTTTCCTTCTTTTTATCCCAAAAAATAAAAAAAAGGCACAAACACATTTTTTTTTTTAAACTGAATTACAAGACGGAGTCGGAAACAAAACGTCACATGGAGTAAGCATACAAAATAAAAAGTGTCATAAAAACAAATAAAATTAATACTATTATTATTCTGACTGTCATTATTATTATTTCCATCAATATTATTGTTATTGGTATCATCAATAAATTCTCTCTGACAGAGAGAAAAAGAGAGAGATAAAGAGAGAGAGACATATATATATATATATTTATATACTGAGTGATGCTGTGAGTGTGTCTGAGGTAAATGTTTCCTGCCTGCTCTCATTCACGTGCCACGTAGACCCGAGACATTACATTCTCTGCCGCGTCAAACCAAACCCCATTCACAAATCTGCCTGTTTAGTGCTGGCTTGCGTACTGGCAAATGTGCGTTCTGTTTATTGTCTTCTCTTTCAACCATCATGCATTCAGTACAGATTAGATCCCTCTTTTAAAAGCCATGTGTAGGGTTGCAGCTAACAATTATTTTTGTCATCAATTAATCAGTAGATTTTCAAATGCGTCTATCAAATGCCAGAAAAAAATACAACAATGCCCATCAAAATCTCCCAGAGAGCTGTAGGTGAAGTCTTCTAACTGCTTGCAGATCTACAATCATATAAATCAAAAAACCTTCAGAATAATCGAATAATCAACTACTCAGTTTTGCTTGCTGGAGTTTTAAATTACCAAGATTATGTCACATAGATCAGTTTTATAGATCAATTACAAGCATTAATTTAAAAAAAACACATTTGAGTTTCCAGGTTGTTTACTCTTTTCAACTTTTAAATAAAGGGTTTAAAAGGTATAACTAATGGCTTTATTGATAGTTAGTAAAACATTTACTATCGTTTTATGTGACTTATTATAAAGTGAGAAAACTGAGTATTTATTAATGGAATACCAACACTTACAAGTGCATTCTTGCAAAACAGAAACAATGGGATAGGAATAGCATTAATAGGAAGTGCTACCAATAATATTAATTCCTTTCAACCTGTTACTTCTTTTTGATGTTTTGCCATCATAATGACTTTCAATTTTATTTTAAATATCAGGTGCTGAGTTCGACGTACCTTCATTTCAGTGGGAAAACACAGCTGAACCCAAAGAGTGGCTGAAATACATGCAGTGGGACTGAGCTTCATCCCAGTTATCCCCTCCCTGTTTGAGCAGGAAGGACGGTTAAAGGTCAACTTTAGTGTCGTTAAAGAGTTTTTCTGCACCAGCGGCTAATTTTAGTGTTTCTGTGTAAAGAGTTTCTGCTATATTTCCTCTGCGACATCCATCACCTGGTGCTGCACATTTCACTTTAATAACATGGCGCTGGCGCAGTATTTAAACAAGCTCACACACTTTGACAGTCAGAAAAGGACCAAAGTGTCGACCAGGTACCGTCAGGTGAGGTGTTGGTGCTCAAAAGAAAAGCCTAAACACTGCAGTTTGTGCTCTTCTTTATACAAACATTGACAAGGGAATTAATTCTCTCTGTGATTATGGACCTTCGCCAAAACTGCCCGCCAACATTAATATCTGGCTCGCTGCCAGAATACGGTGCTTTTAATAGGAGCAAAAAATATAAATAAATAAATGCTTTGATAACTTTGCTTAAAAATAGATCTCAGTCATGATAGCAACAGTTACTCACATAATCACTTCCTCTTTAGTGGTTTTGCCTACAAAATAAAAGCACGAGAGAGCTTGTTTACTGCAATATTGTATTTAGAGCTGAACTGAGCTTTTACTTTGAAAAATTCTGAATGACATTAAAAGAGTCTGTAGCTGCTTGACACGCCTCTGAAAGAGCCGTCAGAAAACGTGATTCCCTTAAATGTCCTCTTCCTGGAGATACTGGGGAAATGAAAAAGCGTTGATGGATGTGGATCAAACAACGAAACAAAAACAGTGCAGCACATGCTGTGATCTGAGAAACATCCGCTGCAGAATTAATTTGTGGAAGAGAGAAAAAAAAAAATCATCCCGAGGTGGGATCAAACACTCAACTTATGTGCAGACCCCTGCAGTATATTATTACTACTTCTTCTTCTAGTGTACGTATTCAACACAGTGATGAGTGTCTGCACTGCCTGAATTCAACCAGAAGTAGAACAAGAAGATCGTAGTGACGAAACGCGCTCTGTAGCCTGTTTGTCCGTTTTCAGCTACTGTAGAAACATGAGGATGCAACGTGGCGACGTCCATGTAAGAGAACCCGCGGTTATGTAGATATAAATGTCTCATTCTAAGGTAATAAAAACATAATGGTTCATTATGTAAGTTCTTTACACACCACTGAAAACATTTCTGTCAGTAGATCCTCAGAAATATTACATACTGAACCTTTAAAAACAGGGTTTTAAAACAAAGTGTTGTTTGCACGGTACAGAATATTTAATCAAAAACTCCGTCAGCAGCATCGTGTTTCTGCGTTGCATGACTTATGAGAGCCAATCAGAAAGCCGAGCGTCTGCGTCATCGTTTCTAAAGTCCTCCGTTTTTGCCTTCTTCACTAAAACGCCCTCCGGAGTTTCAAAACGTGTTTTCAAACTTCTCCGTTTTAGGTCTTCGTTTTCGCCGTTTTAGTCTGGATGGGAGATGCAGACATAGCAAAAGGTCTTTTAAAACGAAAACGCAGTAGCGTGGATGGGGCCTAAATCTGTCTGACGTGACTTACACTTGGATTTTCTGAAAACGTGATCCAGCGTAGACGCATGAAGTGGCTCAGTGCGAACGGTTTCTTTTTGGATCCAGTCTCTCCAACCTGACTGAAAATCCTGTAGCAGTGAAGCAGCAAACGTATCTAAACCCACATCATGTCATTAGTGTTAGTATTATTATACATTCATCAACATATTGTGTTTATTATTGATTTTAAATTCACATTTCACATGTCGGCTTGGTCTCGTAGCAATCGTGTGTTAAAGTTAATACGGAGAACCTTCATGCAGAACCGTTAAGCCAGGATAGGTCATTTTAAAAAGGGGCTCGCTGTGCACCAGCAAGAGTGTAACGTCTTGGGTCTACCCCGTGTGTTTGGCGTCTGGCTGGCGTGCGTCGTCTCGGCAGGACCACTGTGAGGTATCGGGACTGCTGGCTTCACAGGGCTCAAGCTCTCACTACTGTTCACTTGCACGTACAAGAAAGAGCCTGCTGTGAGGCGTACCGGCAAAAACAAAGCTTATCTGACTAAGAAATAAAATAATAAATGTACCGCTAGTTAGTGTTGTAAAGCTGCTCTCACCCGTCTCTCCGTCTGCTTAGTCTTCTCTCTCTCTCTCGTATAGTGTTAGTACTTTTACACCACCTCCTCCTCCTCCTCTTCTCCTCCACCTTGCTAACAAAATAAAAATACTGGTTATGAATGGCTATAATGTACGCCGCTTCATCCACTCTCACGTTCGCTCACACACACACACACACACACACTGTTGGATACACACAAACACACACTCCTCCTCTTCCTCCTCCTCCACATGGCCTTCCCTTCATCAGAAGAAGGAGTACTGGTTGTCGATGGCTCGTGGCGCCCTCGCTCCATCCCTCTCTTCTCCCTCCACTGCTTCTAGTTGGCGGAGAGGAGTGTCCCTGTCCCTCTCCTCCCAGTCCTCCACTCCTCCTCCACTACCGCCTCCGCTGCCTCCACTTCCTCCTCCTCCTGTCGTTGCCATTGTCACCACAGCTGCTCCTCCTCCTCCTCCTCCTCCTCCTGCCCCTCCCACCACCTCCGTCTCACTTCCTCTCTCCTGGGGAGGAGTCGGGGGCGGCGGCCGGCCCGGTGGTAGCGGAGGAGGCTGAGGAGGGCTACGGGGTCTGCTGGTCAAGTCTGCATGGAGAAGAAAGAGACGAGAGGAGGAGAAAAGAAAGAAAAGGAAGAGGGGGGAGAGAGAATGAGAGAGAAGTGTAAATTAAGGAAGGCAGAGGGAGGTGGAGGAGGGGGGGGGCAGGAGGAGGAGGAGGAGGAGGAGGAGGAAATAAGGCCAAAAGTGTAAGGAGTGAAGTGACAGCGTAGTCGGAGGGGAGAGAGGCGGGAGAGAAAAAGAGAAAATGACAGTGAGTGGCCGGTTAGGTGGAAGAAGTCTGCGGTCATGGAGTCCATGGGAGTCATGGAGGCGGTCCAACTCCAGGAACACACACAAACACACGCACACACAGTTTCAACACTATGATGTCGTCTCTTAATCCATGTATAGTGTAAACAATCACATAAGTCAGCGTGTCGCTCTTAACGACCAATATGCGCTTACTACAGATGAATCGGTCTCAGTGTTTATACCAGCCAATAAATGAAAATTATAAAAGAAACGGAGAAACAGATCCATAAATCATGTTCTGAGAGGTGTAGTTGCATAGTTAGTCCATCAGGGGGCGCAACACACAGCAATCAGTTGTACTTTTGTTATATAGTATAAGTTATATATAAAGTTTATTTTTAAACTGCCTTTTGTCATGTTATCTTAGGGATAATCGTTGTTTATGTTATCGGTTTCTGAAAAGAAACTCTCTCTGTATGCGTCTCCTTTGCTGACTTTTTTCCATCATAAACACGTTTCATAAAGACACCCGAACTTGTCTCCTGAATTTTTCCAACCGTGATTCAGGTGCGCTGCACGTGGAGGAGGCGTGTTAATGACCTACCCTATCAAAACAAAACCAACAAGTTAGCTAACGAGTTACATCTACACAGGTGTGTTCACTGTCGCTTTACCTGGTCCGTGTTTGTATAATATCCATCGTATCCACTTTTAACGTAATAGATAACCACATATCTGGTCACCATTAAGACACCTGGGTGGCCGTTAAGACAACTGGGTGCCGTTAAGACAACATGGTGGCCGTTAAGACAACTGGGTGGCCGTTAAGACAACTGGGTGGCCGTTAAGACAACATGGTGGCCGTTAAGACAACTGGGTGGCCGTTAAGACAACTGGGTGGCCGTTAAGACAACTGGGTGGCCGTTAAGACAACTGGGTGGCCGTTAAGACAACTGGGTGGCCGTTAAGACAACAGGGTGGCCGTTAAGACAACATGGTGGCCGTTAAGACAACTGGGTGGCCGTTAAGACAACTGGGTGGCCGTTAAGACAACTGGGTGGCCGTTAAGACAACTGGGTGGCCGTTAAGACAACTGGGTGGCCGTTAAGACAACAGGGTGGCCGTTAAGACAACTGGGTGGCCGTTAAGACAACATGGTGCCGTTAAGACAACTTGGTGGCCGTTAAGACAACATGGTGGCCGTTAAGACAACATGGTGGCCGTTAAGACAACATGGTGCCGTTAAGACAACATGGTGGCCGTTAAGACAACATGGTGGCCGTTAAGACAACATGGTGGCCGTTAAGACAACTTGGTGCCGTTAAGACAACATGGTGCCGTTAAGACAACATGGTGCCGTTAAGACAACATGGTGCCGTTAAGACAACATGGTGGCCGTTAAGACAACATGGTGGCCGTTAAGACAACATGGTGCCGTTAAGACAACATGGTGGCCGTTAAGACAACTTGGTGCCGTTATGGGTGGCCGTTAAGACAACTGGGTGGCCGTTAAGACAACATGGTGCCGTTAAGACAACATGGTGGCCGTTAAGACAACATGGTGGCCGTTAAGACAACATGGTGGCCGTTAAGACAACATGGTGGCCGTTAAGACAACATGGTGCCGTTAAGACAACATGGTGGCCGTTAAGACAACTTGGTGCCGTTATGGGTGGCCGTTAAGACAACTGGGTGGCCGTTAAGACAACATGGTGGCCGTTAAGACAACATGGTGGCCGTTAAGACAACTTGGTGCCGTTATGGGTGGCCGTTAAGACAACTGGGTGGCCGTTAAGACAACATGGTGCCGTTATGGGTGGCCGTTAAGACAACATGGTGCCGTTATGGGTGGCCGTTAAGACAACTTGGTGGCCGTTAAGACAACTTGGTGCCGTTATGGGTGGCCGTTAAGACAACTTGGTGGCCGTTATGGGTGGCCGTTAAGACAACTGGGTGGCCGTTAAGACAACTTGGTGCCGTTATGGGTGGCCGTTAAGACAACTTGGTGCCGTTATGGGTGGCCGTTAAGACAACTTGGTGCCGTTATGGGTGGCCGTTAAGACAACTGGGTGGCCGTTAAGACAACTTGGTGCCGTTATGGGTGGCCGTTAAGACAACTTGGTGGCCGTTAAAAACAGCCTGAAATATCGGACTTTAAAATCCTCATATTAAAATCAGTATCAGTCTTAAAAATCCCATATCAGTCAGGCTCTAGCAAATATTCCATCATCAATTCATCTGGCGGTTTTTGCAAAGTGTCCGAAAATAGTAAAAAAAAAAAAACTTTTCAAGTTGGTGAAATTAAGTGGAGATAAAAAGTCGCAGGACACATTTTACCTGCTAAATGTGTGTCCAATCTGAATAAACAGCAAAAATCACCTCATCCACTCACTCACTCCCAAACACTCCCTCTCTCAGTCGAGTCCGGTCTCACTTACACACAGTCAGAGATGGGGGTTGATGGAGAGTCAGGATGGCGCGTGGTGATGACATCACAGACTGTAGGCCGACTGCCTGCCCTGTCCCGGCCTGCAAGGGATGAGCCAACGGATACAACAGACAACAACAACAGAGAGGTCAGAACACTGAAGCGTGCAGAAACACAGTGATCAGATGGAAAAAGGCTGCAGGAGAAGCTGGTGAGTGAAAGATTTAGTTTCTATTCCTGACAATCATTTATAAGCATATTTACACGGTGGACACTTCACCGACATCAACAGCTTTCACTCAATTTGGGCATAATCTGAAACTTCATTAAAAAACATGTTTGAGATCTAGGATTACGTTAAAATCTGGAGAAGAGAGAATGAGCAACATGAGAGCTGAAGGAGACGAGTTAAAGGCACAAAATGACGTGTGGCCGATGTTGCTTTATTCCATGCAATATATGAGAATTGTAGACAAGCTATAGCTAAACACCGGCTGGTATACCAAATGTACACTTTTGGGAACTGACTGAATTGTGTACCAAAGTACTATATGGAGTACTTTTTAAAGGGATCACTATTTGTCATTCAGACAAGCGGTTCAGAGGTGTCTGATAATGTTCCTCCCTGCTTTTCTGTTTGTATCTTATCTGATTAATACTTCAGGGGAGGTGTTCTCTACCGCTCAGTATGTCTTCATAAACCAGGTAAAAGTCCGGAGGTGTCACGTAACGTCTGCGCCACGGCATTGTTCCGTTCTCTGTCCAGTGTCACCCTCCACTGGAAGCGTCTCAGATGCGTTTCAGCAGCAGAGCGTTGTAACCAACGAAGGCTACGAGTATATATCCAATGAGGGGCAGAGTTATCAAAACTCTGGAGGAAAATAACGGTAGTCTGAAAAGTGACTGGATTCTCTATGCTGTCCTGTCGTTTGGATCTACGCTGTGATGCTTGACGAAGCTACCGTCAAAAACAGACTTACTGCGTATTCTCCAATGAGCGGAGCGGAGAGCTGCGTCTGGTGGACTCACAAGCATTGACTAGAATGGACAAGATGAGCACCAGCAGCCACGGGACAGCCATAACGTGACGCATTTATACCGGCTGTTTTGTTTTTTTTAGGCTGTTACAGGTCCGACCAGGTGAGATCATGACTTTGAGATGCCTAAAAGGGGGCTTAAGATAACGTCTCCTTCATGTTCGCTGGTTTGAAGCATCCTTTCTTTTTTAAAGTGGAGGGCGGGGGCCCACTCCTACCTGGCTGGCGAACAGCGGTGGCACCCACAAAGCTGATGAGCGTGACGTCTGAGGCGCCGCCAGACTCCAGGGGGATCGGGTGCACTCGGAAGTGCTCCAACATGTCAAAGATGGACTGGAACCAAAGGTGCTGCACTCGGCACTGACCGTCCTCGTTCAGGGACAGACGGAGGTGCTGAAGGGCAGAAAGCAAAGTCAAACTCAAGACATTTTGTTTACTGAATTTAATTTGAAAACATCCTGTTTGCCAATCTTTCTCTCCTTCCAGCTTCCCACATGTGAATCTCTGCTGCTGTAAATTGAATATCTCGGGTTTGTGGATTACTGCGTGGACAAAACAAGACATTTGAAACTGATCGACATGTTTCACTATTTCAGGCAATTTATAAACCAAACAGCAAGCGGCAGATTCACAGTTAGTTGCTGGTTGTTTCCCAGAACATAGCACGGCCCTAGACTCACCTTGGCCTTGCCCTGGAAGTTAAAGGTGAGGACATATTCCCCGCGTCTTGTCTCGCTCTGGCGAACCAGGAAGACGCCGTGGCTCGCCGGGCCCCCAGCCAACACCAGCTGAGCAGCTTTGAGGCGGGACAGGGTGCCGTGGAACCACTGACACTCACTGAGCGGGTGCTCCACCGTCTCTGCGACCGCGGCGTCCGAGAACAGGAAGGACCCTTGATAGGTGAGTGGTAGATATGAAGTTTAAAAGATGGTTCGTTTGCGTTTTAAACAGAAAAGACAAAACCGGAAGGAAGTGGTGCAACTCAGCCAATTAAAGCTTTAAAAATACATCTATGGTTCATATTCACCTGTTGCGTCTGGCGTCTCAGCAAAAGGTGTGCCCAGACTGGCCCCGCCTCCTCCGAGAATCCTGTCTGGTTCATCAAGGGGGGCTCGAGGTGGCAGCTCCGGTGGGAGAGGATCCATGAGAGGTGAGGAGCCTCCGATACCTCCATAACACACTGAGACAACAAAGAAGGACCAGACAAAGTGTAAACCAGGGCCAGACTTTACAGACTTTCAGCAGCCTGGTTTTTGGTAATGACAAATTTTAAACAAATATGTATGAATGCAGTAAAAAAAAAGCAACACTTAAAGTTTAATTTTTGAAATATGCAACCTGGTAATACAGCTCCAGCTGTAAGATGCAAACTTTTGCCTCCCTCTGAGTTTCTGTAGTGCCTCCGAATCTTATATTCTTTAATTACAGCAATGCATTGCAAATTATTTGGTTTGGGGTTTGGAGATGGCGGTAAAATAAATTCATATCCCGATAACGATATATATCCCAATATAGAACATTTTCTGTAAATTCAATGAAATATGGCATTTCCAACTGTAACTCGGGATATTTCTCTGCATTATAAAAGTAGAATATCAATTCTGGAGAAATCCAACACCATGACAGATACCATGATAGAGTGAACACCGATACAAGCAAGCAATGTAACTAACGTTAGCTAGCTTGTAGGTGAGCAAACTGACGCCACTTGCTGCTGCAAAGGACAGCTTTCGTGCTACTACAGCTAACATCACAACAACAGCATGTCTTGGTGAACTATGAAGTAAGCTGAATGTCTGTGGGTAAGTCATTTAACGTAAACTGACACACGCATCACGGCTGGCACTGCTGGATAGAGTTGTGTGGCTCGTTTATTATATTTAATGCAATTTCTTCTCCGCAACATCGGCACGGTGGAAGAAAAGACTGCGGTGAAGTTAGTTTCAAGTTGGACATTACTTTTACATTCGATAGATTCCAGCGTAAAACTAATTTCACTGCGGTGTAAAGCGCCGTTTCCTCACCAAAATACTACGGTAAAGTGTGGAATTAATAACGAAATAAACCATACTACTTGCCGTTACTCACAAATTAACTCCTGTTCGACATCTGATCAGCTTTTTTGATCTCACAGAAACATCTCACAAAGAACTTCTGCTTGTTTCATTCGCCAGGTGGAAACAGCTGCTTAAATCATTAGTATTTCATTAAAATAAGTTTACACTTCAAACACTGCAGCTGTACCGCAAAGCTCCCAGAATCACAGACCTTGTGACAGATGATCGATCTCAGGTGTCCCACTGATATCCAGCGGCCCCCCACACACCCCTTCAGGATCTTCCTGTTCACTGTGGGAGAGAGACGACCGTTATTACCTGTCCCTCACACGCTTTAAAGCCCAGGGGCCCCCTGTTCATTCCTTACCTGAGACAGATGCCGTTCCTGATGTCACTCAGCCAGGCTCTCATCTGTACGGCATCACGGGTCTCGATCACGTACTGCGCCGTCCCTTCCAGCTGAGGAAGAAAAACGTGGAGGGTTGAGCTGCTCATGCCTGTCAATAAACTGCCAGATGTCAAATCCACCTCCTTTTAGGGCCCTTTCACACCTGAACGTCCGCACCACACTAAATGTTTTGACACATTCAGTTAGTTTTGGTTTCACACTGCAGTTATGTGAGCGCACTAAAACTTTACACATCATACTTGCGTCCTGTCGTCATCATTTATGTGTCTACACTCACCTAAAGGATTATTAGGAACCCCATACTAATACTGTGTTTGACCCCCTTTCGCCTTCAGAACTGCCTTAATTCTACGTGGCATTGATTCAACAAGGTGCTGAAAGCATTCTTTAGAAATGTTGGTCCATATTGATAGGATAGCATCTTGCAGTTGATGGAGATTTGTGGGATGCACATCCAGGGCACGAAGCTCCCGTTCCACCACATCCCAAAGATGCTCTATTGGGTTGAGATCTGGTGACTGTGGGGGCCATTTTAGTACAGTGAACTCATTGTCATGTTCAAGAAACCAATTTGAAATGATTGGAGCTTTGTGACATGGTGCATTATCCTGCTGGAAGTAGCCATCAGAGGATGGGTACATGGTGGCCATAAAGGGATGGACATGGTCAGAAACAATGCTCAGGTAGGCCGTGGCATTTAAACCATGCCCAATTGGCACTAAGGGGCCTAAAGTGTGCCAAGAAAACATCCCCCACACCATTACACCACCACCAGCAGCCTGCACAGTGGTAACAAGGCATGATGGATCCATGTTCTCATTCTGTTTATGCCAAATTCTGACTCTACCATCTGAATGTCTCAACAGAAATCGAGACTCATCAGACCAGGCGACATTTTTCCAGTCTTCAACTGTCCAATTTTGGTGAGCTCTTGCAAATTGTAGCCTCTTTTTCCTATTTGTAGTGGAGATGAGTGGTACCCGGTGGGGTCTTCTGCTGTTGTAGCCCATCCGCCTCAAGGTTGTGCGTGTTGCGGCTTCACAAATGTTTTGCTGCATACCTCGGTTGTAACGAGTGGTTATTTCAGTCAAAGTTGCTCTTCTATCAGCTTGAATCGGTCGGCCCATTCTCCTCTGACCTCTAGCATCAACGAGGCATTTTCGTCCACAGGACTGCCGCATACTGGATGTTTTTCCCTTTTCACACCATTCTTTGCAAACCCTAGAAATGGTTGTGCGTGAAAATCCCAGTAACTGAGCAGATTGTGAAATACTCAGACCGGCCTGTCTGGCACCAACAACCATGCCACGCTCAAAATTGCTGAAATCACCTTTCTTTCCCATTCTGACATTCAGTTTGGAGTTCAGGAGATTGTCCTGACCAGGACCACACCCCTAAATGCATTGAAGCAACTGCCATGTGATTGGTTGATTAGATAATTAATAATAATTAATGAGAAATTGAACAGGTGTTCCTAATAATCCTTTAGGTGAGTGTATATTGTTAGTTTTATGGCAGCGCCAACTAGAGGCTGGTTCCAATTCGCCAAATGAACATCCTTGTGCGAACATTATATCGTCGCCGCCGGCAGGAAAAAAGGAGAAGACTGCAAACAATCCTTCTGCACCTCCGTTTGAGGAGAGACCAAAGAGGTGAGCGGCAGTTTGCTTCCAAGGCAGCAGTCTGATTCAAAAGATGAGCGGTCATGGGAGATTTAGACTTGTGTCCTTATTTCAATGCATTTCTCTAGAACAGTGGTTCTTAAGCTGGGGGTGGAGAATGCTACTATAGACACAAAAATAGTAAAGAAAATCACGCACATGTCCTTGTATTTTCAGGTTATTTACTATGGCTGGTTCACATTCTAAGATATTTGTTGCCTCTGAAGTTTAAATGGCTAGAGTATGAATTCTCTGAACAAAAATAGTTTTACCGTCGGCTCCATGAGGAGGATTCAGCGAGAAAACTGTGCTGTTTTTATCAATCTGTTTTATCTCTGAAACTGGAGGCCGTGATGCATCTAGGGCCGTACATATCGATTACTTTTCAAGTCGATTAATCTAACGATTATTTTTGTTTATTCTAAAGAAAGAAAAGTTGCCTATTACTCGATTAACATACCAATTTATTCAAAATAAATATCAAAAACATGTCTAATCAATAAATCTATATTTTATTCAGTCATCCGGATGAAGCACATTAGAATAATGACAATAACAACAAATCTTAAAATGAGTCAAATTTCCACGTCACTGCTGTGTTGTGACAATAACAATAACAGACATTAATTAGGCTACTTTAAATGTTTCTGACATGGATTCATTTGCAGTAGGATAATAAAATGTATTTCTGCATCAGTGAACACCTGAAAGGATGCTGATAGAAAGGTGCTGATAATGTGCCGCGCTCGTGTGGCGACAGAAAGTAAACACGATTTGCGGTGCTGCCGTCTAGACAAAGTGCTGCGGGATACTTTCGTTTCACGTGTTCGTGCTGCTTCACGTATTCGTGGACAGCAATTGTGCTGCAGTGACGCTGTTTCCAGTTCACAGAGCTCACGGAGCAGCACGTTGTTGAGTGTCTGTCTGAAATACGCCAAACCTTAGACGGTCGAAGGCGCGGTCTAGTAGCTGGAGCTTGTCCGGGAGAATCCCACGCCGGATGCATCTATTACGTCGACGAATCGCCCCAGCCCTAGATGCATCATTTCAAATTTAGATAACAAGTTTACTATAGAGGCAGCAGGAGATCTGAACACTAGGGCTGACCCCGAATAGTCTAAGCTTCCATGGGCGTAGCCTGATTCCACTGTCAATCTCACAGTCGAAGCTTCGCAGTGAAACGAGGATCACGCCATTTTGGCGATATGGAGGTGCGCAACGTCTGATTTTACATAGAACTACCGGTTTACTCCCAATAAGTTAATATACAGCCTGTTACAAAATACATTTCAACTTTTAATGCTGTAAAAGCATAAAAGTGCTTGAATAAATCCGTAATTGTAACCCTGGGTCGTCAGTGCGCATGTGTAGGTGTAGTGTTTATAAAGGCTATGGTGTAGCCAAGTGGCAGAAGAGGAACACTTGCTGAAGAGACGGAGCTCCAGCTTCACTGGTGTTGTGCCGACACTGTCCGCACCTCGCAGGACTTTCGGGTAATTTTTCACCGTTCATGAACCACACAAATATTATTTTATCATTTTTAAATGGCAGGCTACTTGAAATAGCCCCGTAAGGAACCGCGACGTGCACGCAGTTTTCGGCAGCACGACAAGACTCTGCACAAGACCGGTGAAGACCGGCCTGGTGAAGACCGGGCTGGTGAAGACCGGGCTGGTGAAGACCGGGCTGGTGAAGACCGGGCTGGTGAAGACCTGGCTGGTGAAGACCTGGCTGGTGAAGACCGGGCTGGTGAAGACCTGGCTGGTGAAGACCGGGCTGGTGAAGACCTGGCTGGTGAAGACCGGGCTGGTGAAGACCGGGCTGGTGAAGACCGGGCTGGTGAAGACCGGGCTGGTGAAGACCTGGCTGGTGAAGACCGGGCTGGTGAAGACCGGGCTGGTGAAGACCGGGCTGGTGAAGACCTGGCTGGTGAAGACCTGGCTGGTGAAGACCGGGCTGATGTACCGCTGCTATTTTATTTTGTTAAATGTAATGTGTTTGCTGCATTAAAGCTCATGAAAGGATGGTTTGCATTAGGGATCGACTGATATGTTGCTGAAAACGCCACCTGCTCTTCTAAAAACGCCTGGCTGAGAGCGCTAGGGTGCATTCTTTTTGGCTGAGACGCTTTAGTTGCTGTGATACATAATATCCGTGGAGGTGATGTGCTGCAACTAGGCTACCTAATTTTACTAAATGTAAATATGTCTCCACAAAGTAGGGTAGACCTACTTGCTCTGGCCCTGAAACATTTAGAGTGAGGGGACGGACTCGCCGTACGTGGGTTCATGAGATTTTGCGGGTTCAAGAGTTGAGACGGCTCGGTGTGGTGTTTGTCCCGCCCCTCCTGCACTGTGATTGGACGGCTTTGTAAAAAGTGCGCAGCGTTTTGCCCAAAGTTGAAAATTTTTTCGACTCTCGCCGACCGGAGAAAAGCGTTCAAAGCCCAGCGCTTGTCTCTCATCAAGCAGCTCAGTTTGCAAGGAGTTGCTAAATTTTAGGATACGTAGCATCTCAGCTAAACATACAGATTTTTGCAAAAATGCTGAATATCGACACCTAGTTTGCATTCAAAAAAGTCTTCAGACTAAAAAGACAATTTTCTACGCTTTTTTCCAACAAAATCACCCCAATAATTCCGTATATATATCACAAAGAAAGAAAAAATATTGCAATAGATTGCAGCCCTAACTCAGATGAAGGAGGGGTTACCTGCAGCAGAAAGGTGTTCTCCTTGTCGGGGACCTCCAGCGCTGTGGTGCTCCTCACATCCACAATTGAGCAGCAAGGGACAGTCAGCCGGGGCTTTGACGCCTGGAGAGACAAACCAAGCAAAATCAATAACTGAAGTTTATGTAGTATAAAAACATCCAGGGTTACGGGCCAGACTATTTCTTCTTGCCTTTGCAATCAAGGGAGACTCCAGGAAATAGTCCACTACATAAACGCCCAGTACACTCCAAGTTGTTTTTTCACTTTGGTTTTTAAACAAATGAGATGAGTATATCCTGTTACCTTTGGACAGCTACCTGGTTCCCTGCCGTTTCCACTAGTTAGGCTAAGCTAAAGCTAAACAGCTGCCGGTCGTATCGATCTGCAGCTCGACTCGCCCGTCAGCTGTAAACACAGCGCAGGACTAGCTTCACACCTGCTGCTAAGCTAAGGCTATTTCCTATCGCTTGGAACCTGAACTTGTTTGCAAACCAATAAATAACAAGCAACAGTGACGTCAGCCGACGTCCGCCTGAGATCGTACATCGGCATTAAATGTGTTGCCATTATTGCTTGGAAACAGCAGCCAGCGTGCAGCGGTGTGTTCACAGCAAACAGCTGATAGAGTTAAGCTAAATACTGGGCCAAAAGAGTTGTTTTAAGTTTATCACTCATTATTTCAGTCCATTTTTGCCTCAATACTCTTGAGATATTGAGATATTTATGTTCAGTGTATAGTAGTTGCTCATAAAGTTTATATAATTCTACTTACTTATCTATTCCATTCATTTGTTCTTGCACTTCTGCTGCTGTGATTTTATGCTAACTGTTAAACAGACTTGCATGTTTCTCAGGTAGGTAGCGCTTACTTTAGGTGGAATGAAGAATTCCAAGTAGTACTCCTCTCCCCGCTCGCCACCTTCTCGGTCTCTCTCTCTGAGGACCAGACGACATTTGTGCCAGCGCCCTCCTCTCCAGGGCACGTTCCCGCCGCTGGCCAGAGGCTGCACTGGGCCTGCCTGAGCTGCAGCAGACGTAGCCGCGGCAGTGTTGTTGTTGTCCGTACCGTGATGCAGCAGACTGAACGAGAAGCCAGAAAAGCCGTGGCTTGCGCTTAACTCGTCGCTGGATGAACTAACGCTCACCCCGCCCTCCCGCACCAGCCGGCCCACCTTCCTCGGAGGTCCCATGGCGGCGGCGGAGGCGCTGCTCGGAGGCAGCGTGGAGGAGGCGGAGTAAGAGCCGCCGGGGGTTGGGGTGAGGACGGGAGGAGGGGATCGCGACAGTCTGAGTTTGTCCAGACGGTGGCTCCACTTTTCCTTCTCGCTTCCTTCGCCGTTGCTCCGCCGCCGATCTCGAGCAGCTTCCGAAAGAGACAGAGAGGTGGCGCTGCTTGAAGATGAGGGGGGCAGCGAGGAGGAGGAGGAGTGAGGAAGGGAGAGGGGCATGGACAGAGAGACAGGCATGGAGGAGGTGGGTGTAGGAGGCTGCGTACCGGAGTTCCTCTTTGAGGTTGAAACCAAGGTGGGGTCCTGCACACCCATAGTGTAGCTGTAGCTGGAGGGCAGCTGGCTCTGGGCGGAGTCACTGGAGGAGCTTCGCCAGTGCAGGATGCCCCGGACACTCCCCCGCACACTACGACCCACACTCCGCAGAGAAAAGCGCTTCTTCAGTTTGTTTTTGGAGTTGGGCGTACTGTTACCTTTAGAGCCGGGCGGAGGAGTGACCGAGGAAGGTGGAATCTGAGGAGCGTGGGAGGGGTCCGCACTGTCCACCTCTGTGGACTCTGCTTCCTGCTCTTCTGGCTCAGCGTCTTCCTCCACAGACGCTACCCCTAACCAGCTGTCCTCCTCTTCCTCAACCGGCGCTTCCCCATTGCCAGGAGCAACCATGGCCCCCCTCTCTTCACGCCTCCCGTTGTTCCCTCCCACTGAGGAGCAACATGACGATGATGAAGACGGAGGCAGGACTTGGCTGTGGGCGTAAGAATCTTGAAACCTGTCCCCACTGCGGCTCTCCAACACCAGCCGTGTCGGTACAGGCTTGGACAAGCCCCGTGTCGTGTTGATGGGGGGACACGGGAGGACCGCGCCTCCGGACGCCGACAGGGGTGAAACCGCTTCCTCTTCAAGGGAAGTAGCATCTGACTGGGGAGCCCAGCTCGCCATGTCGTCCCTCCCGGAAGCACAGCTCGGCTCCAGCTCACTCTGGAAGTGACGAACAAACCGGTCGGTGAAGCGCCGGCAGAAGGCGGCTGCTGAATCTGGCGAGTAGTGGGGGTTCTCCAGGAGAAAAGCCCGAAAGTGGCGCGCAAAGTCACCGGCTGCAACGCGCGCGTGGAGCTCACAGAATTCGGTCCAGCTCAGGCAAGGCGAGGGGGACGGCGTGGGGGTGTCCGACAGGGAGGATGGGTGAGCCTGGGGTGAAGGGCTCACCAGAGGCGGCAGAGGGGGAGGCCGGGGGGAGAGGGGCAGCATAGAGGGAGACGGAGGGGACGGAGATGGTGAGGGAGGTAAAGGAGAGGAGTTTGCCGCCCGCGGGCTGGGCGGGGTTAAAAGAGAGCCGTTCATTCTCCTGAAAGGCCGGGGCGCTGACTGATCTGATGGTCTATGAAATCACTTCAAACATACAACAGAAAGCTGCAGTGATTGCACAGCTGGGGTAACTGACTGGGGGCAAATACGGCACATTGGTCTAATAATTTACAAACGAGTGTGAACTTAAGTGTTGTGCTCAGCCCCATCGAAAATAAAGAGTTAACAAGACAACGCACCGGACCCATCCAGGATGGGGTTAAAAGAGGTCAAATATCTCCGAGGATCGACTTTCTGCTACATTATTTTGTGAAATTAAGTATTTTATCATTTTAACAAGAAAATGTGGGTTTCAAACAGCCGGTAAATGATTGGATAGAGGAGGTTTGATGTGTGGGATTCACAAGTTCTGCCCCGTCTTCACCGTCTGTCATACATCCAGAGAAGTTTGGCCACATCCTGTAAAAAAAAAGCACAGAAACAAACGCTTCAGTTCAACTTCAGGTAATATATAGTGCAAAGCACAAGGAGGGTCTCTGGATACTTAACAGGTGAAAATACATCAGACACACACAATTATGAGAACGCACATGTATATATGTGCACACACACACACAGTTTACCCAGCCAGTGTAACAAGGAGGGGCCAAAGCACATGGAAAAAGATGGGTTTGTAGCCTACACTTGAACGTCTCAATTTGCAGTAAGAGTTCATTCCAAAGCTTAATGAGCAATGACTCTAACTGAAATCTACAAACTGTCATGAAGTATGCAAAGTAAATAAAAATAAAAAGATTCATTTAGTTATAATCTAATTCAGTTAATTATGAAATCAGATCTGGCTTGTGTTGGCAGCTAACTTCTTAGATCTTGCGGACCAAATGAGGACCCCTTGTTGCCGTCACGGCAAGGCCACGGAAAAGTGCCTTCAATTTTGGATGTTATGAAAGTACCTACAAGCATTTTAGCATTGGTCACAGACAATATGGGACATATTATGACTAGGGAAGGCCCGGTTACCGGTTTCAAGGTATAACGAGGTATGAAAAAGTTTCAAATCCACTAAAATTTTCCGCTTTACCTATTTTACAGCGTAATTTGATATAATTCTTAGCAGCAGTGGTATTAAATATATAGTGTTCAAAGATAAAAACAGTTATTTAACAGTAAACATATTTAAAAATTACACATTTTAGAGCTTGAATCGCAATATCGTGATAGCGCGAAACCGTGATATTTTTGCTTAAGGTTATCATACCGTGAAAATCTAACGTCTAAGTCTGACTATGTTAAATAAATGAAAAAGCCGCTTTTGTTCACATTTTGGCTTAAAAGTATGAGAGGAACCAAAAACTCCTCGAGTCGAGTACATATACGAGATATTATACAACCCCAATTCCAATGAAGTTGGGACGTTGTGTAAAACGTAAATAAAATCCGAATACATTCATTTGTAAATCCTTTTCAACCCATATTCAATTTAATACACTACAAAGAGAAGATATTTAATGTTCAAACTGATTTATGATTTATTGTTTTTTGCAAATATTCACTTACTTTGAATTTGATGCCTGCAACATGTTCCAAAAAAGAGGAATGCTCAAAAAACACCTGAGAAACAGGTGAGTGTCATGACTGGGTATAAAAAGGAGAATCCCTGAAAGGCTCAGTCATTCACAAGCAGGGACGGGGCGAGGTTCACCACTTTGTGAACAACTGCGTGAGCAAATAGCCCAACAGTTTAAGAACAACGTTCCTCAACGTACAATTGTAAGAATGTAGGGATTTCATCATCTACGGTCCATAATATCATCAGACGATTCAGAGAATCTGGAGAAATCTCTGCAAGTAAGCGGTGAGGCCGAAAAACAACATTGAATGCCCGTGACCTTCCACCCCTCAGGCAGCACGGCATTAAAAACCGACATCAATGTGTAAAGGATATTACCACACGGGCTCAGGAACGCTTCAGGAAACCATTGTCACTTAATACAGTTCGTCGCTACAGCAACAAGTGCAAGTTAAAACTCTACCATGCAAAGCGAAAGCCAGAAACGCCGCCGGCTTCTCTGGGCCCGAGCTCATCTGAGATGGACTGACGCAAAGTGGAAAAGTGTGCTGTGGTCTGAGGGGTCCACGTGTCAAATAGTTTTTGGAAATTATGGACGTCGTGTCCTCCGGGCCAAAGAGGAAAAGGACCATCCGGATTGTTTTCAGCGCAAAGTTTAAAGCCAGCGTCTGTGACGGTATGGAGGTGTGTTATGGCATGGGGAGGGGGAACCTGCACATCTGTGAGGGCACCATTAATGCTGAAAGGTACGTACAGGTTTTGGAGCAACATATGCTCTTTTTCAAGGACGTCTCTGTTTATTTCAGCGAGACAATGCCAAGCCACATCCTGCACGCGTTACAACAGCATGGCTTCCTAGTAAAAGAGTGCAGGTACCAGACTGGCCTGCCTGCAGTCCTGACCTGTCTCCCATTGAAAATGTGTGGCGCATTATGAACCTCGGAAACCCCGGACTGTTGAGCAACTGAAGTTGTACATCAAGCAAGAATGGGAAAGAATTCCAGCAACAAAGCTTCAACAATTAGTGTCCTCAGTTCCCAAATCCTTATTGAGTGTTGTTAAAAGGAAAGGTGATGTAACACAGCGGGAAACATGCACCTGTCACAGCTTTTTAGGAACGTGTTGCAGGCATCAAATTCAAAGTGAGTGAACACATTTTATAGACCAAACAACTAATCGATTAACGGACAGATCAGTCGTCAATGAAAGTAATCGTTAGTTGCTGCCCTACTTCTTACATGTTCATCTTCAATTACCATAATGCAATAATAATGTGTACTTTTAATTATGATGCTTTAAGCACATTTTAATGATAATACTTTGACTAAACCAGACTGTTAAGGAGTTTTATTTGTAACTGAATGTCTTCATATTTTCTACATTAACTTAGGGTTGGGTGATACGGCCACACACGTTCTTTCAAGTTTAAAGTTTGATTTTTTGCTCCAGAGTGAAAGTTGATGAAACCAGATGGTTAATTGTGGTTATAAATTCTTCTTTCTGGTCAGAACAAACACTTGATGTCAAACAGTGGATCACTTAACAAATCTGAGGCAAAACTATTATCATAAAATATGCAAATATTTAAAATTTAAGTATTTTGCGGTCCCTTTTTTCCTCAACAGCTTATCTGTGATTTAATTTAATTAATTCAGACATTTATTGAACATTTCTTATGTTGTTATTGAGGAAAATTATATTGCGATAATTATCATTATTGTTGTATTGCACAGCCCTACTTTAACTTAACTATCAGAAAACTTATTTCCACACTTGCATACTGTAGAGACACACATTCATTTATCTTCAGAGGATGAAACATCCAAGTTAACTTGCAGTAAAGTTAGTTTATTTTTACTATATCTAACTTAGCTTATGTGATGGTAAATAGATTGAGGCATGTGAGAAGCTTGCATACTCGTCGTTAAAGTTTAATGATAATACTTTTACTTAACCAGAATTTAACTTAAGGATTTTTAAAGATGTTAATTTCAAATCTTTGTATTTTCTCATAGCCCTACTTTAAAATACATTTTTGATGATAAAACTTTTACTTAACCAAAACTTTAAAAGGACTTTTACTTCTAATTTATTACCTATAACACAGTTATACTCTAACTTGACAGAAAACTTATTTACACACCGTTTACTGCACAAACACACATTAATTTATCTCCAGAGGAAACATCATAACTAGCAGTAAAGGTTAAGTTTTATCTTGCTGGATGTCTGTATGATGTAAACGATTATATCTAAATTAGCTTATGTGATGGCAAATCAAATGATGCATGAGAGGAGCATGCAGACTCTGTCGTTAACGTTTAATGATATCCTAATACTTTTTCTTAACCAGAAGGATTTTTAATGCAGGACTTTTATTTTCTCACAGTGCTACTTTTACTTAACTATCAGAAAATGTATTTCCCCGCTGCTTATTGTAGTTACACACATTAATTTATCTCCAGAGGATGAAACATCAAAGTTAACTAGCAGTAAAGTTAAGTTAAAGTTTATTCTTGCTGGATGTCTATCTGATTTTAGCTGGAACTACTGTAAACCATTATATATAACTTAGCTTATGTGATGGCAAATCAAATGATGCATGAGAGGAGCATGCACACTCTGTTATTAACGTTTAATAATATCCTAATACTTTGTACTTAACCAGAATTTTTAATGCAGGACTTTTATTTCTAATTTATTATCTTTATATTTTCTCACAGTGCTACTTTTACTTAACTAACAGAAAACTTGTGTCCCCGCTGCTTATTGTAGTTACACACATTCATTTACCTCCAGAGGATGAAACATCCAAGTTAACCAGCAGTAAAGTTAAGATAAAGTTTGTTTTTTCTGGATGTCCATCTACTCTAAACCATTATATAAAGCTTATGTGATGGCAAATCAAATGAGGCATGTGAGGAGTTAAACATTTCTTACAAATTAACTAGCAACTGGTCGGGAAAAACAAGACAGGCAGGTAGCAGAACAGATAAATACAACTAACGATGAGTAAGATGAATATTATTAAGATCAGCTCGCTAGCTCGTTAGCATGAATTAGCAATGTGAGTGTTGCTCATTCAGCTTTCTTTAAAGACGTGTAAACGTTCGCTAGCTAACAAACGTCCACTTGCTTACCTGGTGTTAATTAGCATCTTTATTTTGCAATGTTGGTTTGATACACCTTATTCTGCGGTGACTGATGTAACCTGTCGCAGACATTAGCACGTACTGAATCGTCCAACAGCAGCTAGTAACACGAAAGATTCTTTAGCGAGCTAACGCTAACCGTTAGCCAGCTAGCTAGCTATTAATAAACCAGCTAGCTAGCTTATCAATATTGCTTCACCACAATGTTACTGCGTTTTCTCTACCTGCACACCACAGTCCAGTGTTCTCATCTGTGTCTTTTGGTGAAACTGGCGCACATTTCATCACTCGTTAAGTCTACATAACGGGATAATACTTCTCGTAAAAGGTTGTTGTTGTTGTTGCTAAATATGAATATTGCTAAAGCCTTGCCTGGACCCCGTTCTTCTCGCGCTGTCCCTCCCGTTTCTCGCGATACTTGGCAGGGTCAGCGTTCAGATCTCACAGCTGTCCTTAGACAGAAAGAAACCGCTGGATTTTCCTCTGAGGAGTCTCTTCCCGAAGCTGTGACGGTAAAGTAGAAGACTGAAAAATAGACACACACCATCCACCCAACTTTCAGACAAACACACTAACCCGGTGTGGGTCCATCACTGAGGCCCAATACCTCTCCACCCTGCCGGGGTCCCACATCACCGACCAACACCAGTCCATCCACTGCGCTGTCATCGATCTGTGTTTTGCATAATGCATGTGGCTAGATGCATCACGGGGCTGGGATTTATGGAGATATATAATGCAAAGGACGCATCCTGTACTTGGGTACAGATTTCCTGGTTAAATATTACTTAGGCTACCAGTTAAAAATACTTTGGTATCAAAAGTAAAAAAGTAGCCTATGTTGACAATGACAAAAAGAATTTCAAAAATACAGCAGGCAAACTTTCCAATTTGTTAGACAATGGTATTCATTACATACTTAAATAAAATGACTAATACCACACTGTAAATAACGTTTCTTATTTCTATATTATACATTATTCTGAAATGGACTCTTCTGCACTAAGATTTAATTTTTTTTAAAGTTCCAATGGAATATTAGTATTACTCTTAGTATGGTTATGTTTGTCAGGGGCTGCTGACATGATGAACAGAATTTAAAGAATTATTATTAAAATAGTTGCCTAATAAATTTCTGTCAATCAACTAATAATTTCAGCTGTACTCGTATAAACTGTTAGTTTTAGTTACGGTTAATTTATTTATAGGCTAACAAAACTACATTTAGGTGACAAATATTGTACTTTTTTACTCCACTTCATTGATTTTAAAGCTTTACTTAATTTGCACATTCAGATTAATACAAGGCACGTTTCCATTTCATATAATATAATGTACAATAAGGTTTCTTATTTTATTTTATAACAAAAATTATTCTGACATGGACCCTTCTGCACAATGAGTTTAAATAAAACATCAAGTCAGCTAACCTTATTATTACAACTATCAAAAGTACTATTAGTATGGTAAAGTTTGTTTGTCTGGGGTTGCTCATGTGACAAACAGAATTTAAAAAACCATAATCAAAATAGTTGGCAATTAATTTCTATCAATCAACGAATTGTACTCGTATAAAGTGTGAGTAGGTTAATATATAAGAAAAAAATCATTCGCATGTTTTGAGTGTAAAAATCTTATTTTGTCAAAGTGTCAGAGGTAAATGTACAATATTTCCCTCTGAGATGTGATGGAGTAAGAAGTAGAAAGAGGCACGAACAGGAAAATACTGGAGTAAAGTACAATTAATTTGTACTTAAGTACAGTACCTGAGTAAATGTACTTAGTTACTGTCTATAACCAGTAGTGAAAAGTCACTTTAGTCGACTCAAGTACGATCTTATGTTTTATTGCTTGAGTATTTTACTGTTTTGTGTTGTTGTTGTTGATAAAACAGGTGTTATTTACACTGAGGGTGCTGGTGACATGTCCCCACCACTTTTTAAAAGCGTAAGTTGTTACATAAGAAATGTTAAATAATCTGATTACAAGACACTGATAATATTCCATTATATTTTTATATTTATATTTTGAATTGTCACCTGCCACCTGAATTTTGTGTTTCCCATTAAATAAACATATTTCCATCATAAATTGGTGCAGAAACTTTATCCAGAGTGCTTGGATATAAAAAAAACTTGTTATTATTCTATTGAATCTGTTTATCTTTATTGCGATGTCCAGCAAGGCAAATATATTTACATTTTTAGAATTTTTACAACTCATACATTAACTTAGGACAAAAACGTGAACATCTAATAACAGTTACAGTTAATTCTAAACAACAGTTTTGATCAGAGATAAACAATTTTTTTTACAAGGAAGATATCTTAAACTTTTGGATCCTTATGTGTCACAAATAAAAGGACATTTGACCGTGAGACATATAGTTTCAGCTGTATGTTAAACATCTGCAGTAAACTATATTTACATGGAAGAACTTATTCATCACCACATCTTAAAAAAGGACACTTATGAACATAAGACAGGAGGTTACAGTGGTATTTCAAACAGTCCCGGTGATCTTAGAGTCCATGTGAAGGGCCACTTTAGTCCACCTCCTCAATGGTGGGCCCCTGGGAGCCGGCTCGTGCCTGCTCTCCACAGCTTCCAGCGGGCATTCCTCCCTGATACAACTTGCTGATGATGGGGTTACACACTTTCTCCAGCTCCTTCTGCTGGTGCTGGTACTCCTCTTTATCAGCCAGCTGGTTGTTCTCCAGCCAGCTGATGGTCTCGTCACACTTCTCAATCAGCTTCTTCCGGTCCTCCTCGCTAATTTGGCCCTTCACCTTCTCGTCCTGCACGGCGCTCTTCGTGTTGAAGGCGTAGGACTCCAGGGAGTTCTTGGCGGAGACTTTCTCCCTCTGAAGGTCGTCCTCAGCTTTGTATTTGTCGGCGTCCTGCACCATCCTCTCGATCTCTTCCTTGCTCAGCCGGCCCTTATCGTTGGTGATGGTGATCTTGTTCTCTTTGCCGGTGCTTTTGTCCACCGCAGACACGTTCAAAATGCCGTTGGCGTCCACGTCGAAGGTGACCTCGATCTGCGGGACCCCTCGCGGAGCGGGCGGGATTCCCGTCAGCTCAAACCTGCCCAGCAGGTTGTTGTCCTTGGTCATGGCTCTTTCCCCTTCGTAGACCTGGATCAGGACCCCGGGCTGGTTGTCGGAGTAGGTGCTGAAGATCTGGGTCTGTTTAGTGGGGATGGTGGTGTTGCGCTTAATCAGGGACGTCATGACTCCTCCGGCCGTCTCGATACCCAGGGACAGAGGCGCCACGTCCAGCAGCAGCAGGTCCTGGACGTTGCCCGAGGTATCACCCGTGAGGATGGCGGCCTGGACGGCGGCGCCGTAAGCCACCGCCTCGTCTGGGTTGATGCTCTTGTTCAGCTCCCTGCCGTTGAAGAAATCCTGCAGGAGCTTCTGGACTTTGGGGATTCGGGTGGAGCCTCCCACCAGGACGACGTCGTGGATCTGCCCCTTGTCCATTTTGGCGTCCTTCAGGGCTTTCTCCACGGGCTCCAACGTTCCCCTGAACAGGTCGGAGCACAGCTCCTCAAAGCGAGCCCTGGTGATGGAGGTGTAGAAGTCGACGCCCTCAAACAGAGAATCGATCTCGAGGCTGGCCTGGGAGCTGGAGGACAGGGTTCTCTTGGCCCTCTCGCAAGCTGTGCGCAGCCTCCTCAAGGCCCTCTTGTTCTGGCTGATGTCCTTCTTGTGTTTCCTCTTGAACTCCTCCACAAAGTGGTTGACCATGCGGTTGTCAAAGTCTTCTCCGCCCAGGTGAGTGTCTCCGGCCGTGGCTTTGACCTCGAAGATCCCGTCTTCGATGGTGAGGACGGACACGTCGAAGGTGCCTCCGCCCAGGTCGAAGATCAGGACGTTGCGCTCTCCCGACTTGCCTTTGTCCAGACCGTAGGCGATGGCGGCTGCCGTCGGCTCGTTGATGATCCTCAGGACGTTCAGTCCTGCGATGACGCCCGCGTCTTTAGTCGCCTGCCGCTGGGAGTCGTTGAAGTACGCCGGGACCGTGATGACCGCGTTGGACACCTTGTGGCCGAGGTAGGCCTCAGCGATCTCCTTCATCTTCACCAGGACCATGGAGGAGATCTCCTCGGGGTTGAAGGTTTTGTCCTCCCCTTTGTACTCCACCTGGATTTTGGGCTTCCCTCCGTCTCCGACCACCTTGAAGGACCAGTGCTTCATGTCAGCCTGCACCACTGGATCGTCCATCTTTCTCCCAATCAGTCTCTTGGCATCGAACACGGTGTTGCTGGGGTTCAGAGCCACCTGGTTCTTGGCCGAGTCCCCGATCAGCCTCTCGGAGTCGGTGAACGCCACATAGCTGGGGGTGGTCCTGTTGCCCTGGTCGTTGGCGATGATTTCTACTTTCCCGTGCTGGAAAACCCCCACACAGGAGTAGGTGGTGCCCAGGTCGATGCCGATCGCCACACCTTTAGCAGATGCAGACATCTTCACTGTGAAACAGTTGAACATCATTTTAGAAAAGGAAGCGAACATCAGCACATTACTGCACATGAGACTCAGCAAACAGGCTGCGGTCACATTTATCATCTTTACTCAGTTTTACTCATTTCAAAGCAGAAAATACACCAAAACATTTAAGCTGCTTCTCCTGTGCAGGAAAATACTTTTAAAAACGCATCCAAACTCTTTGCTCCACTGACATTACTATTACTATTATTAATATTAAGTCAGCAAACCTTCAGTCAGAAAGGAGGGTCGGACTTCCAGCTGAGTGTTGAGCTCTGTGCTGTGGAGAGTATTGATCTTCTTCTTCTCTGGTTCTCCTGCTGCGGTCTGATCTGTCTCTGCTCTCCGACCAGCCGCTTTATATCTGTGGGAACTGAAGTCTGGCTGCTTCTAGACGTTTCACACACAACACCGTCAAGACAGCTTCTATGGCAAGGACTACTTCCTGTTTAGGATTTCAGAATAAAATGCCTCCTGATGGACACTGGCTGCGGCGAGTCGGAAGAAACATGCACTTGTCTTATTGTGAAATCAACAATCTAACACTGTCACTGACCACGAGCTGCAGCTTTATAGGAACTCTCTCGAATAAACGTGAAGAAGTGAAGCCAAACCAGACAGGGAACTTTATTTCTAAACTTTATCTGAGGGTCGGTTAGTAGTTTATTCATGAAAACATTCAGTTCAATCTGCACTAAACGTGATGTTGCTCAACTAATGACAGACTTGTTTGACCTGCACGATTTCTAAAAGGAAGCTGAGTGAATAATAATGTAACTGGACTAAGAACAACAACAGCAAAACAGGAACACAACTATAGGCAAAAACAAAACCACACTGATGAATAAAAGCTCAATAAAAATACAACTTTATTGATCCTACAAGTGAAAGAAGAAACAGTTTTACAGTATTTACACATGCAGACACACATTAACTACTGTTTTCCTGATTAATCATTCAGTCTATAAATACGTTACAATGTCAGTGCAGATTGAACTGAATGTTTTCATGAATAAACTACTAACCGACCCTCAGATAAAGTTTAGAAATAAAGTTCCCTGTCTGGTTTGGCTTCACTTCTTCACGTTTATTCGAGAGAGTTCCTATAAAGCTGCAGCTCGTGGTCAGTGACAGTGTTAGATTGTTGATTTCACAATAAGACAAGTGCATGTTTCTTCCGACTCGCCGCAGCCAGTGTCCATCAGGAGGCATTTTATTCTGAAATCCTAAACAGGAAGTAGTCCTTGCCATAGAAGCTGTCTTGACGGTGTTGTGTGTGAAACGTCTAGAAGCAGCCAGACTTCAGTTCCCACAGATATAAAGCGGCTGGTCGGAGAGCAGAGACAGATCAGACCGCAGCAGGAGAACCAGAGAAGAAGAAGATCAATACTCTCCACAGCACAGAGCTCAACACTCAGCTGGAAGTCCGACCCTCCTTTCTGACTGAAGGTTTGCTGACTTAATATTAATAATAGTAATAGTAATGTCAGTGGAGCAAAGAGTTTGGATGCGTTTTTAAAAGTATTTTCCTGCACAGGAGAAGCAGCTTAAATGTTTTGGTGTATTTTCTGCTTTGAAATGAGTAAAACTGAGTAAAGATGATAAATGTGACCGCAGCCTGTTTGCTGAGTCTCATGTGCAGTAATGTGCTGATGTTCGCTTCCTTTTCTAAAATGATGTTCAACTGTTTCACAGTGAAGATGTCTGCATCTGCTAAAGGTGTGGCGATCGGCATCGACCTGGGCACCACCTACTCCTGTGTGGGGGTTTTCCAGCACGGGAAAGTAGAAATCATCGCCAACGACCAGGGCAACAGGACCACCCCCAGCTATGTGGCGTTCACCGACTCCGAGAGGCTGATTGGGGACTCGGCCAAGAACCAGGTGGCTCTGAACCCCAGCAACACCGTGTTCGATGCCAAGAGACTGATTGGGAGAAAGATGGATGATCCAGTGGTGCAGGCTGACATGAAGCACTGGTCCTTCAAGGTGGTCGGAGACGGAGGGAAGCCCAAAATCCAGGTGGAGTACAAAGGGGAGGACAAAACCTTCAGCCCCGAGGAGATCTCCTCCATGGTCCTGGTGAAGATGAAGGAGATCGCTGAGGCCTACCTCGGCCACAAGGTGTCCAACGCGGTCATCACGGTCCCGGCGTACTTCAACGACTCCCAGCGGCAGGCGACTAAAGACGCGGGCGTCATCGCAGGACTGAACGTCCTGAGGATCATCAACGAGCCGACGGCAGCCGCCATCGCCTACGGTCTGGACAAAGGCAAGTCGGGAGAGCGCAACGTCCTGATCTTCGACCTGGGCGGAGGCACCTTCGACGTGTCCGTCCTCACCATCGAAGACGGGATCTTCGAGGTCAAAGCCACGGCCGGAGACACTCACCTGGGCGGAGAAGACTTTGACAACCGCATGGTCAACCACTTTGTGGAGGAGTTCAAGAGGAAACACAAGAAGGACATCAGCCAGAACAAGAGGGCCTTGAGGAGGCTGCGCACAGCTTGCGAGAGGGCCAAGAGAACCCTGTCCTCCAGCTCCCAGGCCAGCCTCGAGATCGATTCTCTGTTTGAGGGCGTCGACTTCTACACCTCCATCACCAGGGCTCGCTTTGAGGAGCTGTGCTCCGACCTGTTCAGGAGAACGTTGGAGCCCGTGGAGAAAGCCCTGAAGGACGCCAAAATGGACAAGGGGCAGATCCACGACGTCGTCCTGGTGGGAGGCTCCACCCGAATCCCCAAAGTCCAGAAGCTCCTGCAGGATTTCTTCAACGGCAGGGAGCTGAACAAGAGCATCAACCCAGACGAGGCGGTGGCTTACGGCGCCGCCGTCCAGGCCGCCATCCTCACGGGTGATACCTCGGGCAACGTCCAGGACCTGCTGCTGCTGGACGTGGCGCCTCTGTCCCTGGGTATCGAGACGGCCGGAGGAGTCATGACGTCCCTGATTAAGCGCAACACCACCATCCCCACTAAACAGACCCAGATCTTCAGCACCTACTCCGACAACCAGCCCGGGGTCCTGATCCAGGTCTACGAAGGGGAAAGAGCCATGACCAAGGACAACAACCTGCTGGGCAGGTTTGAGCTGACGGGAATCCCGCCCGCTCCGCGAGGGGTCCCGCAGATCGAGGTCACCTTCGACGTGGACGCCAACGGCATTTTGAACGTGTCTGCGGTGGACAAAAGCACCGGCAAAGAGAACAAGATCACCATCACCAACGATAAGGGCCGGCTGAGCAAGGAAGAGATCGAGAGGATGGTGCAGGACGCCGACAAATACAAAGCTGAGGACGACCTTCAGAGGGAGAAAGTCTCCGCCAAGAACTCCCTGGAGTCCTACGCCTTCAACACGAAGAGCGCCGTGCAGGACGAGAAGGTGAAGGGCCAAATTAGCGAGGAGGACCGGAAGAAGCTGATTGAGAAGTGTGACGAGACCATCAGCTGGCTGGAGAACAACCAGCTGGCTGATAAAGAGGAGTACCAGCACCAGCAGAAGGAGCTGGAGAAAGTGTGTAACCCCATCATCAGCAAGTTGTATCAGGGAGGAATGCCCGCTGGAAGCTGTGGAGAGCAGGCACGAGCCGGCTCCCAGGGGCCCACCATTGAGGAGGTGGACTAAAGTGGCCCTTCACATGGACTCTATGATCACCGGGACTGTTTGAAATACCACTGTAACCTCTTTTTTTAAGATGTGGTGATGAATAAGTTCTTCCATGTAAATATTGTTTACTGCAGATGTTTAACATACAGCTGAAACTATATGTCTCACGGTAAAATGTCCTTTTTCCTTATTGTATATTATGTTAAATCCTAAAATGTTAATATATTTTTTATCTTTTTGATTTGTCTTTCTGGTTTTCATGTTTTCGAAATGAAATGTATTAAAGGTTTTTAACTCAAATTTATATAAAGTGTACATCGACGTGAGTAATAAACACGACAGAGAAACAAAAAAGTAATATATTGTATTAAAGATCAAAACCTTTCAAATGTATATAGAGTATTTGGGGATTGTGGGGACATACAGGGGTCACAGTCAATTAATGAATATATATTTCGACAAAAATAATGCATAAACAAATTGGACCAGATAAATATATATTATTTTTTATTTTAACTTCCCTACATACATTTTTGAATAATCAGTATAAATATCTGTGTTATTATTTCCACTGATGACTGGAGCTGTAGACCACAATGAACAGAGTACTGTTGTTTTTACTAATAATCACATTAATAATGATATGTGCGTATGTTAAGATCAATAACAGTCAACCGTCACCTCCTCCAGTGTCAAGACAGAAACAATATAAACTATAAAAAGCCAGATATAATATCATGTTTAGCTCTTTTGGTGAAACCTTTCAAAATAAGTGCAGCAATAGAAGTGAAAAGAACTTTGACAACGGTTTATTGCAGTATTTTGGATGCATTACATTATTCTACATTATTTATTAATACAAATGCTATTAAGGTGGTAGGCATTTATTGCCCTGGCCACATTTGCAGTCCTCACGCCTCCTTGCAGGATGGCTAAGGCACGTTCATGCAGATGAGCATGGTGTTTTTAGAATGAGTCGAGAGGTCTCTTTAGTGTGTTTTATATATATATATAGATATATATATAAAACACATACATAAGAACAGTTCCTTCTAAAAGTACTGAGGTGGAAAACTCCAAACAGACAGAATCAAATGATGCAGGGTTTTTTAAATCCTGTCCTCTTCCCAGTTTATATATATATATATATATATAAACACACACATGTATGTCACCTGCAGGCAAAACTGGACTTACATGCACAGACTGATAAGAGAAGGCTGGTTATAGAGAGAGACCTGCTCTCTGTGTCCACATGTCAAACTGTAAATTGATTTCTTAGAGCTGATTTCTCTCAGTTCTTCATCTGGTCAAACTTGTTCACCATGGTGATGTTCTTCATTTCAGTCAGAGTTTCTCAGACTTTTCTCCTTCATTCCATTTGAAACTCTGCTTCAGAGCTCCTCTCACCCTCTCCTGCTCTGTCCTCTTTGTTCGGACTCATACTGAAGTCAATGTCTTTACTTTCTTAGGATCTGATTGAACCACCCTGGCTCTGCACCTTTCTACCTTCCCTTTTTCCTACTTTCAAATAGCAGAAGAAACACAACTTCCTTGAAGGAGTTAATAAAAACTTTTGAGCAGCTGCTCGGAGGATTGACACCGAACACCAGCAAAAAGACAAATGTCAGTCTGAACATGTAAAAATACTTGACATGATGCGGTCATACATAAGAACAGTTCCTTTAAAAAGTACTTTGATGGTGGAAAAAACTCCAAACAGACAGAATCAAATGATGCAGGGTGTTTTAAATCCTGTCCTCTTCCCAGTTTCAATACGTCAGAGACAAGAAGAAGAACAAAACAAAACAACAGCTGCATTTGAAGTCGTTTTAATTACACTTTAATCAGTCAAATACAAACAACAAATTAATGATCTGGACAGAATGTGAGACGTTTTGAGATCTGTTAAATAATTTTAGTCAATTAGCTGAACCACTTGAAAGTTTTGACACCCCTGCTTTTAAAAACCTGTTAATATTCACAGCGTCTTTGTAATCAGGTTGGTGAAATTCTATCGTCCTGAAATGAATCGCAGACACACATTTTCCTGTTTTGAACAAGAAAAAAGTCCTGTCCTTCCTGTGTCTGCTGATAAAATCACTCAATATTGATTTTACACTGCTCAAAAACAGTTTGCTGTGTGTCTTCACAGGTTTGCATAATAACACGACTTTTACATTTAAAATTGCGCGGAAGTCCGATTTAGCTGACTGGTGTCGTGGGCTATTTTTGAATTACAGCCTGCCGTTACGGCTACACGGGGGAGCATATTGGCCAGCGGTGGCCCAACGGTTAGAGAACCAGGAGGTCGCCGGTTCAATCCCCGGACTGGCAGGATAAAATCCGGGTGTGGAAAGTAAAACAAACAGCGCTTGCCGTCCCTCATTTACCACCACTGAGGTACCCTTGAGCAAAGGCCCATAACCCCAACTGCTCAGCGGCCAGTACTGGACAGGTTCCAGGTGTGAATATGTAAATGTGATCAGGGCCTCCTGCAAATGCTCTCAGGCTCCATCCACACTACTGCGTTTTGGTTTTAAAACAGAGACCTTTTGCTATGTTTGCACATCCCGTCCAGATGAAAACGGCAAAAACGAAGACCTATAATGGAGAAGTTTGAAAACGCTGCCGAACCCCGTTTTTCCTTTGAAAACTCCGGAGGGCGTTTTAGTGAAGACGGGCACAAACGGAGGACTTAAGAAACGATGATACAGATGCTCGGCTCTCTGATTGGCTCTCATAAGTCATGCAAAGCAGAAACACGATGCTGCTGATAGAGTTTTTGATAAAACAGTCTGTACGGTGCAAACAACACTTATTTTACACATGTCGCCGTTTACTTTGCGACGACTCCCAGTCTGTTTTTCCTTTTTAACTCCCGTGTTACAGCCAGTAACAGTCCCAGCTCGTTATTGGTCCATGCAAAAATAAAATCCGGTGTGTCTGTAGTACTTTATTCTTTCTCCAAATCTTCTGTAACTACTGAATAGACCATGGGCGTTCAGGCACACTGGGCACGCGCATGCCCAGTGTGCCTGAACGCACCACTAGATGTGCGTTTTCAGACGTTTTACTGTAGACGGGGATCAACTCTGATACGAGATCGTATTCGTTTTAATTCCTTGTTTGTAGACTAAACCGGAGTAGAGTGGACGGGGCCTCAGTGAAGCATGCAAAACTGGACTTGAATGCAATTTGAAAGTCTAATGTCATGTTATTGGTACACAGACTGATGATCGGGCTGCTTATAGAGAAAGACCTGTACTCTCTGTGTAAAATGTAAATTAATTCTTAGAGCTGATTTCTCTCAGTTCTTCATCTGGTCAAACTTGTTCACGATGGACTTGTGATGTTCTTCATTTCAGTCATCAGTCAGAGTTTCTCAGACTTTTCTCCTTCCTTCCATTTGAAACTCTCCTTCAGAGCTCCTCTCATCCTCTCCCGCTCTGTCCTCTTTGTTCGGACTAATACTGAAGTCTTCTTCTTCTTCCTCTCCCGCCTCAGCGTCTGTCCCCCTTATGAGACGTGCAGCCGTTACTCGCGGTCGAGCAGCCGGCGTGGTCGGCTTTAGAAGTCGGCGGCGGTGATTTTGAGCGTCCTGTGACGAACAGGCGGAGAGCTCCTCTGCAGATCAGCGTGAACCAATAGAGCTGGAGGGGCCACAGCAGAGCGGCCCCCAGGTTACACTGCCACGGGGCCACCAGCGGCACCGTGTACACCGGGATGGATGCATACCTGAAACACCAAACGGAGGGTGCTGCCGTCACTTGCCTAATGACACTTTAATTAAAAAAACTTAAAAGTAAAAACTTTCTATTTAAAAAAAGAATCCTTGACGGATACGAGCCGGAACGGTTGTTGATTTCTATTTAGGTTGAATATCTATTTTATTTGTTTGTTTGCAAAAATAATGGACTCTTAAGTGATACAATTTAAGTAGCTGAAATATATCATTCAAGTGGGGGCAGGAAAAGGTTTTCCTGCCCCCACTTGAATGATGACTGTTTTTGGGATCATCTGCTGATGATCTTTTTTGTTGATTGTTTTTATTTTGCTTTTTTGTTGTCGTCTTTTAACATGTTCAATAAAGAGTTTAATATATATATATATATACACACATAAAAAAAAGACTTGGTCTACACCTGCAGGTAGTTCCACTCGTTTTGCCTGACGTTAAAGTAAACAGACATGAAATCACTTTACACATTTATTTAAGTAAAGGTATATTTAAGAGTTCAGGTTTTGTTCACTTCTTCCTGCATGTTATGAGAAGCTGTGCAATAGATTCAGGCACTCATTCATTCCCACCGCCATTTCCCTTTGCAACGCAGGCCGGGGAGGTAGATAACAGACTAGTGATGGTGTTGTTCTTGATAGCGGCGGCGACGACGACGATGATGGTTGTGGCAGAGTTTCACAGTGTTTCCCACAACAATATGATGGACATTGTCGGCTGTGGTTTAACGTCCGGCTGTTGAATTGTAGGCCTGGTTACATACCCATGTTGTATTTAAGATTGTTTGTCATGTTGATGGTGTAACTGGTGTACAGAATTTATTTCTTCATTTCACTGTTGTTCAGCCGCAGGTCGCAAAATTCAGTATTTTTATGTATTTTAAAGTCTTTTAAGTTAATAAAAAACATGCAGCGGTGAAATATGCAATCAGAACTTTATACTCTCCTACAAGTAAAAGTCCTGCATCCAATATTTGACTTCACTAACAAAAGTTTAAGCATAAATATAAAGTACCAAAAGTTCTTGTTATACATTTCAAAACAATATATATCATATTATTGGATTATTATAATTGCAGCATAATAAAAAAGTGTTTTCATGACTTTAATGTTGCCGTTGGTAAACGTGTAATTTTAACTACTTTATATTCTGCTGGGTGGCTTAAGCTTTAAGTATTACAGTAGTAGTATGAGTAAATGTACTTGGTAGTCAGTGCAGGTACCTGCTGTAGGCGTAGTACAGGTACGGGAAGAGTAACACCCGACAGGTGAAGAAGGACAGCAGCATGAGGCCCCCGTTGACTTTGTGCAGCAGAGTGTGCTGCTTCTGGTACTGACAGGTGGAAAAACACAGAGAGAAGAAGAAGAAACTCCAGAGTCACTCAAAGTGACACAGTACGGTGGCCGAGAAGGGCCATGTTTGCAACAGTTTTATTTCATCCCGTTTGATTCGGGGTTGGATTACCTGGATCAGGACTTTCCCCAGACAGACGAACGGCGTGCTGAGCTCGGCCAGAAACAAAACGCCCTGGAAGAAATCCCCTTTACCCTGCCTCCACAGCTGACACACACACACACACACACACACACACACACACACACAGAGTTGTAGATTAAACTACCCAACAGGATATAAAGCAGTTAAAATGAGCCCAACCTTAAACATCAGCCTGGTATCACTTTATGGCACAAAGATTTCTTAAGTATTTCGTAGGGTCTTCCAACGCATGTTTTGCTTTTCGTGTGTCAATTCAGTTCAATTCAAATTAGCTTTATTGGCATGAATGTAATAACAACATTGCCAAAGCATCATATATACACAACATAAGAACAATCAGCCCCATACATTTCATTAAACAATTAAAGCGTAAAGTAATCAAAGTGTATGTGTGTGTAAAATAAATAAAAAAACAGGAAGCGTGTGTGTGTGTGTGTAAAAAAATAAAATATATAAAAAATAAAATACATAAATAAACAGTAAGCGTGTGTGTTTGTGTGTCTGTGTTTGTTAAAAAATTTTAATATATTAAAAATAAAATAAATAAATAAATCAGTAAGCGTGTCTGTGTATATGTGTGTTAAAAAAAATATATATATATATATATATATATTAAAAATTAAAATAAAATAAATAAATAAAACGGTAAGTGTGTGTGCGTGATAAAAATATATATAAAAAAAAATGAAACAGTAACGTGTGTATATATTAATAGACAAAAAAATTACGGCAACTGTCACAGTGAGAAAGACCCGGTGTAGGATATAAATAATCGGAAAAGTCAGAGTAAGGAGGTGGATAGGGGGGCCAATGAAACAGACTTTGACCCAGGGGACCGGTGTTCGGTTCCCGTGTGAAATAAAAAATAAAACAGAAAGACAAGATTGATTTAAATAACACGTGAAAAGCTTAAAATGCGTTAACAGGGCAGGTGAAATATCCCTACAAGTGGCGTGCTATTTTCAGTTTAATTCAATTTTATCTAATAACCGCCAATTCATAACAACAGTTATCTCATTAAGTAAAAGTATATCCTAAGTATAATCAGGAAAATGTACTTAAAGGATAAGGTACTCAATGCAGAATGAAAACTGTCCCCTGTGACTGTTATTCTATTATTAGATTATTATTACTTATGAATTCATGTAAAGCAGGATTTTACTTATGTTGTTGGTTGAGGTTGAGTTATTTTGTATCAGGCTGCAATTAATGACTTTTTTCAATATGGGTTAATCTGCTGAAAAGCTGTAATATTGTAATTTAATAATAATATAAATGTAAAAATTCAGAAAATAGTTACCCAGAGCCCAAAGTGACTCCTTCACAATGTTTATTTTCTCAGTCTAAACCTGAAAATGATTTAAAAACACCCTAAAATAATTATAAGGAAAAGCAGCAAATCTTCAAGTTTGTGAACCATGAAATGTTTTTACATTTAGATGATTATCAAAAAAGTTGCAGATTAAATTTCTGTCAATCAACGAATGTACCAGCTGAACTGTTTTATAACAAAACATCGTGTTTTTTTTTAAATCTTCATGTGTTTTGTGTGTAAACATATTAATTTGTAAAGTAACTAAAGCTAAAATAAACATCTCCAGCAGTAAAACATCAGATATTATAGTGAAACACTGACGGGGAGCATTTTACTGCAGAATGAGTACTTTTACTTCAAAAGGAAATATTTACCAGTGAGGCGGGGAAGCAGAAGGCCACCATGAAGACGTGATGCAGCACCATGAGCAGCTCTCTGCGCAGGTAACCGGCCACAGCAGCACCCACCGACCTGCCGCCGCCGCCCGCCTCCTCCTCCTCCTCGTGACCTTTGACCTGCAGCTTGTGCCAGTAACACAGGAACATGGCGTAGATGTCGTAGGCAAAGTAAGGCGTGGCAAACAGGATGTAGGTTTCCGTCAGCCAATGACTGAGGAGGAAACAGCGAAGGGAGTCAGAATCAGTGATGGACAGTAACTATATTTACTCAGGCGCTGTACTTAAGTACAAACTAGAGGTATTTGTACTTTACTGGAGTTTTTTTCCTTTCATGCCACTTCTCCACCACATCTCAGAGGGAGATATTGCACTTTTTACTTCCCTACATTTATCTGACAGCTTCAGTTACTTTACAAAGTCAGATTTTACAAAACACATAAAAAAAAAATATGATGTTTTGTTAAAATTAAAGTTCCCAACAGTTTGTCTAAGTTCATATGGTACATTTGTTGATTGATTGATATTTTGATGATGGTTTAAGTCATTTTTCATGTTAAAAACATTTCATGGTTCATAAATGTGAAGATTTGCTGCTTTTCCATATGATTTATTTTATGTATTTTTAATCACTTTGAGGTTTGGACTCAGACATTGTGAAGGAGTCACTTTGGGCTCTGGGTAACTGTGACGGCATTTCTCACTATTTTCTAAATTTTTACAATCAATTAATGGAGAAAATAATCAGCAAATGAATCCATCCATCCATCGTCAACCGCTTATCCTGCGTACAGGGTCGCAGGGGGCTGCAGCCAATCCCAGCTGACATCGGGCGCAAGGCGGGGTCCAACCCTGGACAGGTTGCCAGCCCATCGCAGGGCCACACATAGACAAACAACCACTCACATTCACACCTAAGGACAATTTAGGTTCACCAATTAACCTAGCCTGCATGTCTTTGGATGGTGGGAGGAAGCCGGAGCACCCGGAGAGAACCCACGCGGACACGGGGAGAACATGCAAACGCCACACAGAAACGCCGGGGAAACCGGGGTTGAACCCACGACCTTCTTGCTCTTGGTCCACTGTGCCACCCAGCAGATTAATCCATAATAAAAATAATCATTAAGTGCACTGTGATACAAAATAGTTCAACCTCAACAACTACAGTAAAATTCTGCTTTTACATTAACCTTTTCATGCATGAATTATTAAAAACAATTGTCTATATTTTTTCAAGACAAGAAAAATTGTGGTGACATTTAAATCCATCCAAATTATTTAACTGTGTGTAACGGGTGGACAAAGGTGTAAAATGGCACACCTGACAATAAGTAATATTGTGTTTTTTATGTCATGTATTTAAGCTCAATTACTGAAAACTAACAATAAAACTCATATTTTAGGAACAAATAGAGGACAAACACTCACAGTGGTGTTTATAACTGTATTTATGACTGTAGTTAGATGTTTACATTGTAACAATGTGGGTAAACAATGGAAAACATTCACTGGTGATAAAGTAACAACTCATTATATTTTTATCCTTATCTAACTTCATGTTGAATCATCTGCATTATAACAGATCAACATCCAAAATGTAACATGTTAGTTAAATCTGATTTCTATACATGTCTGCTGCTGATCCATTTCTACACAGCCATCATCCAGTCTGTCCTCTGCACCTCCATCACTGTCTGGTTTGGATCTGACCCCAAAAAGGACAGGAGCAGACTACAACGGACAGTCAGGACTGCAGAAAAGATCATCCAACCTGCCCAGGGTGTCAAACTGACCCACACAATGTTGAACCAGAACCAAAGACACCATCATAAAATACAGTCTGCAGTATCATCTCTAATGCCTAATTATTATCATTTCAAGTTTAAACTTTTTTTTAGCAAGTATCTCCTTTCCTCCTACTCGTGTTGACTGTGAATGAAATGTAATCTGCGTTCAAGAAAGCCGTGGTCACCTACTGTTGGATATTGTTTAGGTCTCTGTAAATAATATTAAACAGAGTACTTTCTGGACCTGCTGTATATAAAAAGTGCAATGAGATGCCTTTTGTTATGAATTGCCACTATCTAGATAAAACTGAATACATTTGAAATAACAGACCTGGATTTCAACATGTACCTGGGCAGGTAAAACTCCTGAACTCCACAGTGAAAACAAATATCATGCTTCTTGTAGAAAGACTCACAAAATACTTAAAATGAAATAATAAAATCTATATTTGCTGCCAAAATCTACAATAACTAATCCTCAGTTTCACTGCTCATCATGCCGACGCACCAGTGTTGGCTAACAATTACATAAAATATGAAACGACAAGATGTTCAACTAACTTTGAGGTTAGGAGATGGTACGGTCCATTTTAGGGGTGTCAGAAATCCTACTTCAGGATTCTTGAATATAAGGCGTGAGTATGGGAAATATATTGGAATATTTACAATGACAGGTAAGAAAGATCCTCCTGAAGTGTTTTGCCTATTTTGGGGGGTCCAAGCCTTAATTAGGGGGGTCAGACCCCCCTCTCCAATCCCCATTCAGGACTTATACATTTCCAGAGTCAGGAAACATAGCTCCTCACCTCTGGTAGGCGCTACAGAGCACTGTACGCCAAAACCAACAGACTCAGGAACAGTTTCTTCCCACAAGCCATCACTCTGATGAACAGCTGACTCTGATGAACAGTGTCAGGAACAATTCCTGTGCAATAACCCAGTAACTCTGCCTCTAATCAGCCACCTGTTGACTGGTTATTTATTAATCATTCTCTATTTCAGAGCTGTTCACACTGGTTATATTGTACATACTGTTTACCAAATCCACCTTCCTCAAGTACATAACACTTGTAATACTTATTTATTCCAGCATCCTTTGCACTGTGCTCCATCACACTGTGTATATGTGTACATGTATATAACATCCACCTCTGACATGCACATAATAATAACAATAATAATAATAATAATAATAATTGTAATAATAATTTACTCCTGCATCCTTCGCACTCTGCTCATTGCACGATTGTCTCAATCTGTCTATTTTGTTTTTGTTTATAGTGTGTATATATATATATGTGTGTTCTCTATACTGTAGCCTGTGCCTGATTTTAATATTGTATTATTGTATAAGTAAGCGCATCGTGAGCGTCGTGCAGTCCTGAGTCAAATTCCTCGTATGTGTACACATACCTGGAAAATAAAGCTCTCTGCATGTTTGTATTAAGCTGCCATTTAATGGTGTAATATGCACTTTTGCATTGTTATCTATGTTCATAAATGTATTAAATGTCTGTTTCATAATGTTATAATACTATAATTAATCACATCTTTGAAAAGGTAGAATAGATACTAGCAGGTTACAGAAATACGACTTAATACAAATCTGACTCCGCTGTTGCAGGACGTCCACATGTGGAAACATTTTAAACATGTTAATAATATTTTACTGCACATACATTTTACAGTGAGGTATTAGTACTTTTACTTAAGTAATGGATCTGAATATTTCATCCACCACTGGTCAGAATGAAGGTCAGAAACAGACGGGAAGACTACATATTTACGTCACACCTGATAAAGACCATCATTATTAAGATGTTGTATTTTTATGTTGCAGATTTTTGCGTTAATATGTTTAAGATTAAACCTCTACAGGTTTTCTTAAACTAACAAACTTCGAGGATGGTTAAGGTAGAGTTTTAGCTGCTGCATGTTTACTTTGCCTGGGGTGTGAGATTTGATAAACAAATGTTGCTCAGGCCTCCTCTCCACTTTGACTGGGAAATGACGGAGGAAGGACCTGGGATTTTCTGAAACAACCCCTCCAAACACACACACACACACACATTCATCATTTCATTTCCCATCACCCTCAGCGTGCAGGATTAGTGATCTCTGGGTCCGTCTTAGAGACTAAAATAGCTCTGCTCAGATTGTTAATTAGATTACAGACGGGCACTGAAGTTTCGTTCATACTAATCACTGAAGCCTCGGTGAATGTTTGTGTGTTAACACGACAAATGTTTTGTTTCAAAACTGATTTTATTTTTTATCATAAGCCCCCAAAAAGTGATTATATTCTGATATTTTATTTTTTTATTTGGTGTCTTTAAACCTGAACAGGAAAACAGAATAAGATTTGTTGTTTTTATTTCAACCCTGCAAGCAGCTCTGTGAAGCTAAATGCTAAACTTAGCACCCTCCCCCTTCGTGTGGATCACCATGGGACCTTGTTTTAGAAAAAATATGTAGGGTAGTCAACGGCGAGAGACAACTAGTGTTTTGAGCCTGTTTGAAACGTGCCCAGAATCACACACATGATGTTTGTCAGTTTAAAATATAAGTCGAGAAAGTTGCAGTTTTAAGTCATTGTAAAAATGAATTAAGTTTTGATAGTGGCTGATGTAAAGTGGACCGATTAGACTCATCCTGATGCAAGTAAGTACTGAGGATAATTTAACTGAATTGTAAAGATTTCTCCATGTACAGATACAAACCAACAACATGTCAGTCTGTCTCTCAGTACTGTCTGACTTCCTGTATGTGGCTCTCAGCTCCGAGCCCATTGGTTCTTCCTGAAGACTTATCTACCATCTTTAAAAACAGCTCAAACAAATATAAAGTTTCATGTTCAACAAGGCTCACTGGCTTCCTAAAACAGCTGCTCACTGTTGTGCGCAAACAGGGGGAACTAGTGCGTTAGTTGGGGACTATTTTTAGCGGCGGATGCATCCACGTGTGGTGCTGTAGTGAGTATTTGGGGCAGCAGGACGGTGTACGAGTGTGTTCATGGTGATCATGAACATGAGGCTCACTGATGAGTTTTAATAGTTTCTGGACAACAATGGAGCTCTTCGGCTCAGAGGGAGAAGGCTGTTGAGACACTGTTGAGACTTGGCGCTTTCCCATTACTGGTACCGGCTCAACTGGCTTCTACTCGACTCGCTTTTAGTGCCCCGTCCACCGTTTTTTACATTGCAGATTTACCGCCTCAATGCACCTGTTCATAACAAGTTTAGTAACACACTCGATAAAGCCATCAAGTTCTTAAAAGAACCCCAGCAAAGAGAAAGAAATAAAACACAAAATAAAAATGCAGAGGTTTGGCAGGCTCCGGTCCAACTACACGGATAACATAAGTTCCATTGCGTTCTACCTGTTTTACATAAGCGCTATCTGACATTAAGAGTTCAGTGTGTAAGATCTCTGCGAAGGTTCTCAGTCATCCAGGTCATAGTTATCCAACGAAAGGTTGAGGTCTAAGATGTTTCGTCCCTCATCCAAGAGACTTCTTCAGTTCTGACTGACTGGTAGGGAAACAGATATTTAACCTCTGGGGTCGTCAATACCGCTGTTGTGTGGCCGGTGGCGCTCTATGGGTCAGAGTGCTGGCCGGCGACGACAAAGCACCAGCAAAAGTGGGTGAAAAGTGGTGGCGTAGCCCCCCTCCTCTGTTCAGCGACGACATCTTTCAAACCATCCATCTTCTCTGTCTAAAACATCATGGTGTCCTATGACCAGGTCCAGTTGCCCTTGACATCAACCTCCGTTGGGTTCAGTGTGTAGGTTTTACTGGCATCTAGTGGTGAATTGCAACCAACGGCTCACTCACCGCTCCTCCCTCCCTTTGCAAGCGCGCAGGAGAAGCTACGGTACACTAAAGAAGACGTGTGGTCCAAATTTCTCTTCTCTTCTTACTTCTAATAAACCAGAGAGCAACATCCCTGTAAGAGGACGCGCGGTTATGTAGATAGAAATGTCTCATTCTAAGGTAATAAAAACATAACGGTTCATTATGTAAGGTCTTTATACACCTCTGAAAACAGTAGATCCTCAGAAATATTACACACTGGACCTTTCAAACATTTCCAGCTGACAGCTCTGACCCTGTCAAGAGGTCGACTCGGCCGCGGTGGTAATTCGGCTCCCGGTAGAACAATCTACACCGAAGGAATCCTAAACTGAAAACAAACTGAGCTCCCAAACTGAGCCAACGTTAGCAGAAGCAGCTCAGGACTAGCGGCACACCGGCTGCTAGCTAGGCACGGATATGTTTGCTGACTCTCTAAATCAGCAGTCTGCAGTTTTTTCACGTGACCTTTTGGTTTCGCCTCAGCTCGCTTAGACAGAGATGATACCAAAAAACCTACCAAGTACCAGATTTGCCCAACGGAAAACCCAAAAAAGGCGAGTAGAGTCGAGGTGAGTTGAGCTGGTACCATCTGGTGGAAAAGGGGCTATTATGGTTTGCAAATACACACTGCTTAATATTAAGGGGTCTCAGGGGGCCACTGATACACAAATGAGGGCAACTAGAGAACGGACAATGAAGAAGTTAAAAAAGTAAAAATATCAAGGTGAAGAGGAAAGGAAGTAAAACTGTGAGAGAGAAAATAAAGGCGATATTTAATGCTCACCGGTCCTCCAAGACGTCCCTGCAGGACGAGGCGATGACACATCCGGCGGATGAGGCCATGACGGCTTGGACTGACGACACCAGACTGAGGGGACAGAAATACACTGTTTAACAATCAAATCTGTCACAAGAGAGTTTGTACTGTCTGTAAAAGTGTCAGTTACGTGTGAACACAGGCGTTGTTTACACTGGCGTCATTGCCAAAGGTTTTCTGCAAATTAGCTTGCAACAAGAAATGTTAAATAACAAAAAGTCTACGAGAAAGGTTTACTTGCACAATATGAATGACTGAATAAAATGCAATGTAAATATAGAAACAGATCTGCCTAAGTAACTTAACAAAAACAGGCCGCTGATTACCGATAATATTTTTAGATTCTGAGTTGTCACCAGCCACATGAATTTTGTTTCCCTTCATATAAAGACATTTCCACCATAAATTGGTGCAGAAAATGTCTCCAGAATGCAGGAAATTAAAAGTTTGACGCTCAAAATCTTCAGGGGGACGGCCCCTCCAATCGTTTCGCCTATTCCATCAATGAATATTTCTTATAAATAGTATTGGAGTATCTTCTTGTCTTTTTCTCATGACTCCAATATTGTGCATTATCACGTCTCGTGCACTAAGCGTTTCGTCACACCCCCAATATGAGCCCTTAAATGTCCCCACCACTTTTCAACAGAAAGTGACGCCCTTGCGTGTGAACTCGATCTGGACAGACTGCACAGCGTTTGAAAGCATGAAGCTTCACAGTTCTACCTGTAACCATTTGTATACGGAGGCCCTGTGGGATCAAAAAACTGCAACTTGAGAAAACACAAGAACACAGCTAGATACAGATATTTGCATTTAACCTAGCAGTAGGCTTTTGCTAATTAGTAGCTTACTAGTTCAAAAATGAATCATGCAGAATGTTAAAACCAACCTGTTCTCACTCCCAACATGTCTTATATGGACACATGGCCAAGACCCGTTCAGCCTCTTAACGTCATAATTCAACGCACTGGGGGAAGCCCTGTAGCGTCACTTGAACGGTAAGGGTAGGTGTAGGATATTTAACAGAAAATTCAGAGGTGTTTGGGGCGGACGGTGGAAAACAAAAAGTCAACACTTGCTGTTTTTATTTAGGTTACTTAAGTAACTTAACTTATATAAGTTAACTGACGTCAGTAACTTAGTTATTTTAACCCAAACCATGATGTTTTCCTAAACCTCACCAAAAGGCGACGCTTCGAAACGTTAACACGTACTTTTAATTTGAAAACCGGATGTAGCATATTTGTTGTTGAAAACTAAAGGTCAAAATAACAACACTAAAGGTAACTCAGGGCGTTAAAAAGTGACGCCAAGGGGTGTTGACCAAGCGTCCATATCTGATGAGTTGTTTGTATGTGAATATTTAATAGAACTTTTTCTTTGTATGTTAAAATGTTTAAAACCTATTATCCGTTGTGTTCTGTGTGACTTGCAGTGTCTATTTAAACATTTTAATGTAGTGAGACAAGACTTACTATGACTTGCGGCGTTTCTGTATTTGCTTGTGGTTTATCCCTCAGGGCCACCGTACTTTCTAAGATACCAGTTTCTTTGCGACTAAAGTTGCTTATTTTTCAGAGGAAGTGCAGAAAAAAAAACTGTGAAATTTTAATTTTATTTGTTTTAGTGTCACTTAATCTGACTTTTTGATAATAAACACCACAGAGTTCTCGTTCACAAGAGACCAGGATCTGTAACCATCTTATTTTAGGTTTGACATCATAAATGTTGGAGGCTCATGTGTCAGAGTGTTTGGACAGGGTCTACAGGGAATGAATGAAAGTCAATGCTGTGTCTGTGTGTGTTCTTACCGTGCAGATACGATGGCAGCGTCCCCCTCCCTCCATCCCCTCGTGTGTTTCAGAGTCTTCTTGGACACCATGAAAAGTCCAGGGAAGAAGACGGAGCCGGCAGCCAAGAGGGCCAACATGGCTCCTGAGTTCACCTGTGTGTTTGTGTCTCTGCTGCGCTGCGAGTGGTGAGTGAGGACAGGTGTCCAGGAGCTCAGAGAGGAGGATCAGGTGGGAGGAGCCTCCTGCTGCCACCTGTCAGAGGGGGTGGAGTACTCAGATCCTTTACTGCAGTAAAAGTACTAATACCACACTGTAAAATACTCTGATACAAGTAAAAGTCCTGCATGCCTGGTGTAGTCATGGACCTGAATTTGAGGAGCCACATTAAGACAATTACAAAGTCAGCCTACAATCACCTGAAGAATATATCAAGGATTAAAGGACTTATGTCTCAGCAGGACCTGGAAAAACTTATCCATGCATTTATCTTCAGTCGACTTAACTGCTGTAACAGCGTCCTTACAGGCTCCCTAAGAAATCCATCAGACAGCTGCAGCTGATTCAGAACGCTGCTGCTCGAGTCCTCACTAAGACCAAAAAGGTGGATCACATCGCTCCAGTTCTGAGGTCTTTACATTGGCTTCCTGTATGTCAAAGAATTGATTTCAAAATCCTGCTGTTAGTTTATAAAGCACTAAATGGTTTAGGGCCAAAATACATTTCTGATCTTCTGCTTCGTTATGAACCATCCAGACCTCTCAGGTCGTCTGGGGCAGGTCTGCTTTCTGTCCCCAGAGTCAAAACTAAACAAGGAGAAGCAGCGTTCAGTTATTATGCTCCGTATATCTGGAACAAACTCCCAGATAACTGCAGGTCTGCTGAAACTCTCAGTTCTTTTAAATTAAGACTGAAGACTTTTCTTTTTACTACTGCTTTTAATTAAATTAAAGCCATATATTGGTACCTTTCACTGCACTGTAACGTCCGGTTTTCATTATCTTTGTTTTTAGATTTTCAGTGCCCGGATTCTACGCTGCACTGTAACTTTTACTGTCCTGTTTTAATAATGTGTTTTATTTTTTCACTTTCCCTGTGTTGCTTTTATGTTTGATGTAAAGCACTTTTGCCTTGTTGTTGAAACGTGTTATACAAATAAACTTACTTTGCACTGAAAAGGTTACTTCAGTAAAAGCACTAATACCACAGTGTAAAATACTCTGATACAAGTAACAGTCCAGCATTGAAACGGTAATTGTTATGTGTATGTGAGTGTACTCCGGCGTTGAGGTATTAAAGCAGTAAAATGTCGTACTGTGACGTCTCCTCTCCTCAGATTCCTCCTCAGTAATGTGCAGCAGGACGTTGCTGCTGCAGCTCTTTCTGAACTGTTTAGACCGATGATTCAATCAGCTGATTATTTCCTCCATCAAACCATCAGACTGTTTGGTTTGTAAAGATTCTGCCGTCACAGTTACTCAGAGCCCAAAGAGACTAACAAACATCAGTTATAATCATTCAGAGGAGAAGCAGCAGATCCAATCACTTCCTGTCAATCAACTGATTAATTGTTTCAACAGTACTTAAAACTGTTAAACTGTTTTTATAAACTCTTCATATGTTTTGTGTAAAAATCTTAATTTGTAAAGTAACTAAAGCGGTCAGATAAATGTACAGAACCTTCCTCTGAGATGTGGTGCAGTAAAACTACAAGATGGCATGAAAACAAAATACTTAAATGTGTACTAGAGTAAATGTATTTATCCAGTTTCCCTTGATATTAACCTTCCTGAACTTTAACTATGACCTGGATGACTGAGAACCTTTACAGACCAAAGTACCTCACACTTGTACCGAAGTGCAGTACATAGTAAAACACACGATGTTCACCTTCCACCGCTGTTTTTATTATCATCTATATTTACTCATTACTTAATCATTCTTTGTGTACAGTCAGTTATTAAAATGTGAGTATACAAACTGAAATGTTTATGTGCTTTAGTGGAGCAAGTAACAAAACTAATAAATAAACATGTTATACATCAGGTACTCATTAAGTTACATAGTTCTTTTCATGAAACACAAATTTTAATCAAAATTTTGAGGGTCTTTATTTTACTGGTAGATTTTTCAACTGTGTCGTCATGAAATCACCTAGCTGGACTTATTTTTATTTGGCATATTTTTAGATTTCTTTGATTTATTCAGCTACCAATTCTTTTTTAAATGACAAGTGAAATCGCTTTTGTTTAAACTTTAGTGATTTACTGACACCATAAACTTTAAAAGTGAATCTTTAAGCTGCAGGAAATGAGGTTTATATGAGCTCATGATGAGGATGAAGAAGATTTGAAGCTGAAATTATGTTCAGAAACCATTTCAAAGCCTGTGGATGCAGATTACTCACAAAACTTCGAGTTCGGTGTCGGCTTTGTTTTTACACCATTTTTATCTACAACCACAAATCTTTTTTGAACTTTTGAAGATTTATTTACACCCACGTCGTTCTATCAAACATCATTTCGCAAAGTCAGAACACCGATGTTAAGAAATGTAAATGAAAAGAAGTGACACGGCAGAGGAATATTATCCAGTGTCCATTTATTTATTCATCATTCACTATTTTAACTCTAAACATTTTTTTTTTTAAGAAATTCAAGTATTTGTTGGGAACACAAGTCAAAAATAACAAACAAAAACGTTTTGCTAAAACGAAGACAAAACATGTTTAAAACATCAGTTTCATATTTAGAATAATAAAAACATCAAGTTTCTTTTCATAGAAGAAAAACGAGTCTAATGTCTAAAGATGACCAGCCGTCCGCTTCGACGTCCGAACACAGAGACCGGAAACGCACTCGTCAGCTGATCTCTGAACAGTGCGCAGGGAGGGGAAAGACCAAACGCAGGCCCATCGAGTTTAACACCTACTCCTCGCCTGGAAGGATCTCTACCAACACAACAACAGAACAGAAAGAAAAGAAAAAGGCCAAGAGGGGAGAGTTTGGATTCATTGTTCCCTTAATTGGTGAATTTGAGCTTCAAATTAACAATTGTTCCCTTAAATTTCTAATTTCTCTGCTGAACGTGTGAATTAGCTTCAATTTACTTATTTTCGTACAGCGTTAAAGCAGTTAGCAAAGAAGTTAATTCGCTTTATTGTTTTTTTTTTTTATCTTTTAATCGTGATATTAAACTGAATCATCTGTTGGTGGCGGGAAACTAAAGTCAGATGTGACTTTGGGAAACCTCAACTGGCATTTTTCATTATTTGCCACGTTTCAGAGAAACTTTCAGCTCGTCCTCACCGCCTAAAACGACCACATAGGTCGAAGTGTCCCGAAACAACATTTACATACGATGGAAAGCACGACGGCACACGCGACCGTTTCCCAAAACCACCTGCAGGGGCGTATTGAGCGTCAGCCGCACGGGACCTTCGTTACGTTACATAAGTCAGGTGACGTTTAACGCGTGGTTAACTTGTGGAAACGGTGGTAGTTTTGTCATGTTAAGGCAACAAAACCACCGGGTTAGATTGAGGAGAAGATGGTGGTTTGGGTTAAAATAAGTATATTACTTAAACTCTTTAGACTTCGTCACCTGACTTCTTCTGCCATTAGAGCTCATTATAAACTTTTATATTTAATGTAACGTAATAAGCTGCTGCATCATCGACCTATACGGCGGTTCGGTCGTTTATGTAAGATGACGACATGAATAACTTTTCTGAGAAATGTTCACCGACTTCGTTATTTCGCCGGTTTTGTTCGACGCCGTGTGAAGTGAAGAAGTCAAAAGGACTTTGTCCCCTGGGACCTCCAGCACAGTGCATTTGTTGCCTAAATTTTAACCACAGACTTCTCTACGGGAAAACAAACAAGACTGTGAAACAACTTTGTTTCCCCTCAAAACAACCAGCAGAGCACAAAGATAATTTCTAGGAGACGTGACAAGGTTTTTAACGGATGGACGATCAATCAAAAGAATTGCACGTCCTAATTTTTATATTATATAAACGCGAAATTCATCCTGTGACGTTTGCACTAAATTAAAACTGTAGATCCACAGTGTGGGTCGTTAGGGAATATCATTAAGGTTAATTTAAGGGAAGCCATTCAGCAATATGAGAAACTAAAGTTGTAATTTGAAGACACAAATTGCACCAATAACTTCACACCGATACGTTTGTGTCATGCTGCTAACCTAACTGAACCAATCAGAGCTGAGCGCGTGCAGAAGCTCGCTGTTGTTTCTTGTCCCTCTCCAGAGAACAACTCTCAAACCGCTCTCCCGACTTTTGGCTTCCTAAAACTCTAATAATCAGATCACAACAAACAAAAACTAATAAAAATCACTTCCTAAAGATGAATCAAATAAAAATAAAAAAAATTACCACAAAATGTACGTCTGTCGTCGACAAACTCAACCATTGCACAGCATTCAAACCCAAAAAAGCTCTCCATAAATATACACATGCAGATATACAAGTGTGGTCGCTCGGGCAGCCTGGGCGCCGCTCGCAGAGACTCGCTGTGTGATCCTGTAGAGGAGCAGCTGAGGTTTCAGGGAGTCAGAATCAGGAAGCTGTGAGGGATCAACGAGGACGCTCAGGGCCAACGGAGGCTCGGGGGGCCGCCGCGCCTGCTGGAGGTTCAGGGCGTGTACAAGAAAAAAGCAAAATCATCTGAAAACATTTTGACCACAGCTTCTCGACCTTTCAAAAACACATGATCCAGGAACTGAGGAGCCACGGGAACCGAGGGAGGTTCCTGCAACGTGTCGTCATGAAGGTTTAAAAAGCAAAACGGAGCGGGCGAGAGACGTCGTTTTGACACGTGACGAGACAAACTGTTGTGATGTTTGAATGCTGAGGTGGCTCTGCAGAGCGTCCGGCGCTGTTGGCACAAGTTGACCCTCATCGTAAAAGTTCCTGAGATCCTAAAAAACACAAAAAAAAGGAAAAGTTCCTGCAGTGAAAGAGGGCCGAGCGTCTCGGGGGGAACCGGAGGGTCATACTGGCGGTTTCACATGTTTCACCTTCCTTTCAGTTTCAGTTCATTTACATGATGCAGGTGTTTGTGTCGTGGCTGCAGCTTTAAAAAACACACGGTCAGAATTTTGTTCTGCATGATTTCATTTCTTTAAGCGTCTGTTGGGCGAACGTTTGGAGAACACAGAGCTACACAGACTTTCTGACGACACAGCTTTAAAAGGCAAATTACAATCCGGGCCACGATTTCCATATTAGACAAATCAGTTTGCAAAAGCTCAGAGCATCTTTGAATGGAGTCCAGTTCCAGCAGTTTAGGGGCCTACGTGGCATCAGGTCATAAAGAGAATAACAGAAGCTGAAACAATTAGTTGATTAACAAAAAATTCTTCTTATTATTCCTTCAGTATTTTTAAACCTGGGCCATATTTTTTACAAGCGTGTTTGTTGAAATGACTCGTAGGTACAGAAAGTTTTGCCTCCGTGCAGCAGACGCTTCAGCCGGCAGCTGAACCAGCAGCAACGTATTCCTTCCTGTCAAAACGGCGTCCGCAGAAACAGCCTTTTGTTGCCCAGCTCCGGCTCTCATTTCCACCGACGGCGTCTTCCTCCAACAGCTCACTCACTCTCTCACGAGATTTCAGAGCGGGACTTCAGTTTTCTGTTAAAAACAAAGGGGGTCACCCGGAGTCCCTCGTAGGGTGATGCTTTCCATGATGTTGTCAGAAACCTGGCAACAAGAAGCACTTTGTGTGGACGCCATTTTGACAGGAAGGAACACTTTGCAGTCGGTTCAGAAACTTTCTGTACTTAAAAGTCATTTCAACCCCAACATGTGTGTTTAAAAACAGTAACAGCTTTTTAAATCTGAATATTTTCTTGTAGTAAACCGAGCATCAGGTTTCTATTTATTTATATTTTGTAGACCTAAGAAATCTCGTTCAGCTGCAGCCCAGGTTGACTGTGGTGGATTATCAGCAGGAAGTGAACTGAAACCAAACAGCAGGTTATTTTGTAAACTGGAGGAAGTTAACAGGCAGAAACCACCAGTACGCTCACTTTCACCGCAACACCCAGTTACACCTGTGGCCTCACTGTGTGTCGGACATTTAAAAACGGCTCCACGACATCGTCCATCAGTTTGAAATCTCTTCAGATAATATTCACATCACGACAGAGTTCTTCTTCTTAAATGTCCGACTTCTTGCAGCGTCCAAATGGGACGCCGTTAACTCGCTGCGTTCAGTCCTGATAATCCAAACCAGGATCAATACTGGTGCCTTCTTGTGTGGCTCTGTACAATTCATAGTCTATGACAGGAACTAAAAACAACAACAACAACAACAACAACAACAAAAGAGAAGAAACAAAAACAGGAAAAACAGCAGCATTTCACCGACAACATCCTTCTCTCTAAAGCAGACACCGATTCTGAAGGAGAGAGACGAGGAGTGAGCGCGAGGTAAAGGAATCTGGAGGAATGACGGGAACGTTGTGACGGGAGGGTTTCAGAGCACAGACGCGCACATTTCAGTTTTCACTTTGTTTGTTTTCTTTCCAGGGTTTGAGGTAACCAGGACTGCCACAGACGTGCAGGGGGAGACACGCACTCTTCAACAAACACTCAATAAATTAAGAAATAAAAAACACCATCGCTTCCTCTCTCTCTCTCTCTCTCCCCCCTCCCCTGGTGGTGGGACCAAACGTCGAGGAGGTCGGCAGGACAACAACAACAACAAAAAAAAACAAAACGTTGAGCTGGGAAGAGGAAGTAAAAAAAAAAAAACTTCCTGTCACAATCTTCAAAATAAAATTCACAGTCCGCTAACGTCAGACTTTAATAAAACAACTGTGGGGAATGAATTCCTGCTTCGTTCGGCTTCGTGTCCTGATTAAAGTCTTATTCTCTCCTGCCCGAGTGTAGCAAACAGCGCTGATCCAGGACCAACTGAGGAAAAGAAGCCGCGCTTAAAAACAACAACAACAACAACAACAACAACAACAACGCAAAGTGTGTGTGTGTGTGTGTGTGTGTGTGTGTGTGTGTGTGTGTGTGTGGAGAAACAGCGTGGGGGAAGCGGTGGTTAAAACCTGCTACATCTGTCAGATTGCATTATTGTCGCCGCGTTGAGGCGCAAAGACGCCGCGCAGACGTAAACACAGTGAGTGTTAAAACGCAGTTCAAAAGGAGGAAACGCTCGGAGGTGCTTGGCGGTTAACTGTGTCGTGTTGTGTGGCGCGTTACGTCGTCATGTTTGGGTACGTGGTCAAAAAAAATAATAAAAAAAAGTCCTAAAAATCCAGTTGGCAAGCGAGCACGCTCAGTGTGTTCAGCCCCCACCCCGGTGGTGTGTTTATCGCTTTTTTAAAAATTAAACCATATTGCACAGGGCTGGAATGACTTCAACAACAAACTAAGCAACAATTCTACCCGACGATTAAAACCATCATGTCTCTACTATCGTAGATGGAAAATCCAATCTAGTACCGAGTTATTTTCTTATTCCTCCTTAAAAGACTTCAGCAGCAGGGTTTGTTTTTTTTAATTCAGCACCGGAAATGCCTCGAGCATCAGCTGTTTGGGTCGTTAAAAAACAAAAGTTAAGCTTTCATGTTCTGGAAACTTTGCAGATTTGTAGGAGGGGAAAGAAACTGAGGTTTTTCCCAGAGGAGCTCAGGTGAGGCGGCGGGTTCCTCCCTCCGCATCTCGCCAGGTGAACAAAAAAGAAGTAAAAGACCCAAACGCTTCAGTCTTCAGACGCCACGGCCGATGAAATCCTCTCTCAACAAACTGCTGGCGCTCCTCGGGAGGAAGAGGAGGAGCGTTCATCTCTCCTCCTTCCTGGACACCTTGGAGGAGTGCCATGCCGTGGACCTGAGGACAGAAGAGCGGAGACATTCATCCATCGGTTCAGACAACTAGAGAATCCAGTTGATTTTCAAAATAAGATCGTATATAAATCAATAAACAGTTAAAAACAGACAAAAAAACAAACAATTTAACTATGTAGCCTACTTAACCATAGTAGAAACACAAAAACCAAGGACAGCCGAACAAATCTACAAAGTCAGCAAAAATCAGGCAGAACCCTCTTATTCTGAAATGCTTCATGTGGCTGTGTAACATTAGCCTGCAGAGAGCCGTTATCCACACTGCGTGTCGCCATTATGCCACGATTTCCTCTAGTTTCGTTTGTTCTTGTAAAATGTGCCCGCTCTGATCGGTGAGTAGGACCGCGAGGGCGCAAAATATACAGTGACAACCGTGGGGGGGTCAACTCCTCCACCTGAAGGAGGGCGGGGAGGCGCCTGTTCCCATGATATCTGACGGGAGGCCCACAGTCCCAGAATCTCAGAAAACCCCCGGATTAATCAATTCATCACATGACCGAAAACGAGCGGTTTAAGTAATTTTTCCCTGTAAAACATCAGATGTTTCAGCCTCTCTCCTGAAGATCTGCTGCTTTTCCTCTGAATGATTGTAATTTTAGTTAATAGTCTGATACTGAACAGTTCAGAATGAGCTCCAGCTCCTCCTCCTCCTCCTCACCTGATGAAGGTCTTGAAGGCAGCACTCTGAGGGTTGATGCACAGCGGCACTCGTTTGCCCTGCTGGTGCTCCGTAATGAAGCGATGGATGAGCTCTGGCGTCGGGACAGAAAAGGAGATCGGCCATCAGGGTTTAGAAACACACACGCACACAGTTTAGTTTCAGCAGGAAGCGACGCCGGCGTTTGTACCTTTTCCCTGCCACACCGACAGCAGACTGTTCTCGTAGCTGTGGCTGAACGGCCGCTCGGCGACCGGCTCGAAGTCGCGGGTGTAAACTCGCCCGCTGGGAACAGAGTAGCAGCACTGACACATGCAGGTGTGGTAGCGCAGGCGCCCTTCGTCCAGGTACGGGTGGGAGAGGGCGTCGCTGCCGGAGATCCGTTTAGCCTGGGAGGTAAAAAACACAGAGAGTCCTGATGCAGGAGAAACTAAACGCACAAAACACAACAACATCAAATAGAACAAAAGCCAAAATCCTTTAGTTTGTTTGGACTCACGGGATCGAAGACCAGCATCCGACAGAGCAGGTGCACCGCCTCGTGGGTGGCGCCGTCAGACAGCATGTAGAGCACCGACAGCGACGGCTGAGGACCACAAACAAACAGTTGCTGTCATCAGTCTGAAAACACCTCACACCCCAACAACATGCTCTCAGAGGCAGAGAAGTATGAGGTGGGAGTGAGTGCCTTTGTTTTCACTTTCAGTTGTTACTTTAGGTGAAGACCTTGTTAAGCAGATCGAGCGTCAGTCTGATGCGTCGGCGTCTTCATCAGTTTATTTCATAAAGTGTTTCTGACTGTGTTCAGGGCCGCAGGAACTCTGGCCTCGTGTTGCTTTGCGGTTTAGTACATACATTTTAAATTTAAAAACACTGCTATCAGATCAAAAATCACCGTCAGGTATCAGACATTTAATTTCCTGTAAATAAAAAATTTACAATTTAAACTTTAATCCTGCTTTTGAGAGATTAGTGTTCAGATAATGAGGATTATCACCAACCTTACAGATCTACTAAGCTTTTTTACGTGTTAATAATTAATAATGCACCTGTTTTCTGATCCATAAAGGAGCGAATAAAGTGGGATTTGTACTTCCGCATCAAATCGACGGCGTAGCCTACGCAGTAGCCTGACGTGCACCTCCTCAAATGGAACTACACTTCGGGGCGTCACGGACCGTGCGATTGGTCGGTTGGGAATGCCCCCGAGCCGACAGGAAGTGCTCCGGGCTTTGAAGTAACTTTTACTAGCGGCCAAACCAGCGGCTGCAACACGGTGGATCAATATATTTAAGCATCACAACCCGAGCGAAATGACTCGTTTCACTATCAGACTGTGATCCGTTCGGTCGGTAACATTTGAAAAGTCTACACCAGCCGCATGTAGTTTTCCCCCGTTCAAGTTAGCGGAGCGCTAAACCGGAAGTTAGCCCGCTCGGCTGGCAACAGTCAACACAGTGGACGCTGTGGCGCTACCGCCGACGCACAAGTATAAATGCATGGCTACGTGCGTAGACTTGACCCAGAAGTATAAATCATACTTAAGGCAGCAGATACAGCGCCGAGCGCGAGTACTGCCCTCTGGGGGCCAAAAACCGATAAAGCGGCTTTAAGCTTTGGTCACAGCTGAGCTAGGAGACGTTAGAGAACCAGAAAAACACAGCAGCTTCCTTTACGGGATACTTTTTACTTCACTTCATCTATCCAACAGCTTCAGTTAAACATTACCAATAAAAATTATTTTACACAAAAAAAACATGAAAAGTTTAATAATTAAACTCCAACATTTAATATAAGTACAGCTGACGTGATCATTAGATCAACACTGGAATTAACTGCCAACAACTTTGATGGTTTAAAACAATTATGTGGAAACATTGAACGGCTCACAAATGTGAAGCTTCACTGCTTTTCCTTTCAATAATGTTAATTTATTTGTGATCAAGTTTAGCTTTGTGCTGTTGGTTTGATAAAGTAAAGCACTGTGAAGGTGTCACTTTGGGCCCCTATTAAGAATATTGAAAATCGATTAACGTCTTAACATTGCAACGGCAGCAGCTTTCGGTACGTGCACACAGCTGCTGTGTTAACTTCAGCCTCATGTGATCCACCGTTTGAAAGCAAAATTGAGGCGACTCTCTTAATCCACCGATCGATTATATTCCAAGAAAAACAGTCTGTTACGTTGTCAAAGGTCCAGACGATCTAATCCAGTAAAAACATTTAATCCAAAACACATTTTTCCATCAGTAAATCCCCAGACCCAATAGCCCTGCGCTGTAAGGAAGGGACGGCCCCTATTATTTCGTGGAAGTTCATGATCTACCAGCAAAAACACACGTCTGCGTCGAGCTGCCGGCTCACACAGAGCGCTGCAGCCGCCCGCCGCCAAGGGGCAGTGCCGTTTGAGAACAAATACACTAAGACATACACTCAGAAAAACCTGTGTAAAATAATCCTTTTTCATGGTATTGGTATGAAATTTAAACTAGGACTAGGTAAGGCTTCATCCTGTGGCCCTACAGTGTTTTCCAGCTATAGTTGTCTGCATGCATTTGTTAACAAGCATTTTCAAGCGGAAATGAAAAATATTAATTTTAGTGTGTTTAAACTTACAATCATTCTGACTTTTGGGTTAGACACTCCAGAGCGTTATCTTTCAGAGAAGCCCAAAACAGGCAGATACTACAAATGGTTCAAGAACTACATTCAATTTACTTTGGATATAACTTGAATAGGCGTTTTGCATGAATTTTACAGGAAGAGGTTAATATCTGTACTTTGACTCAAGTACAGGATTTGTGAACTTGGTCCATCGCTGCTCTTATCTAACCTTTTAGTTTCTGCAGCAAAATGTAAAAAACATTCAGCTAACATTAGAAGGCGCCTCTATAGCCAGGTTAAATGACCACATAACAAACTGTAGCTAATTAATGTTCATTAGTACTCAAAGTAGTCTCTGCAGGCTGGCGTCTGTACTCAGCTGGTCTGTTTCTGTGTCTCCTCTGAGGAGGGTTTAGGTACAGAAGTATTTTTGTTGGTAGTGTTGGCGGTGGATTCAGTGCGAGCACACCACACAGTCACGTACCGGTTTGTGCGGCCCCCTCAGGATGTGGGCTCTGGCTCCTTCGCAGGCCGACGCCAGGGCCGACAGAGGAGGCGTTCCCAGCAGGTCTGTGATCAGATCCAGCTGCAACAGAACAGGGAGGGACGACATGCAGTGTGTTAAAGACAGAGCTCTGATGTTCTAAAAACGACACTGGATTTGTCTCGTGAGGTGACCCACAGTTTCTCTTAATCTTGCCATAAACTAAGCGAGGAAACGAGGAAACACGTCTCTAGAGAAGTGAGTCGTCGTTTCCTCTGAAGCGTCACGAGAAGCACGACCGTTTGTGATGACGGCAGCAGCTGATCGCAGCTGGATCAGCTGTCTGTCAACTCGTGATGGTGCTTGTGTCTGCACATGTGCTGATACTACTAAAGGCTCAGTTATACAGTATCTCACAAAAGTGAGTGCCCCCCCTCACATGTCTGTAAATACCTGATTATATCTTTTCATGTGACGACACTGAAGAAATGACTCTTTGCTCCAGTGTAAAGTAGTGAGTGTGCAGTTTGTATAACAGTGTAAATTTGCTTTCCCCTCAAAATAACACATCACGTGCGTGAGCTTACTGTAAGCTGAGATCAATGACTGATCTCGTGGCATTTGTGAGACCAAGCAAAAGGTGGTTCCGCCAAAAAAAATAGTCACACTTCACAAAACAAACTTCAGTGTGTCCCCCTAGGAATATTACTCGTGTCCGCGAGCATGCGCTGCACATTGGAACAGCTTAAAACTGCAGTGTTTACCCAGTTTAATGTGAGCTTTACATGAATGTTATGGTGTGTGGGTGGAAAATTTTATGTTTTCCAATGAAAAATATGTAATTTCACATCATATTGGGCCGTTATTTTTTATTTTAGGTTTATTATCTGCTGATAATAAATGAACAACAGCCAAAGATCAGTCTGCTGGAGGAACGACAACCTTTAGATCTGGAGAAAGTTACACTGATAGCACAGCATGTTTTGGGCATTATTATAGATACGACTGTTCATGTTTGCCTTTTGGGTCTTCATTTTACAGCTTCTCACATTTATCTGCAGACATTAATATAAAAAACAGGCAACATGAGAAACCTCCTCCTTTCTGAGGTGCATTTTATTTGCACATTAAAATCTAAAAAAGAAACGTCTCCTCATCGGCTTACAAGGACGAGTTTGCACTAATTAGCTTTACTGACCTCAGCTCCTCTGGTCACCTCCGTCCTCTCTTTTCCTAACAACCACTTTTTCAGACTGAAAAATAATTGAATCAGTCTGTACAGGACGGAGCTGCAGGCTGCGTCAGTTTAGTCTAAGTTTGTACCTGATGTTCTCAACATTGGACAAGTAGGCAGTAATAAAAGAAGCTTCCAGTTACTTTCTATAAATTGAACAAATGTTCAGTTACATAGCAGCTGTGTAGCTGCTGTAGAAGCTGCTCAGCTGCAGTCTGAAGGGGAGATATTAGCTAACTTAGCGCTAACCGGCTTCACTTTCCCAGCAGGTGGGAAACAACAGACTCTTCTTGGTCTTGAGAAGCTGACACGCTGTAACAGACGCCGTACATTTACTGCCAGAATATTTTCCTCCGCTCGCGTTCACCGTCACTTTCTGCCGCTCGGACAGTCAAACACTCGCTACGCACCTCCCGATTCAGAGTTACGCTGCTGCTCTTCTAACACCATCGGTCACGTATGTTCAGCATAGAACGAGGAGAGGAAGCGAGCCGAGCATTGAGTGCGGTGCGCCGCTGCTGAATGCATATAGAGGAAACACTGCACATACCGTGGGCAAGGAAAATACTAACTTATGATTGGATGGAGGAGGTGATGACCTCACTCATTAATCCTCATCGCTTCGTCGACTGACAACCAATTTATTAAGCAAAAAGCCAAATATTCTCTGGTTGTGGTCGTTTAAATGTGATGACTGAGGAAACTGAACATGAATACAATTTATTTTCTGACATTTTATAGAACTGATTTACCAAAATAATCAGCAAGGGATCGATCAATATAACTGATCATTTGTTGCGGCTAGAAACATGTGGAAGGCAGGAAAACTGGCAAGTTAGTTAAACAACATTGTGACTGTTTGGTCAAACACACGTCCAAGCAGGTGATTATCAAACAGGACACAGCTGTGGAAAACACATTCGGCACAACCTATGAAGCAATCCTCTCCTGCAGCATCTCCCTTCCCTCCCTTGTTCCCCATAGTCTTGTTTTCTTCCTCTGTACCTACATTAAGTGGCAGTACGAACACTTAAGTATCTTATTGGTATCCAGGTCATACAACACAATCACACTGTGAATAACCAGCTGTGTTACGACGTGTCACCACAGTTTCTGGTGATGTTAGAAGAAGCAGGAGAAGCTGAGTGTCTCCTTAATAACACCCTGAGTTGAATGTTTAAAAAACACCTAAAAAAAACAAAACCTCTACAGGTGTTCCAGGACCTGTTTTCCAGGACCTGGTACAACGCGGACTCACCTGCTGAATAGGGCTCTGAGCCTGGAAGAGGATGCGTCGGCCCAGCAGCTCCGCGAAGATGCAGCCCACTGACCAGACGTCGATGGCCGAGCCGTAGTGTCGGCAGCCCATGAGCACCTCCGGCGCCCTGTAGTACTGCGTCACCACCTCCTGGGTCATGTGACGGGACGGGTCGGGCTCCTCCACCCGCGCCAAGCCGAAATCACAAATCTAAACCGGAGACGAGATTCGGTTAGGGTCAAACCCACGGTTCTGCAACAAAGTGATCGTTGTTGCAGGGGACGTCCGATTTTAGATGGAGACGTGGGGTCGGTTTCTATTTCTAGTAGCATATTTCATCGGTTCTCCCCTCTCGCTTAAAAAATAAAATAAAAAAAGCAAACAGACAAATCTGAGGTTTACCTTCAGCAGGCAGTTGCTGTTGACCAGCAGGTTTCCAGGTTTGATGTCCCTGTGAAGGATCCCAGCAGAGTGCAGGTACTTCAAACCTGCAACAAAACAACAATCACTTTATTGGTTTTACCCTCAAAGTTTAACGACCTGGAGGTGCTCAGAGATCTGAGGCTTGAGACTGTATTTAGATAAGAAGAGGAAGCTGCAATATTAAACTATCCACTGCTCTTTAAACTCTGTCCTCCTCGAGACATTCTGGTGTCAGGTACGCTGTGGTAAATCAGAACGCTGCTGGTCAAGTGTTTGTCTTGTAGGTTTTACAGTAACAAGCAGCTTTTTAAATGTAAAATACAGTAAGTCACATTTTTCTAAATATCTGATTAGATCTTTTCACGTTTCAACACTGAAGAAATGACTCTTTGCTATAAAGTAGTGAGTGTGCAGCTTGTATAACTGTAAATTTGTGGTCCCCTCAAAATAACACATCACACAGCCGTTAATGTCCAAGTGAAAGTGAAAATGTCTGGTGAAAACAATAAAAAAAACAATAAAAACATATTTGCAGGCTGGATTTGACACTAAATTATAAACATGGTGGTTAAGTGTTCTGGAGGTTTGAGACTCAAGATGCACCGATCAGACACCGACTCAGGGGGCCAATGAATTCAATTACATTACACGCGTAATACTCAATGCGTTAGCAGTGCGTCAGGAGACCCAAACATTTCGCTAGGAGAGCAAACACAGCATTTTGTTTTACTAAACAATCCCAGTCTCGTCCTCACAGAGAAGAATAAAGCTTATTCATTTTACACCGGTGTCGGCTCACTACTCGACGTCAGCTGATATCCAAAGCCCAGGTTTCGGTGCGGGGACTGAAAAAACTGGTTTGTTGCCAAACTATGAGACCCTGTCCCTAAACGGACTATTTAAAGTCCTGTGCTCATAATATAAGTGTGAAAATTGATTCTGTCAATGCCAATAACTGCACAGAGGACACACTTCAGTTTGAGGGATTAATGTACGACTTTAGAAAGATAGAAGAAATCATCATTTTTAAAAAGATTTCTGATGCAACGCTCAGAATGAACCTAGCAGCACGCACTGCCCACTAGATGAATCCTTATCTGGAATATCGCTCACTACAATTCGATAAAGTTAATTAAATTATTTGGTACTTCAAAAAGCCTCAGTTTAGCTGGAAATTTACAGTGCAAGTTCAATGAATAGAGACTGCAGCTCTGCAGCTATCTGAAGAGGCCCCTTTGAAAAAATGTGATGAGCATTCTTCTGTATTTTCTGACATTTTAAGACCAAAAAACTGATCAGGAAATGGATCAACAGAGTAATCTGTACTGAAAATAGGCATTATTTGCAGCCCTACACACAAACATGTTTTAATAACTATCACATTGTGCATCTCTGCAACATAAATTACTATTAGAGCTTTGCAAATACTCCACTCCTGCTGAACTGACGCCGACTCTCACCTCGGAGGATCTGATAGAGGAAGACCTTGATGTGGTCGGTGGTGAGAGGCTGAGGAGACACGATCACTTTGTGGAGGTCGCTCTGCATCAGCTCTGTTATCACGTAGCTGCGGGGCGGTTGGCTGTCAAGGAAAACAAAACACGCACTGACCCCCGCCTACGCGAACACGCTGCATCTCTGAGCACAGGTCTCCTTTTCGCTTGTTGAACAAGTGTCAATAAAAACAAAAAGGAGCATCGTGTTAACAGCTCATATTAAAATATTCACTGATGGCCGATCTGCAGCGATGCGCTGCATTTAGACCAGAGGCGAGAAGCTAAATTAAGTGAATGAAAAAAAAGGAGGACATGATAGGGGCAATTAAAAGAAGAGAAACTGGGACAGAAGGTGTGAGGAAGTAGATGTGATAAGGTGTGCTGGAAATGGCAGTGGGTTCTGTCTATATGATGAGAATATAAAAAAAAAAAAAGAAGGATACATTTCCTCGAAGCAGTCGATTTGTGGAGGCTGCAAAATGTCCAGAGCTGACAAAACCTGATCGGACACAAAAACAGACAGCAGTTAGTCCCCCTCCTCATCTGTGCAACATCTCTGATCCCCCGTCTATTCCCCTCCTTCATCTGGTCATTACATTGTCGTGTTTGAAGAAGCACAGCATCCTCAGCTCTCTGAAGACCCTCTTACAGGAGACCAGGTTCTGGAAGACATTGGGCATCTTCTTCAAAGCCACCTTGCGACCATCACGTGGATCTGTGACCGACCTGACAGAAAAATCGAGAACCCGATATTTAGACACAAGCAAGAAAAGCAGTTTTCCTGTGAGAGTTGGTTTAGCAGGGCGGGACATTCAAGCGGCAGAAAATAAACTATTTCCACAGAAGTCGTTTTGATAATCAATTACTCGTTTGAGGCATTTTATTTTGCACAAATGCATAATGTTTGCAGGTTCTAGATTTACACGTTTGTTTTATATGATAGTAAAATTTATATTTTTTGGGACTTGGGCTGTTTGTCAGGCAAAACAAACATTTTGAAAGAAAGATTATTATTTAATTGCCCCTAAAATGTAGAAATTAAAATCTTTAACCTGTTCTTGTAGGTTTTAGCCCATTTTCTACAAATCACATACTTTCCATTGCTGGCGATCATAGGAAGTAAATTATTTTGCCTCATCATCATGACGCTGAAGTTAGCTTCTGATTCAGCAGTTAGGGGTAAAGTTAAGGGAAACTTGGGTCCGGATGAAAACCACTAAGCCTAGAGCTGTCAAATCTGGACCAGACTGTCCCAGAGAGGCTGAAGTTTCTTTAAAACATTATTTAAGATTCGTGAAAATTAAAAAGACACGGTCTGATGCAGTCTACATGTAAAAATAAACACGTAAATTGTCCTTTTTGTTTCCATCCATCGTCAACTGCTTATCCTGCGTACAGGGGTCGCAGGGGGAGCCAATCCCCACACTGTTAGTCCTGATTAATAATGAGCGTTTACCAGACAACACCAAATGCGCCATAACCGATGGGGCGGTCTGGCTCCATCTCTGCGGGGCTGGGCACCTCGCTGGCCGGGTTGCTGTAGGGCTGAGGCACCGCCGCTCCGCCGCCGGTGCTCCCTCCGAGGGCTGTGGGGTGACGAGGGGTCCCAGCCGGGGCAGTGGGTCCGGTCAGGCACGGCGTGGCGCTGAGGCCCGTGGAGGGGGCCCCGCAGGAGGAGTTGACACAGAAATACTTGTGGCCCAGCTCGGAGCCCGGAAACAAGTCTCCACAGACGGTCTGCCGGCCCGTGCCGTGAAACGCCATTCTCCTCTCACCAAAACCCCGAATCAGCCAACTGTGTGTGCACCAAGATGCTGCTGCTGCCCGGCTACTAGGCTCGGGGGAAACACAGCTCCTCACTCAGCATGGTCCGCTAGATTACCTGTGTGCATACAGGGGACAGACATGATTATTCTCCAATAATATCATATTTTGCATATCACGGTCAATTTATATATTTATATAAATACAAATCCTCTCCCCTGTAATGTCTGCACAACACAAACCTAGAGTAATGCACATAATGCAAATGATACAAATGTCTCTGCACATGGAAATACTGTTTCATCTGGTGTCGGGTACAGACCTGGCACATATTTATTGTTGATCTTAGTTGTTGTATATTTTTATGCTGTAAGTTTATATATTTATATGTACACAATATTCCCTTCTTTTGAGTTACTTCTGCACGGCACAGACCCAGAATAATGCACATGTATATATCTGCAACATTGTTCTTCTATTCCATATTTATATATTTCTACATTTATTTATGTCGACTGTATGTTTGTCTACGTGTTGTACCTCATCACCACAGCAAATTCCACTACTTGGCAATAAAGCTCCTTCTGATTCTGATAATTATATTATATTCTATCTTAATGTGCAACATGCTGCAAATTTCCAGTCTTACAGTCAGTTACATATTTTTATGAAGATATAGAAATAAAATGTACTATTATTACTACATTTATTTATTGTCACCTGAATGTTTACGTCTACCTCTCGCACATTATCACCACAGCAAATTCGTCGTACGTGTAATATATTCCTTGGCAATAAAGATGATTGATTGTGATCGCTGACGATGTAAACAAGAGAGATCGATACCAAGATGAAGAAGGCAAAGCCAAGGCGGCTGCAGCCAGACCGAAGCTAGTTTAGCAACCGAGCTAATAAGAAAAACAAATTTAAAAAACAAAAAAAAGTCATAAGCCTATTGTTTAAAGCACATATAATGATGAAACAAGCCCCTGGATGTGGCGTTGACAGCTATCGATCACTTGATTCACACACTGTAATTAATCCGGGAGCTGCTCTTACCTGGTTTAGTGAAGTTAACTTAGCTAGCAGCGTCCAGCTAACTTAGCTAACGACGGTCAGCGACGATTCCCAAAACATGAACAAATTAAAAAGGTTAAACGCGATGCTAACCCCGGGCCACGCAAGCTGCAGAGTAATTCTAACTTAACACAAGCTGGTGCATTAACGTAATTGCCGGACGGACTGAGAAGGCAAATCCTTTTTTTTTTTGCCGTCGGGCGACCAGCTAGCTTTCCGTGCTAACCAGCTGTTCAAGCTAGTAGGTTAACGTTAACCCACTGATGACCCACATAACTGTAACTGCTCCGGTACGGTGACCTACATATTTTAGAAAGAAAGTATTCCTCGGATAACTTAATTTGTCAAGCGTACAAACAAAGCTCGGTCAAATCAGACTTGTCATGGCACGAAAACAAACGTTAAAACAGTGAAGGAAATGTCGAGTTAAGATGTTCGTCGCTGGAGCTAGCCCCGGGTTGTTAGCTAGCTCTGTGATGTAGCCGAGCAGCTAGCTTCTGACTGGCCATGGCGTCGTAATATCCGCGCAACACGCGTCCCATTAAGGCGGTTTCTTGTGGTTCTGGATGGATTAGTCTCATCCAGGGAGGCCCCCTCCGTGTTGTTTGACAACCAGGTGGGTTTGGAGTCGCTTTTTTACAGCTACCGCTAACTGGCTAGCTCGCCGAGGAGGAGGAGGAGCTGGTGAAGCCGGGTGGGGGAGGGTTGAGGCTTCTCATCCTGCTGTAAACAATGCTAACGTAGCTTAGCTTTAGTGGCTACCGCAGGAAAAAAGTGTGCATAATCCGCAATCACGCGACACCCCAGGAAGAACATTTGAACTTGACTTCACACATGCATTTTAATGCCTTTTAATAGGTTAGATTACCACATAATTTATATTAAAGCCATCATTTTAGTAAAACAGAACAATGGCATCTGGGTCTGTCCACCTGGAGGAGGAACTAGTTTAAATTAGTGTATTAGTACAATATTATAACGTTAAATAAAAAGTTTAATGTTGGTATAATAATAATAAATGTCTCTGGGTTACACTTATTTGGCCAACTTCTGCCTACAGATACTTTTGATTAGTGCTAATGTTCTCAAAGTGGGGTTCGGGGACCCCCAGGGGTCCATTAGGAGGTTCCAGGGGGTCCCTAGCAAAAAGGGGAATAATTTATTTTCATTATAATTCCATCCATAAGTAACACAATGACATAATGTATGAGATTTGGGGTCATGGGTTTCATGGGAACATCTAAAAGCAAAAATCTAATCAAATGGGGGTCCGTGGTATCATTTGTGTCAGTTCAGGGGCCCTTGATGTGAAAAAGTTTGATAACCGCTGTGTTAGTGTATTCATTATAATCTCAGAACACAATCTCCTTTGTAGCTTATCACTAATATTAATTCCAGTGACAGCAGTTTCATTATGGCAGCTTGTGAGAAGTGCTGGTACTCATGTAGGAGTGAGTGTACTGCCTACCAGTGAGCACCGGCTCACTTCAAGCACTGCCTTAGGGCATTTTTTAAGCTCTTCAGGCGCCATGTGCCACTGTTGACAAGCTGCTGCTCTGTCTTGGCTGCATTTTCTGTATTAAACGATCTAAAAAAGCAAAAATCCAATCAAATGGGGGACTTGCGGACAAAATCTTATCAAATGGGGGTCCGTGGTCTAATTTGTGTCAGTTTGGGGGTCATTGAAATGTTTGCTGACGTAAAGGACGTGTAGGCCTACATGACATCCCGGACAATTTTTTTGCGATTTAGAAATCCCAGGCGGACGTATTTTTTAGGTCCCAAAAAGAGGACACGTCTGAGAAAGAGAGGACATACGGTCACCCTAAAGACACTCATGAAGATCATTTGAACTTGAATCCACACATGCATTTTACTGCTTTTTAATACAGTAGTAACGAGGCGCTATGCATCAAGTACAATCAATATGCACAGCCACAGAAAATGTGTCACCAAGGTAGCTACAAATTACATGGCAATTTTACCTTTTTCCAAGAATTACAAATCGGCATCCATCCTAAGAGCAAAGACCATAAGAAGTAGGGCTGCAACTAACGATGGTTATCGTCGACTAATCTGTCGATTTATTTTTCTGGATTAATCGATTAGTTGTTTGGCCTACAAAAATGGTGACAAATGTCATCTTGCTTTGTCCACAACCCAAATATATTCACTTTAACGTCATAGTAGGAGAAAAGAAACAAGAAAATACTTAGCTTAACTTAATTAAAACTTTTTTTTCTTCAAATATTACTCAAACAGATGAATCGATTATCAAAATAGTTGGTGGTTAATTTATTAGTTGACAACTAATCAATTAATGGACTAGTCGTTGCAGCTCTAATATGAAGCAGAGAAGTTATGCACATTCAATGTTCATGTGGGATATACACAAAAACAAGTATCAGTCTGCCTTTGTCAGCTATATAAAAAGGTTATATACACGACGGCCCGTCTGAAACAATTGTTCCCATGTCCTGTTTGAGGTCCCTGCTCTGAAGAATCTGACAAAGGCAAACTGGAGACTGTTAATAATTAGGGGAGAGACTGAGATAAATCATGTTCTCTTACTCAAGGTCAATTTCCACATTATAAACACTGATATCATGGATTATAAATGATCCAAAAAACAGCAAACCGCTTTACAAAAATCATGACAGGTTGTGCAAGTCCGTTGTAAAGTAAAACAATGACATGGTGGCAAATACAAACAGCTAATTGCTAAGCCATATGAATAAAAATACACATTAATTTTCCTATTAATGAATGAGCAGAGGTTTCCTTTATTCTTGTATCCGCAGTCTCTTCCCCCGGCTTTGCGAGGCATTGTGCAGTATGTAACATGTACAGTCAGTGTGTGTGTCTCAGTGTTCGTGGCAGGTGAGCTGTTTAACACGGCTGATGGAGCCGGACGCCACAGAAGAAACAAACAAACAAACAAAAAAGGGTCCCGGAAAAGGCCGCTGTCCTCGTGAGAGCATGAGCGACGCTGAGGAGGAAAGACCACGGCAGCTTCTGTCTGCGTCCACGTTTGGCAGTCTGGTGAGAAAAAATCTGCAACGTGAGCAAAAGCAGTTCATGTAAATGTCATTTTAAACCATGAACAGTTGGGACGTTCATGGTTTTAACCATTTCCCCACGCACAAATACCAAACGTTTGCTGGTTCTAGATCAACACGTGTGAGAATTTGCTGCTTAATTTATTCAGTTCAGAGTTTTCAAGTGACTGTGTCTTTCACAAACAAAACATTTAAATGACTGAGAAAGTAAGTGGCATATTAGTCCATATTTAAATAATCATTTAGTTGTAAAATGTAGACATTAAAAAAGTGTCCACGTTTGACAGTCTGTTCAGAACAAATCTGGAATGTGAACAAGATCAGTTTATGTAAATATAGTAAACCCTGAACAGTTACAAAAGGTTTCAACAAAGTTTGAGATTTCTTTTCTGATTTATTATTATAACATTAAATGTGTGCAATCGGCGGTTGTTGGGCTGACGGTGACTGATTCTTCAACGTTTGCTGGTTCTAGATTAACACGTGAGGATTTGCTGCTTTTCTTTTGTCTTATACTAATTTTAAAACTGTCTTACTAATTTTATATACATTTTTCATGCTCTTATCTTGTTTTGTTTTTTTGTATTATTCTTTACATTTGTTAAAGCACTTTGTAACTTGTTTTTGAAAAGTGCTCTACAAATAAGGATTATTATATTATTATTATTATTATACGATAAGAGTTTTTGCAAAGTCCTTGTTAATTATCCTGTATATTATCTGTCTTAGTATTATAGTATTATTTTGGCAATTAATCTCATTCAGATTCTGATAAAATAAAAAAAATGTAAAAATCATGTTTTTGGGTTTTCGACTGCTGATCAGGCAAAACATGCATTTTTTGAGACGTCACCTTTGGGCTCTGGGACTCTCTGACTTTCATAGACAAAACCATATAAATCATTGAGAAAATAAATGGCAAATTAGTTGATAAATAATGTTTTAGTTGCCAAAAAGAAATTTAATTTTCAAAGATGGGGTTAACTATTCTAATCCAACACGTCTTTTTGTCATATTCAGTGAATATCTTGTGATGGTCCGCTAACCCACAGCTTAGCCAACGTTAGTTGGTCATTTTTTTTTAATGAAACTGGAATGAAAATGGAGCAGAAACAACAACTATCATTGAACTTCAAGTCAGACGACTTAGAGATGTTTGTAACCTCGTCGAGAAATCCAAATTCACATAACGCTTAACTGGGGAGATTAAAGAGAGAGGGTGGGCTAAAATAGTGTGCACAGTCTCCGCCGCATAGGCTATCTGGCAGCCAGCGGAGCGCTGATGCTGTTTAAAAAGAAAATAAGTCCATTTACAGTGATACGAAGAGAAAGGCAGCAGAGGAAACCGCTGGAGGCTCCTCCTGTGCTCCCTCACTGACCCCGGCAGAAACCCGTACTCTTCTCGGGAAAGATAATAATAATAAAGGCTGCGGGCTAACGTCTGCGTGTTTTTCATGCATTTCTTTAATTTAACTTCCTCCTCCTATCAAAGACTTGCACTAGGATCCTTTTGTTACATCAAGCCTTTACATTATGTTACATAATCTATTATCCAGCGTTGCGTCGCCTGCAGCCTTTCTATTAACGAGGGTTTTGTCATCAAACACATCGGTAGAATCAGTTAATAAGTTCCGCCTGTTGACATTTTTGTTGATTTTGTAAAAGCAATCAAAGAGCAGCCGTGTGGATTAAACGAGTTAGCAAACACAACCTGGTGGAAAAGTAAAAGTTAGGAGAGTTTATTTAAGATTTTACGAAGTTAGGATGCTTCTGTAAAACACTTTTCCTATCTTAGGTTAGGAAAGGAACACTGACTTAGGAACTGTTAATCTGTAACGTCCTTATTCCTAAATCAGTTCCTAGCCCTTATTGCCATGGTTACCAAGCAGTTAGGATAGGATCTGTCGGTTAGGAAGTTTCTGTGATACGACCCCTGCAGAGCAGAGTCTGCACTTTTAGGAGTTAGAACATGCAAAACACTGGATGTATTCACCGGGCAACACACCAAATGGGCCACAATCGATGGGGTGGTCTGCGCCTACGTTACCCACAATTCACTGCTTTTCTTTCTACAGTTGTGTCTGAGATTGAGGTTTGTTATGCTAGTAGTGGCTAATGAAGCCTGTAGCCTGCCCGCAGAGATGAGCAGCAGCTACAGAGGTCAGGTGAACTTCTTTCTCCACACCAACAGATTAGTTTCTTCTACTTTTAAGAAACATCTGCAGGCCCGGCACACCTGGAGGCACACGCTGAGGTGTGAAATCGGTGCACTTCCCAGTTTAATTAAATAAAAACAAATGAATAAGAACGTGTTTTTACAGACGTAATAATTCACACACCTGGACTGGATGCTGTCTTCCTCTCCACGAGTCCTCGTTTGCCTTTTCCTCCATTTAACCAACCCCCACCCCAGAACCCCCGTCCCCCCGTCCCTCCCCCAGCTCCCCCCGTCCCCTCCCCCTCGGCCTCCCAGCGTGTTAGCTGTGGGGCTGGGGGGCGATACTGGAGCAGTCAGTTACCAGCAGTCCCACAGTGCTACCGCTGGACACAGTGACAGCCACGCTGGTGGTGCCCACGGGACCCGAGCTCGTCGGGTCGGGGCCGGTGTCGGCCTGGTTGGCGTGGGTGCCCATGTGACCCTGGAGCTGCGTGGCCGTTTTGCACTGTACCCCGCACAGCTGGCAGAGCAGCACCCCGCCGGCCCCCGTCCCACCGAAGCCCCCCTGCGCCCCGCCGCTCTCCTTCCACTCCTGGCCGTGGTGCTTCTGAGCGTGGACACGCAGGTAGGTGAGGGTGGTGAAGCCTGGAAAACAGACACCTCCTGAATATATATGCTTTTTGGAAAGTTCTTCTTTTTTATTACTCAGATATTGTGATGTACTATAAGTTATCATTTTGAAATATTTTTCACATATTGCAGAACCACAGGTATGATGATATCACTGTTATTGTGACAGTATTTCACTGGGAGTTACCCTACTAATACTATTACCAATACTGAAAAGTACTGTACATACTCCTCTATAGTTATATTTTTACATTTAGATATTTTGTCATATTCTACTTACCTACTTTCTATTATTATTTCTACTCCTTGATATGCAGGTGAGCAATTTGTGACAAAGACTGTCCCCTTGGGGATCAAAAAAGTATTTCTGATCCTGTGATCCCCACCGCTCGGAGGTAAACTAAATCAGAACCACAAAAAATAACAAATGCAGCTTTTTGAGGGGGCTGTGGGAACTCACGCCAGGCTGAACTGTGAGCAAACGCCGACCACTCAAGCCTCGCTGGCGCGGTAGAAATGTTTTTCCACTGCACAGCACGGCGCGGTGAAAGGTGTTGATGACATGTTGGACTTGTGCAAGTCTGTGCAAACCACAGTTCAGCCTGTCATGTGCAGCTCGCTGTGACTGTTTCTGCTTTCAGTTTTACTGCCTGCAATATTTAAAACTGATCCTATCTTGATATTTACGCCTGTTTTTATTGAAGATGAGCATAGGGAACAAACGATTACCGGTTTAACGATAAACCGTGGGAAAATTCCCGACAGTTATTATTACCGTACAATTACCATGATAACCGGGTTCGGTTATTATAAACTCACTGCAGACGCTGTCCAGCATCAACCGAAGTTAGCGACAGTCTCCCAGAAGCAGGCGCGCATGTGCAGTATGTGGGTTTGTTTGGGTCGCTAACAACACGGCGGAAGACGGCCTGCGGAGATTTTTCAGTCACTCTGAAGCCCGGTCGTATTTTAGTTTTTATGAGAGCGCTGAGGGAAACTCGATTGAAGAAAATGACCTCATAGTGAACGCAGGGAGAGCGTTTGTCTGTCTGACCTGCTAACAGCGTGTAAGCTGAAGCTCTCAGTGTTGCTGCTCTTGTACAAAACGCTACACGTCGTTCTGCTTCTTTGTGTGTCGGCAGAGTCTGTTCGTCCGCTGCGCATGAGAACACGTTACGCTGTTTAGTCAACCAACCAGCAGATCTTGTTCACTTTAAATCCAGCGGCTGTCAAATTAGTTGTAAAAGTGTCCGAACAGGAGAATCGCTGCAGACTGCTCAGTTGTTGTTATCACTTCTTAAGACTTACTGTGCACGGGGTCATTGCATTACCTGTTTAATATAAAATCTTATAATGCACACTTAGATGGTTTTCATATGTTTACAAAAGACATTGGCTGTTTATTGTTATTGTTTACGCAAACAAAATGGTAATTTTATTTGTGGTCTTCAATATAAAACTTGTTGAAATGGTTTCTGTGTGCCGCGATAATCCTGATCATTTTGGTCACTATAATTGTGATATGAAACTTTCATACCGTTTCATCCCTAGATGAGCACCACTAAAGAAGCTCCGCAAACCAAACACGTCTAATAGCTACTTCATAATAAAAGCCTTCTGTTAGTTTGCTGGTGCAATACTTTTAACACGAAGCAGCAGCTGTAGGAACTGCTCACGGCTGAAAGTGATCAGTAAACAGTCACATAAAGCTGATCTCTAGCTGAACTAAAAACTCCAAACCACAAGAGAACTGAGAGTTTTCTCTCTGGAGCACAGACACACATGTGATGAGCCTTTTGTTCGCGGTGATGCTGCTTCGGGTGAATTGGTAAAAGGCGCCGCACCCGTGTGAGTTCGCAAAAGGTTTGCTGTGACGTTGCTGCGACTCACTGCGGTTGCAGAGGTGACAGGCGTGGTGCTGCGACTGGTTGTGGACCCTCATGTGGTCGGTGATGTAAGCGGCAGACAGCAGCTTCCCACAGATGTGACACGGCACCTTCTCCTCGTGACGGATCAGGTGGGCGCGGAGACGATCCCGTGTGGCGAACGCAGACGTGCACGTCTGGGGAAAACAGAAAGACATGCATGAATACATGTAGTGAAGATCAGCAAGATAATTTGGTTTTCTAGTGAATACACTACAAGCTAAATGGGAAAAATGTTTATAGATACAATAAGCAGAAGGGGACGTCTGTTTTTGGTAAATTAAACACCTGAAAATCTTTGTGTTTTATCACATCGATGCACAGTACACACTACATAACATCTCTGACAGCTTGTTTCATCGTCTCACAGTCTGTGTCGTCACAAAGCCGATCCTATTTATAACCACAAGTGAAGAATAACTAATAACACAAAAACAAAACTGCTGTATTGAACAGAAACAAACAGGAACCAAAACAGTTACTGAAAATGTCAAGTAAACAAGTTCAAATATGTTATGTTTAAGCAATATTTAATTTCCACGTACAGTTCTGAATGTGCGTGCGAATAAACACTACCTGCGATTACAGCTGTATGAACCCAAAGGAAACATTTTGCTGTGATTTAATTGCAATAAATGGGTGAAACTGATGCCGAAATAACTACAAAGTGACGCAGATTTGTTAAACATATGAATTCATGCTTTGTCAGGTCTGTCAGCAAGACAGCAGGACAAAAACTTCTAAAATGTTTGTTTTCTGAATGGAGTTTGGATCGATCAGGGCTATGCTACGCTAACTTGCTCACAGTAAAGTACAACGACAGCTGGAATAAAGTTACAGACACATATTTTCTGAACTCACCAAGTAGGTCAACCTCCTCGCTTTCTTTTCTCCAACTAATGTGCAGTTTTGTCCGTTTTTTATATATAAATATGAGGTCGTAGTCCTGCAGCGCTCTGGGTGCTAACAACCGACGCTAACAACAGCAGTGGAACCGGATGTGCTCAGAAGCTGCTGAGAAGCTCGAGTGAAGATAAATCAACGTTGTAATCCCAAAAACTAAAGTAAAAAGCTAATTTAATAAAAGTAGTTTACTCTGAGCTCCTCCGGTGGGTAAACGGCGTCGCTGTCAGAGCAGAATCCAGACCGACTACGGGTGTTTCTTTGTCCAAAAGCTGCAGCGCTGCTCCGGCTCTCTCTCCCCGTACTTAAGCGGCTCGCCGTCGGCCAGCGGCGTTTCACTCCCCCGCTCTGCCTGGTCCTCTCCAAACAACGCTCTGACGCTGACAGGCTTTCGCAACAGAGCGCCCACTGAATTTCAAGTTCGCTCAAGTTGAAAAATTTTAACTCGAGCAAATCAGCGAATGTCGCGACAAACGCCTCCCCCGCACCGCCCGGAGCGAATTCGCATCTTTGCATTGACTTTTGATGTAATCAAGCCGTCCAGAACGCTGGATTTGCGTTCAGTGTGAACACAGATCAATTTTCATCACCATCATCATTGTCCAGTGTTTCATGGTCTATATCAGAGGTTTTCAAAGCGGGAGGCTCTTGTGAAACATCATCTTTCGTGGCCCAAGTACACAAGTTAGCATTTTGGCAAGAACGGTTAAAATTCCCGGAAGTGTTCTTGACACGGCCATTTTACCCAGGATGCATCGGTTGGTAACTTGTGTGAACTTGACGGCAGAGATATCCCAGCATTCATTTCGGCATTCAAGCGAGGGGCCGAAAGAAGCTGAGAGGCCGACAACAGAAGGTTTTCTACTATTTTTGTACGTTTTTTCATCACTAAATCCACTTCTGAGAAGGTTTGAGGTGAGAAATCAGCTGTTATTCCTGTTAAAGGGGCTATATGTAGTTTTTCTACTAAAGGGGGTTGTAATCTGACCTTAAAATGATCCACTTGCCGGGTTTAGCTGTTAACTCTGAAGGCAAGTGTTCCTATTCCTAGTTGAAGGCTCCGAGTCGGACGCCTGCACGCGCGCTCCCGAGGCTCTCGCTTCGTCTACTGACCCCTTGACCTAGGGGTCAGATGACGCATAGATAAGATGCTTGCCTCTGGTGTGGGAGACCTAGGTTCGAATCCCACTGTGAGACACTGTGAGATTGTGCAAGACACTTAACCCCTAGTTGCTACAGAGGCGTGCGACCTCTGACATGTATAGCAATTGTAATTCGCTTTGGATAAAAGCGTCAGTAAATGTAAATGTGAGGCACTCAGCAGCCAACACTAAGAAACGACCTGCTTAGTTCAACATCAAGCTGATAAAAATATTACTGTAATGTTGCAGTGGGAGTTTACCTGAGTTTCCACCATGTTGTGTGAAGCTGGCTCCCTACCTAGCCGCCTTTTTTCGGGAGTATTGAGCCGATATGCGGCTCGCTGCGCTGAATGAAAGGCCGGTGTGACACCAAAATGTGTGACCCATCAGATTCTGTGACCCAAACGGGAAGTTAAGCCAGAGGCTTTGTTGACGAAGTGAAACGGCTGCAGTTTGGTTGGGTTTAGGTACTAAAAGTACTTGGTTATGGTTAGGAAAAAATTGTGGTATGGGTTTAGTCACAGAATCCGATAGGTCACAGATTTTGGTGTCACACCGGCGTTGGTTGCAATCTCAAAACCGCACCACTAGTGGCCGCTGGAAATGCCCCTTTAAAACCAACAATAAACCCGATTCTGAGCTTTTTGTTTTGGGGGGATGAAGCCTGGCTGTTCTAATAATCAGAGCAACGCAGGCGTTCTGTGCTGGGGGTTTTGCGCAATACCAGCATGAACGCATCATCTCAAACTGTCAGCAGCGTTCTGTGCGCTCGTGACACTGCAAGTTCATTCTTCCGAGAACGACTAGCAAGAACGTTCTCCCCAAGAACACAAGTCCGTTCTTTGCATTCTTCTGCTGCCTCATATTCTACTAGCACATCCCCGACACACATTCAGGTGACTTATAAGAATTGTTTTGTTGAGACTCGCAGAATATTTCCCTCCTCAAAACATCCAAACCATCGACGACTTGTTTGACGACACTCGTTTGAGCCTTCTCGGCCGATCATCGTGCTTTCCCTGTACATCAGTTATCAAAAGGAGATCACATATTACAGTTTAATGTGTGTGATTTGGTTAAAGAGTTAAGAGAGACGGTAGTTTTGGGTTTTGCGGACTACCAGAGTCAGGAACTATTTGCTGTAGTCTGAAGTTTTGTAGGCCTCCAGGAATTACACGAAACTAACAAAGTAAAGAAAGGGGAGGCGAATTTTCCCAAGTTTTATCTGACGGGAGGCCCACAGTCCCAGACTTTGAAAACCTCAGCTCCGTATGATATCAGTTGAACTCCAGTAAACAGACAGATGAAGACGTTACCGTGCACTTGAACGGTCTCTCTGTAGAGTGCACCTGTCGCACGTGGCTGTTGAGGTGGTCCGGTCTGCCAAAACATAAAAGCAAAACGTGTTATTCCAAAGTTTCTGCACGCTGGATCATATGGTTCAACTTACAGCCTCAAAGTGAAGCGCTAGAACCCTGACAGGGAAGCCGTTTCCTGGTTGGCAGGTTTAAGATTTAAAATGTTTTATCATTTGATGGTTAAAGCTGCTTAGTGAGGATGGATCTAAGTTTGTACCGAGAGAAGGCCTTGGCGCAGTGGGGACAGATGTACGGCTTCTCCACGCCGCCTTGGTGCGAGCGCACGTGGTAGCTCATCCTGTCTTTCCTCTTGAAGCGCTGCTGGCAGATGGGGCAGGAGTACGGCTTCTCGTCAGAGTGCGACAGCCGGTGACGGTTGAGGTGGTAGACGTCTCTGAAGGCCTTTCCGCAGGCCTCGCAGGCGTGGTTCTTCCTCACCTGGTTGGTGTTGGGGTTGGGGTTGGGGTTTGGATTCTGTGGAGCAGCGAGCAGAGAAGTTAGGAAGCTTTTATCCAACTGTCTCTCAGTCAGCTGAGAGAGGAAGAGATGTCTGAAAGATGTCATCAGAGAAACTAAACTTCAAAACAAAGAGCTAATGTAGTAAGAAATCCACACAATCTGATTTTCTCCCTTTTCTTTTGACATAGTAGTTTTGTTAACATGCTCACCATGATGAAAAGACACATAACCGGGATACTGTGCATGTTGCATTGTGCACATCCATGAAGATAAACTGCGAAATAAATAAAATGCAGGTTTCATCCAATGATATGACGGCAGGCGGCGTCTATTTCAGAGGAAAACTGTAATCCGCTGCTAATTTTTCCTCAATGAATCATGAAAAGGCCTGAATTTCCCACAGAAACTGTGATAGCAGTAATGAAATGTGGAAATAAATAATCAGAATTTAACACTGAAGTCAGATAATACCTGCAGTACAGAAATGACAGATGCTGTCAAAGACTCTCCTGCACAGACCCCTGATAATGTGACGCACACACAGATATAAGCTCAGTCCACGGGGACTTGGTTTGGGCACCTAAGGGTCGCCGGTTCGAGTCCAGCATAGAGCTGACATTTAAAGAGTTGGATAATAGGCCAGACACAAACATATGTTTTTTATCGTAATCTTAGCTGTGCTACTGAAGTTGAATCTCCCCTATGAGGGATCAATAAAGGAAAATCTTATCATTGTATAAATTATGAAGTGTAGTTAAAGAAACAGTTACAGTATTCAGGAAACTCAGATCAAACAGCCAGATCAGCCTGTTGCCTGTTGATAAACTGTAGGAAAAAGGGGCGGATGTGTGCGTGAGACCGCGACAGTTTTAAACGGGATCGAGGCCAGTAGTACACAGAAGCCGTTGCCATGGTTACCACCCACAGAGCGCCCGGCGTTGGCTCCCGGAGCGCTCGTTTGCCTGAGTTATGAGGAGCGCAGAGCGACCCCGTGGATTCAAGCCGTCTGAAAACGCCGTCACGTATAAACTCCGTCACAACCATTGACGGGGAAATTAATTTATAATGTGCCAAAACCCCCCACCGCCCACACAAAGCAGTCTCTCTGGACTTTTTAAATAATATCATATCCATAACAGCAGCAAGGAGTGTGGTTTTTACAAAACGTATGGGCCCAAAATTTCTTGGAGCCACTGGCTGAGATAAAAAAACCCAAGTAGGCTTAATCCCGACTTTTTAACTAGGCTAGCTGTTTTTCTGCACATGTATTTAGGCTTTATAAAACACCGCTTAGCCTCCAGAGGTGTGCGACCTCTGACTTGCACAGCAACTGTAAGTCGCTTTGGATAAAAGCGTCAGCTATGTAATCTGTAATGTAATCTAACACCACTCTCTCCCCATGAGTCCAAGCGTCACGACCGGTGTGACACCAAAATCTGTGACCTATCAGATTCTGTGACTACACTCAAAAGACAATGTTTTCCTAACCATAACCAATTACTTTTGGTGCCTAAACCTAAACTAAACTGCAATCGCTTCACATCGTCAGCAAAGCCTCTGGCGCTTAACTTCCCATTTGGGTCACAGAATCTGATGGGTCCCACATTTTGGGGTTAGCGTCCGGAGTTTCTTTCTATAAGTTTCAGTCGCTGTGTTGCTTCAGCAGATGCTTCCATAAATTAAATGTAGAATTGTTCGCGGTTGATCGCACAAAGTTTACAATGGCTGACGACGTTCTTTGCATCTTAGACTGTGACACAATAATGGCAGTAGCTCCTTACAGCTGTGGAAAGAACGCCTCTCCCTCCATTCTTCATTTAGCTTTTTGGCCAACAGCTGACTTACACAACACAGAACACACAACTGTAATAATATAACTGTTTTGGAAATAGTAATCTGTTTCACTACTTCTGTAGAATCCTACTCCTGTGGTAGAATAAACGGGAGCGGGCGCCAAAACTGAAAACAGACCCGAGTTTCACTGAACTCCCTGCAAACACATCACACTTCCTGGCTCCTCTCCCAGCGAACCCACCTGCTCCATGGAGCCCACGACGACAACAGCTGCCTGGATGGGTTGAGGCTGTGCAGCCATGGTTAGGGTTGCCGGGGCGATGGACACAGAGACCGGTTGGCTGTCTTGGTTGGCGTGCTGACCGGGCTGGGGGAGGACCTCGGGGGCGGCGGTTGGGGGAGGGGGAGGAAGAGGCTGTGAGGGCAGGCTGAGGTGGAGGAGGGAGAGAGGGACGGACTGCTTCTCCACCCGTCCTCCCTTCCCTGCGTCCTCCTTCTCCCGGGCGGCGCGGTCCTTCATCTTGATGCCCGTGTGCACCGACTGGTGGCGCCGCAGGTTGTAGCTGTTCTTGAACTCCTTGTTGCAGGTGGCGCAGATGTGGGCCGGCCGGCTCGGCTTGGAGAGCGGTTTGACTGACGGACACAGCAGAGGGACAAAATAGGTTTAAATGAATCATTTAAAATATAATAATCAGTGCATTTTTAAATTAACGTCCATTTAGTTGGTCTGCATCCCGACGGGGGAAAGACCATGTCAAGAAAATGTATTATTCATAATTATCAGTTTAGGGGGTTGATCAGTTGCCCTCGTGGCTCAGGTGCATTTATTATCACCTGTTTATATATATCTTCTAATCTGCTGCTTGTTTTCTCAATAAATCAATGAATCATTTTGTCTTTAAAATAAAAAAAGCCTTAATTTCCCAAAGCTGTTTTGAGAATACTTACAAAAAGAAAATACTAACACTAAGGTTTCCCACCATAAAAAAAATAAATACACACTGTGATTCAAAGCGGCTGAATGTTTAGTTTGTTACTGCCTAAAATATAATAATACATTTTACATTTTACTTAACAAAATGTGATTAATAGCTGTCAGCTACCTAACTGCCTCTTTAACAAAACTGATCAATACTTTGAGCGGCTGGATTTGTTTTTAGAAGCCGCATTTTTCTCAAACTCTTTGTTCTGTTCATGTTATTACCGTAAAACTTCCAATTAAAAAGCCCAAAAAGTCATCTCATGTCATGACCCTCTCTCTACCCCGATATTTCCGGTCAAAAATGCCAAACAAAAGGTAAAACGGTGTGGGGACCCCCCCCTCCTGCCTCCTCACCAGGCAGCGGCTCCTCGCTCAGGGCGGCGGTGTCGACGGTGGACGGCGGCGTCACCATGTGGTCTGCTGGAGGACTCTGAGCGGAGCCGGTCAGCTCGGGCAGCAGCTCAGACTGCAGAGGCGTCTCCGGTTGGCTCTGAGTCGGCGCCGTCTACCAGGAGCAAACAGGAACACTTTTATTAGTCCTCAGATACACAGATGTGCTGCAGTTATTTTACATCCACTTTGGTCCACTGATCAATTTATTCAGAGCACTGTGACGGACCAATAATGGGAGGTCGGGCTTATGCTAACAATTCTTCTAGATTAATAAGGTTCCCTGATGGGTAAAGGTTTAGGTAGGAGTCTGAATGGCTGACTTTCATCCATGTCCTACAGGTTTAACAATAAAAATAAATAGATTTAGTGGTAAAGCACTTTTCTAACAAAAGTGTCATTTACATTAGACATGTCCCTGCCCACTTTTTAAAATCACAGCTTGCACAATATGAAAAACACAATGTAATGTAATGTATTGCTGGGCGATATGGCCAAAATTTTATCACAATAAAAACATTTCATATGATTTGATATCGATAATTATCAGGATAAATCAAGGATTATCCTGATAATTATCATGTAAAATCATTATTTCTTTCAAGTTTAAAGGCTGATTTTTGCTCCTGAGTGAAAACTGAAGAAACCAGATGGTTAATTATGTGGTTAAACTTTTCTTTATGGTCAGAATGTGACAAACACGTGATGCCAAAAGGATCACTTCACAAGTCTGAGGTGGAACATTCAAAACTATTACTTTAACTATTACTATAACAAATATGATAGAAAAATTAAGTGCTAATTTGTTTGGGATTAAAATGAATTAAAGCAATTATTTATTGACGATATATTGAACATTTATTATATTGTTATTGAGGAAAATTATATTGCAATAATTATCATTACTGTTTTATTGTCCAGCCCTAAATGTAAATATAGAAGAAATAAATGTGCATTGTCCTGAAAAAGTATCTATAAAAACAAGCTTCTCTTTACTGCATCAGATTTTTATATGAGTTTCCCTTTTACGTAAATAAAGACAGAAAAATTCCCCAGTATGCAAGAAATTAATTGTTTAATGCTCAAAATTTTACATTTCTTCAAAAAAAGTTAAAATATCTTCTCGTCTGGTTCTCGTGAAGCCAATATCGTGTGTCGTCACTCACAGCCCTAATCTGAGCCCGTATGTCTGCACTGCTTCTCAACACGAAGTGACGCTCTTGCTTTTAAATACAGGTAACAAAGTGCTGCATAGCAAGTCAAGTCCGATAAAAGTCGATGTATAAGTAAAGGAAAAATTAGTTTTGGATACACAGTGGTTTAAATCAATAAGTAAAACATAAATAAGTCGATGTACAGATAATGAAATCACACATTGAGAGTTTTTCTGTGTAACTACTGAAATATTACTCCACTAAATGATTATTTCACTATTTAAGTTCTTTTTCACGCACAAATGTCAAACGTTCCCTGGTTCCAGCCTCTCAGACTAAAGATCTCTGGGTTTTGGACTGTTGGTCTGTCTGGAGACGTCACCGGAGACTCTGGGAGACTTTCTGACGTGTTATTGACCGAACAGCAAATCAATTAACTTGAGAAAATAACCTGCAGATGAACGGGCGAAGGAAATAATTGCGAGCTGCAACACAACTCTGTTGGGACTCGTATGATCTAAGGCTGGATTATCAACCGGGCTACTATCCCACAGCCCCAGAAGCACCAGGTTCATTGCACATAATTTACTTGCAAAGCTTTGAAGAAATACTAAGTACAGTATCACCATAGTCACAGGGCCCCTTATGGGCACGGCCTGATTAAATTACCTGGACCCCCATTGTTCTGTGCACCGTACAAACTCACCGGCCACTTCATTGGGTCCACTAAACGCATTGAGTTGCTGCCGGGTGATTGGCCGATTAGCTGTTTGTGTTAACAAACCATTGCCACAGGTGTCCCTAATAAAGTGGCTGGTGAGTGTATCCAGTCACCTTCAAGTGAACTTTAACAGACATATAAAAGAATAAACATAAATGTAAACAATGATGGACAGAGGGCGCCAAAATTCAGTGATACTGAAGGGGCCCTGGTGATTTCAGTTGTGTATTTTCACAAACAAGATTCGAACGGTGATACAAGGGTCCATGATGGGAGCCCCTAAGGGTCTGGGGCCTTGGGGCACTTGATAATCCAGCCCTGCTAAAAGAGGTAAATCTGGACCTGACTAGACTGTAACGTTTTAAAAAAATAATAATAAAACACTGAATTAAAAGCAGGAGACGTAAAAATCCACCTCACACATCAAAACATGAGACAGGGACCATGATGGGACCCCCTAAAGGTCTGGGCCCCTGGGTCATTTAGTAATGCAGCCCTGCTAAAAGAGGTAAATCTGGACCTGATTTAGAAGGTAAATATTAAAAAACAACAACTTTCAAACACTGAATTTTTATAAAAGCAGGAGACGTAAAAATCCACCTCACGCATCAAATAATGAGACAGGGACCATGATGGGACCCCCTAAAGGTCTGGGCCCCTGGGTCATTTAGTAATCCAACCCTGCTAAAAGAGGTCAATCTGGACCTGATTTAGAAGGTAAATATTAAAAAACAACAACTTTCAAACACTGAATTAAAAGCAGGAGAAGTAAAAATCCACCTCACGCATCAAAACATGAGACAGGGACCATGATGGGACCCCCTAAAGGTCTGGGCCCCTGGGTCATTTAGTAATCCAGCCCTGCTAAAAGAGGTAAATCTGGACCTGATTTAGAAGGTAAATATTAAAAAACAAACAACTTTCAAACACTGAATTAAAAGCAGGAGACGTAAAAATCCACCTCACGCATCAAAACATGAGGGAGGATTATGCACCAGGGGGAAGCCCAAACCAGAAGCCAACTTTTACCCTGACCCCTCTGTGACCTCCTCCATGGTGTATACCCCCCCTCCCTCCTTCTTTAACCCCATGCAGAAATGTCAACCCCCCCTCCTCCACCCACCTACCCCCCTTTTTCTCCTCCCCAAACACCCAAAACCACAAAGCAGCTCCAGCATCAATTAAGACTTACCTGAAAGAGGAAATTACTCCAGGAGGTGTCCATCTCTGCAGGGACTGCAAACACAGCCCGGGACCACAGAGGAGGAGGAGGAGGAGGAGGGAGGAGGAAGAAATGCTCCAAAGGCTGCTATAAAACACAATCCGAGGCCTGTATCGCAGCTCCTCTCTCTGCCTGCCCGGGTTAACTAATGGACATTTATAATAACGACACCGGACGATATTCAGCTTAAATCAACAAGCACGTATTAGTGATTCGGCTGCTATGAGTTACGAATTAATCATAAATGGAAATGCACAAGGCGAGATGATTTCGTAAATGCGACAAAATGGTTGGTATCATGCTTGCTTTTAATGGTGCATTTAAAAGAAAAAAGAAGAAGAAAATGCTTATGACTACTGCAATAATAAAAAAAATTGGTGAATTGCATGCAAAATATAAAGATTATGTTGTATACAGATGATGTATCAGTGATCAGTCTGCAGCTGGTTCGGGACTCGGGATTTATTTGGCGATAGCTCCCAGGAAGGCCGCAGCCGTTCGGGTCCCAAGCCTCGGCGTTGCGTACAGCTCGCCCCCCAGCTAGAGCGCTCCCGGTCGGCCGCGGTCCGTGGCTCCGCCTCGGCGTTTCAATCGACTGGATGACATCTTTCTCTTTTTTTCATTTCTCGCTCCCTCGCTCCCTCTCGCCCTCCCTCCCTCTCTGGCTTTCTTCCTTTTCTTTTTTTATCTCTTCTTCACCCCCTCTGTCCCTCTCCGCTTTAAAGGGAAAGTATTTTGTGTGTGCACCCTCCTCGCGGACCCCGTCTCGTCTCGTGCCGTCCCTCTCGCCCCCGCCGCCGCCGCCACTTCACGGTAGGCCGACAAATAATGAAATCCGACATTTATAGAAACAGCCGTTAAATCCTCCCCCGTTTCTGCTAAAAAAAAAAACAACAACGCCACAACAAAAACGTCCGGCCGTTCTTCTCCAACAACACGTCCGAGTCACCCGGGGCCTCGCTCACCGGACGCACCGAACTCGTAGCTAAAATGGTGTCGGTTTAGGCTAAAACAAGGGCTTTATCCTCGAGCATCTTAAAGGTAACGATGCGCGCAAGTGCAACAGCTGGATCTAACCCTCTATTCACATGACGTCCATTCCTGAGCGGGCCAGACAGGACGACACGCCAAACTCCATCCAGAAAAATGTTGAATTTCGTGTACGATTGCTTTAAGGTCATAATAACCATCATAATGAGCAGGGTCAACGACTTTTATGACGTTTCATAAAAGAAACATGAATTCGGCATCGGTCCCGAACATCCAGCCGTGTATTTTTACTTAAAAAAAGTAAAATTTTATGTGCTCTTGTTTTAAGTTCATAATAATCATCATTATGAGCAGGGTCAATTTTTTTTTTTTGACATTTCATAAAAGACATATATATTTGACATGCATCCCAAACACCCAGCAGTATATTTTTACTAAAATAAATGCACTTTCATGTAAGAGTGCTTTAAGTTCACAATAATCATCATTATAAGCAGGGTCAATTTTTTTTTTTTTTGACATTGCATTAACATACATCCCAAACATCCAGCTGTGTTTCATTGCTACAAAATTTTAACTTTAAAAAATGTTTTGTCCAAAAAAGTACACTGCAGTTAATGAAGGATATGGCTGGTAATTGTGTAACCAAAAAGTGTGGTCTGTTGAAGTACATTAATGGTAGTAGTAATAATAATAATACATTTTATTTTGGGGACGCCTTTCAGGACACTCAAGGACATCTTACATACAAGGTAACACAAATGTGCAATTAAATGAGGTGCATAATTAAAACAGTGCAAGTTACAATAACTGATGGGCGAGTACGACTTTGTATTGATTATATTGAAGGTAAATTAAACGAGTATTTGTACGTAATGTTGGAAGACAGGAATGTTGTGGAAATAAATATGTGCATGCATGTTTGTCTCTCTGTGTGTAGTATGTTCTTGTATATATGCAGGTATGTGCAGTCTATATATAATATAATATAAAATATATATGTGTGTATATGCTCCTGTGCACAAATTAAACATAGAAGAATGGACCTAAAAGGGTACAAATGCTTTGTCGCTCCAGCTTCACCCGAGCAGGATACAAGGACTGTACCTTGGTATGTTTTTGTACCTTCTTGTCTTTACCTCTAAAAGAACATTCCTGCACCCCTAGTGACAAAAATTTACCTTTACTCAATTAGCGGACGCTTTTATCCAAAGCGACTTTCAATTGCTATACATGTCAGAGGTCGCACGTCTCTGGAGCAACTAGGGGTTAAGTGTCTTGCTCAGGGACACAATGGTGGATGTGTCACAGTGGGGAATTGAACCTAGGTCCACGGTTAACGCCTTAAGGACCATTTCTGTACCTTACAGGGTACTTTTTGACAAATATACCTTCACGGGACAGAAATGACAACCCTATTTCTCTGTGTGTGGGTATGGCTTCTCTTTTTTGTCTATGTGTTGTTTGTTATTATGATAAACTTATTTGTTACTGTTTTATTTGGTATTTGCTTTGGGGATGCGGTGCTACACGTAGACAAACACACGGCGGAGATAAATAAACACACCAGAAAGATCATCTTTCATTCGGGAAAGTTACAGTTTTTTTCAATTGCTACCAAGCGTTTACCTGAACTTAAGATACCTGATTGAAACTCTTAACACAGCAACACACCTACCTCACATAATTAGCCAAGTTGTAAATCTTCTGCTCAAAACCACATTTTGTTCTTTAAAACACCAACTCTACATTTCAAAATACAAAAAATCCCCCAACATCTTCTACATACACAAAGTCTATCGAAACACAGCAAACTCATTCTGTCAAAGCACTGGCACGTTTTCTCTCCAAGAGGACCAGATCAATCAATCAGAGCACAACGACTTTCTAAATATAAACAGTTGATGGCATTAAAAAAACTGCATTACTTTGCATGTTTGTAATTCAGTTTCCTTTTACTGTAAACCACCCTACATTTTTGCTTTGAGGGGTCGAATGTGTGCATTTATGGCGGCAAGGCAAGTTTATTTATATAGCACATTTCAACAACAAGGTAAATCAAAGTTTAGCTTTACATAAAACATAAAAGCAACAGGGAAATATAAAAAAGTTTAACAGCAACATAGGGAAATGGCTAAAAACAAAGAAAAAGAAAACAGGACAGTAAAAGTTAAAGTGCAGTGTAAGTTATCAATCTACTAGTTAAAGACAGTGGTAAAAAGAAAAGTCTTCAGTCTTAATTTAAAAGAACTGACAGTTTCAGCAGACCTGCAGTTATCTGGGAGTTTGTTCCACAGATACGGAGTATAATAACTGAACGAACTATGTAAAAATGTCATCTTTACTTTTTAGAATGTAGAGTCATAAAAAAAAAAGCAAGTGACAGAATTACAGAAGTAAAAGCTTTATTAGCAGCTCAACAAATAATCCAACCTATGTGGTTATTGGTTCAAGAAGCTCTTGAAAACTCATCTCTGCAGAGAACACTTCCTCTTATAAACACCTCTAACTCGCACTTCCTGTGCTCTTCTTCTTCTTCTTCTGTCTCCATACAAATCTCTTGCACTGATTGCACTTTTTGTTAACTCTTACTTCTTCTTCTTGTTATTCACATCATTGATGTTGTACGTGCTAATGGCTCTTTATTCTAGTATTTATTGTCACTCGTCAATCTCTTACTGTATTGATTTTTTATGGATGCTTGTATGTTGTTCCTCAAATGTAAGTCTGCTAAATGAGTAAATGTACAGTAAATATAAATACACAATTAGATTAGTCCTGTTCTAATCCATATGATCTTTCGGCATTTGGTCACATGCACCTGGATAGAAACACCCTGGTTTAGCTCTTCCTCTCCTTGGTCCAACTATTCTTCTCCCTTTTTGGGGATTATTCTTTCTTTTTCTCCTCTTCTGTGTTGTTACATTGGATAAACCCAACTCCACAAAGTCCCGTTTTATTACATTGTGTATGTAATCGATCTAGTTTATCCAAATTACAATACATTTCTCAATGTTTCAATGATAAGTTCACTCAGAAATGCTTGTTTCACTACAGATTTTGAGCCGCTATTGCAGCAGAAGTAGATGCTTTATACATTATTTAAGGTTTTGACATTCTGACATTTGTAAATAACACAAAAAACATCCAGAGTTTTGGTACTGGGTAAGCTTGTGCGTAAAAAAATAATAATTTGCATTTCAGAAATGGGTTAATTGACTGCATATTCTGTGTAAACAACTTGAATTGTCTTTATGGTATGAACAAACCGATGTGGGGCTAACTGTGTTTAGAGTTTTCAAAATGTGACTACAGATTGGACAAAAGGATGTTAGCGGTTGTAAAAAAAAACTGTAAATACGTGGTATCTGTTTCCTTCCTCTAGCCGCACGACACTTTGCATAAATGTACCAAACACACAGAGAAACGTGGAGCTGCTGGGCTTCATGTGAGCATTATTTTTACTGACCAACTGTCTGCAAGATTCTGCTAATTACAATCAAGAACAGGACCAGTTTAATCAGCAGAGACGTTTTGGAAACTAACTCTTAACCTCTCAGAAGATTTAATTAATATTCAGGACAGCATGTTTGAAACAACCTCAGAGACTCGGCTGATTTTGGAAAATACAATATTAAAAGACAAAAACACCAAGTCAGGTTTTCATTGTCTTTATTTTGTAGCTGCTTTTAGTCAGTTAAAGCCACTTGCACAAAACAGAACAACCATCAAATATATTAATTACAACAATTGGCGTCTTTTAAAAATAATATTAGACTTCTGTTCTGTTGTTGTTTGTACATTTTCTATTTTATAATAATACATTCTGGGAAATGAGTTCCATCAAAAAAAAATAAACCCCAAGAGGTGAATATTTATATTTCAAAACTTTGCACACACATTCTGCGATAAAACTTTGCTTTACAGCAGCACAAACACACAACCAGTGACTTTTAAATATACAACGCAAAAACCATAACGGATAATACTTGGTGCTTCTCACGTGAGGTAAAAAAAAACAACTTATGTCCCGCATAACTTTCTATTTGTTTCTAAGCTGAATAAAACAAAAAGGAAACACGTCTCTTCTACCACAAAGAAACGACGTCATCAATGTCAAATAAGCGCGTACTGATCGTCTTCCCACAACGGCAACAGCGGCGGCGGCTCGGAGGTCACAAAAGGAATATTTGAGCACATTTAAGAACTCTCTAACAGTTTTAAAATTAAAGAACAAAACGATGTCGTTGAAGACTTCAGGGAATCAAAAATGAACAATAAAAACAACAAATTAGGAATAAAAGTGGATTTTTCTTGTCAAAGTTTTCAGCTTTACTGTGAAACGTCCACTCAACAGGAGACGCCACGGCGGCGGCGGCGGCCATTTTCTCCAGAATGTTTGTTTGAACGGATCAATAAATCTTTTACAGATCGATTTGAAGCTTTTGGGTTGCCCGGCTTCAGCCACTTCAGGGTTTTCTTCATCGATTAACTATTATTTTCTTAATTAATTTGGCCCATAAAACCTCAGAAAATAAATAATAATAAAGAAATGTCCATTCAGTCGACACATCCTATTTTGTTTACCAACAGTCCAAAAGCCAAAGATATTAAATTTAATATCGCAGAAGACAAAGAACCCTCCGATAATCACGTGTGAGAAGAAGAAACCGGCGAGTTTCTACTTAACGTTTGACAATCTGGCAATCGAAGTTCATTCCCAACGTGACAGATTTTTGTCACACTGGTTGGATATTTAATTAAATTATATGTGGATTTTTTTGCTTCTGTTGAGGCCAATAGACGTCTGATTGTCTTTTTTTACGTGTCGTCACCAGAGGAAGTAAAACCAAACTGCTACTGAACAAATCTGTGGCCTTACACAAAAAAAAAAAAAAAAATTAGAAGAGATTTATTTCACAAGCATTCAGTGTGGATATTAAACTGCAGATGTTGTACTGCTGAACATCTTTACGATTAGCAGAATTGAAGCGGATGAAAAAGCTACGGTGACGTGTCGAGCTCCAGTTTGTGCTTCTTGTGTTTTATCGCTGCAGCCACAGAGCGATGTGAAAATAAAACCCTGTCGATCTTTATAAAGCCCACAAGGTTCTTTAACACGTAAGGTCAGTTTATACTTTAGCATTTATACGCTTCTTGGCGGTGGGGTTTCTTTATTCGTCTGTGTTGAGCTTATTTTTCTTCTTCGTTAGCGGATCATGTTGGAGCTGCAGTTACTTAACACATTATAGTTTAAATGTGGCCCATATCAGACTCCAGTGTGAACCGTCTGAAAGTGTCCAGACTCTGGTCGCATTTAAAAAGATCGGATTTGGACCACCGAACTGGAAAAGATCAGATTCCACGTGACTTGTTCACACCGTCATAAAAAGATCAGATCTGAGTCACTTATGGGCAAAAAAAGAAATCGGATTTGGGTCACATTGGCCTGCAGTCTGAACGCAGCCTTAGAGAAATGACTAAAATGCAGAAATGAGAGAAGGAGATGACACGCACGACCCTTGAACTGGTTGAGGCAGAAGAAGAAGGAAATGTGATGCTGACCAATCACAGCTCTTGCGGTCTGCGTTGCATCAGGCTACAGCGTAGATTCCACACAGAAGGATAAACTGGCCTTTAGAGCTGCGGTTACATAAAATCGTTTCTTCTGCTGCACGATGACAAACATTTTTAATGTGTTTCTGAAATCGGGACTCTCATTGTCCTGATCCAATCAAAGATGGCGACCCCGGGGTTTCACTCAGTGCACGAGTGACATGAACTTTAAACGTACTCAGACTCGGGGTGAGTTTCCCCTCTCACTTTCCTCCTGAAGCTTAATGAGGACTAATGTTATATTTCATAAAAATAGACAACTTTAGGGAAACTCTGAGTCAGAAATTACAGATATTGTCCTGTTATTTTTTTATCACAGGTGAAAAATAGAAAGATTGTGTCAATAATTGTGCAAAGACACATTGCAAAAACGGACGTGAACCAAACCAGTGACTCAAATGCAAATAATAACTGAGAGACACAAATGTCGGCTGTCCATCCACACATACACCTGGTGATGGTGATACAAATCAATTCATTAAGATCACGTGTATTTTTATATTGTGATATCAGTTTATGTTGTGAAACCTTCCTGTACGCTTGTAAAATAAATCAGAGCACAGAAACATCAGCTCTTCAACTCGTGTTTCGTCTGCAGGAAATAAATTATCCGCCGTTAAGAATCACACCTGCCTGGATCTGGAATTTGACTGTTGTGTTTTTTTTGGTCATAAACTCTCTTTCTTTCTTTCTGATGTTGCCGCGTTTCACGTCTTATTTCAGTCACCGTTAGTTCAGGTGCACAAAGTCTGCTGTTACCCTTAAAACAAGAATTAATAAAACCGTGGTGGATTTGCTGCTGAAGCTCTCACCGCCTCCTCTCTCTCTCTCTCTCTCTCTCTCTCTCATTGTGTCTTCATGCTTTTCTCTCGCTCGGCGGCGTCCAGGGCGGCCATGTTCTGGGAAGCGGTGATCAGGTGCAGGACGCTGATGCCGGACTTCAGCAGGCAGATCGTCCCGCAGAGTCCCTGCAGCCAGTAGAGCCAGGCTGCAGCAGAGAGAGAGAGGACAGACAGCAGCTATAACACCTGAAACGACCCACAGTGCGGTAATGTTGCAGTCAAGACCACCCAGAGACCACGTCAGGACCAAGACCAGAGGGTATCGAGACTGAGACAAGACCAAGACAAGACTAAGACTTTGAGGGGTTGAGACCGAGTCAAGACCAAGACAAAATCAAGACAAGACAGAGACAGAACCAAGACAAGACCAAGACAAAATCAAGACAAGACAGAGACAGAACCAAGACAAGACCAAGACAAAATCAAGACAAGACAGAGACAGAACCAAGACAACACCAAGACAAAATCAAGACAAGACAGAGACAAGACCAAGACAAGACCAAGACAAGACCAAGACAAAATCAAGACAAGACAAAGACAGAACCAAGACAACACCAAGACAACACCAAGACATTGAGGGGTTGAGACCAAGACAAGACCAAGACAAGACCAAGACAAGACCAAGACAAGACCGAGACAACACCAAAACAAGACTGAGACAACACCAAAACAAGACCGAGACAACACCAAGACAAGACTGAGACAAGACCAAGACAAAAATCAAGACAACCAAGACAAGACAAAGACTTTGAGGGGTTGAGACAAAGACAAGACAAGACAAAGACTTTGAGGGGCTGAGACAAAGACAAGACCAAGACAAGACAAAGACTTTGAGGGATTGAGACAAAGACAAGACCAAGACAAGACAAAGACTTTGAGGGATTGAGACAAAGACAAGACCAAGACAAGACAAAGACTTTGAGGGATTGAGACAAAGACAAGACCAAGACAAGACAAAGACTTTGAGGGACTGAGACAAAGACAAGACCAAGACAAGACAAAACCAAGACTTTGAGGGGTTGAGACAGCGTCAAGACCAAGACTTTGAGGTGTTGAGACCAAGACATGACCAAGACAAAACCAAACCAAGACCAAGACTTTGAGGGGTTGAGACCAAGACATGACCAAGACAAAACCAAACCAAGACCAAGACTTTGAGGGGTTGAGACAAAGACAAGACCAAGACAAGACAAAGACTTTGAGGGATTGAGACAAAGACAAGACCAAGACAAAGACTTTGAGGGGTTGAGACCGAGTCAAGACCAAGACAAGACAAAGACTTTGAGGGGTTGAGACCGAGTCAAGACCAAGACAAGACAAAGACTTTGAGGGGTTGAGACCGAGTCAAGACCAAGACAAGACAAAACCAAGATTTTGAGGGGTTGAGACAAAGACAAGACAAGACAAAGACTTTGAGGGATTGAGACAAAGACAAGACCAAGACAAGACAAAGACTTTGAGGGACTGAGACAAAGACAAGACCAAGACAAAACAAAGACTTTGAGGGATTGAGACAAAGACAAGACCAAGACAAGACAAAACCAAGACTTTGAGGGGTTGAGACAGCGTCAAGACCAAGACTTTGAGGCGTTGAGACCAAGACAAGACAAAGACTTTGAGGAGTTGAGACAGCGTCAAGACCAAGACTTTGAGGCGTTGAGACCAAGACATGACCAAGACAAAACCAAACCAAGACCAAGACTTTGAGGGGTTGAGACCAAGACATGACCAAGACAAAACCAAACCAAGACCAAGACTTTGAGGGGTTGAGACAGAGTCAAGACCAAGACTTTGAGGCGTTGAGACCAAGACAAGACCAAGACCAGTGCCTTTCTGTTTGACTCTTATCTTTCACATTTGATCTTTATATCTGATCTGCAACTGTGTATTCAAACTCAAAATTAGCTCTGTTAAAGTAACGTGTCGTGTTTTTACCCCATACAGAGCAACCTATTTAATATTTAAACTCTACAAAGAAGTGGGCAGTTACTCGGTTAATGTCAGTAGCTGTATGCAGCTGAGATTAGCCAAGGTAACTTTAGCTACAAAGCTTTCTGTGGCCTTTCTCGCCGTCGCCACAGAAATGATGTCGAGCCCAAGACGAGACCTTCAACAGCGCTACAACAGTAGTGTGGCGTGTTATATACTGTGGCCAGCAGTCTGTGGGCGCAGGCTCTGAGTGGGGGGAAGGAGCGTCTTACCAAAAGGTTCCTCGATGTGATGGAGGACGTAGAGCAGAGAGAAGAAGAGCTCGTTCCCGGCGCACATCACAAACAGCACCGGCTGCAGGAAGAAAACGCGTTTTACTCCAAATCGTACATTAAATATCTGTTACAGTGTGTCTTTGTGTGCGTGCGCTACTCGCCTTGGACGTGTAGTAGATGCGGAGGACCGGGTTGCCAGAGAGGTCGATGGTCTTGTGACTGGCCGATCCCTTCACAGTCGAGCTGAGAAAACAGAAACAAAAGAAGACGATGAGAGCGGCGGACCGAGCGAGGCGGTGCTCCTGATATTTTACCAGGATGAGGTTGATTCATCGTCTCCTGCAGGAGATAAACGTCGTGGATCAAACATCACAGTGAACTCTCGTGAAGAAAGAGCGCACGTGCAAACACCAGCCGGTAACTCTCAAAACAAACAGAAATCACAAGCAAACAGATTATGAAAAAATATCTAATTCAATTATTCTGATTATTATTGCAACTTTATGATTGCTAAAGTGATATTCTGTTATTCTTATATAACTTGCATTTGTTTATTACATATTTATATATTTCTACATCAGATGTGTGTCTGTCTACCTTAACACCAAAGCAAATTCCTTGTAGGTGTAAAACACTACTTGGCAATAAAGCTCCTTCTGATTCTTTGGTGTGAGAGACCCGGGTTCAATCCCTCACGGTGACCCATCCACCAATGTGCAGCAACAACCGAACGATGCTGTTAATGTTCGTGTTATTCTATCATTAAATTCTCAATGTAATGTTGTGAAGTTTTAACCTAAATCAAGATACATCTGGCTCGTTATGTAACGTTACAGAATATTCTTGGTTCCTGAAACTTAAAATATACAACAACAGTGGTATGAATTGAAACATTTCTTTTTAATTATCATTTGGCTATTATAAATAAATATTTGCAGGAATTATAGTATTAATATACTATTTTACATACATTGTAATTACAATTGACAGTTGACAATTTTTTAAATCAGCTCTGTCTTGAGAAATCAAACACATATTTGTAGTTTAAACAACTATATTCCCGCATGACGAACTACTGTATGTCACACAAGAACAGCAGTATTATAAGTTACAGTTGCGAGTTTTCTCGTCCGACATTTCCGCTTTTTGGCAGCGAAATGCATTCTGGGATATCTGGTCACCACCGATGCAGGCTCGGTAAAACGGGCGGAGCGAGAACACATCCGGGTATTTGACTGTACTTGGCTTGATGCGGACTTTTGAATTGGAGCAGGACTTTGGCTGCGACTGATGACGTTTCACAAGAACATAAGAACAGAGAAGAGCGCAGATTGAAACGATTAGGATCTACGCCGCACGTGAGCCGAGATTAACCTCATCAGGTGGCTTCTGGGACAAACCATATTTGGAAGTTTAACTTCTGTCAGGTCTGCGGGCTGCAGCTGGATGTACTTGGCTACGGTTTTCTGTCATCTGTCCTCAAACGCCGCACTCACAGATGCCATAATGAACATGAACAGCGCACTAAACCAATAAAATGAAGTCCCTCTGTTAGCTAACTTTCTGAAATGACTCAGAAAAATGTGAAATATCATAGAAATGTCAAAATACACTGGAGGGGGGCTTTAAACTTTAGTGTTTGTAGCGAATACCTGTGAGCTGAACAAGTATCTAACACGGCTTCCTGCCTAACAAAGTTCTCTAACGTTCCCTCTTCGTCTGAATGTGAAACGTTGGTGTGAAACCTCAAAGTTTCAGCTCCTCCTTGTAGTCATTTATTAAACAGTGTCACTGTACCACAGACGAAATGTACATGCCTAATAACTACTGCATTTTTTATAAACTGTATATATATTAAAATTACTTGCCTATGTAGGAGAGCCCTGTTTATTATTATTATTATTATTATTATTATAGCAATGACATTAGATATGATATATGGTATTATTCGTAGTATTAATAGTAGTAGTATATGGGTCAACTTTAGTTTCTGTTTTCCTGCCCCCACAATACACTATTTACTTAATGTTCATTAGTAGTATTACTCTATAATTATAACAAATCAGATACTTTAAAAAAAACTATTTATCTTATTCATCAAAACCTTGATATATTTTGTTGTACTTTTTTAAAAATATTGCATTATGTCATGGTATGTTGGTGAGGTCTCAACATAACAACATTTAAGGGATAATCTTTGTTTATGTCATGCGTTTCTTAAAATAAGGGGAAAAAACAATCTCGGCCGATATACCGGCTATCGGATTTTAAAATCCCATATCGGTCGGGCTCAAGTAATAATAATAATAATAATAATAATAATAACCTCCACATGCAGAACATTCAGCCTCATTCACCAACTGTTTTTCCTTAAAACCCACTCACACAGTTTTCACGAAGATTCTGACGTTCACCAGAGTTTTCTTATTTGGCGTTTGTTCAGAGAACAGAATCTACGCACACTTAAGATCACTCTTACGCACAACTGAGAGCGGAAATGTTAAAATAAGTAGTTATTCTGTTTTCTTCCGTTCCAATTTAAATTATAATAATTTTTTCTATTCTCCATTATTTTACTCAGAATGATAAGATTTAAAATAATATATATATATTTTTATAAATACACTCCTGTGACCGGACGACAGAGTTGCTGTCCAAGCTTTGAGATCGTTTGTAATTAAAGGCTTCATAAATACTTTTACCGTGTGATTTATTTTGTTCTAAGCTGAGTCCTCTTGCTGATGCGTGAATTATTTATAGCTCACCATAAATCTCCAGATATGAACGAGTCACTCAAACAGGTTTCAGTTCATGTATTTATTTTGGTAAAATGAAGTGTGAGATGGGGGTCAGTGTTGCAGATATCCACGTAGGTGCCGTTCTCACGAGTTATTTCATTCCATCTGTTTGCAGCTGTACATCTACTTCCTAGTTTTTCTTCCTGCCGGAGTTGAGAGCTTCGCTTTCTTTACAACTTGCCATTTCTCTATCTGCGTGTCCGTGGCCGTGACGTACCTGTGCAGGTGCAGCCAGTGGCTGGCGATGTCCAGACACATGCTGAGCTGGAACAGGAAGGTGTAGGAGGGGTAGATCAGGGACAGGTTCACCAGCAGACACATGGTGGCGCAGCGGTCAGTCAGCATGTCCAACATGGCGCCAAACTTGGTGGCTGAAAGAAAACATGAGCGGGAACGTGATCAGTGACGAACAGCATGACGGGGTTCAGGTGGTAAATAAACGAGTCTCTTTACGGCTCAGGTTTGGTTCCAGAAGGTCAAAGACATTTATTTAAGCAAACACTCTCGCTCTTTTAAGAATAGTTGGGGAAAAAATGTTGTAACCCAAAAAAAAACCCAATGTCAGCCCTGAGTATCGTCTGCAGGTTTTCCTTCCAGGCTGCATACACCTTCAACAACCTTCACCACTAATCAGAACCAGAAATACTTTCTTGATCCCCGGGGGGACACTGGTCACGTCACGGTCGCTCTCATTCCAGAATAGAAATATATATATATATATATAGAACAAAGACATTAAGAAGTATATTAAACTATATGTGCATCATCCTACAATATATAACAACGGCGTAAATAATAATAATAATGCAGAGAAACAGTATCTGTAATATAACTATGTTAAGATTAGATAAGATTAGATAGACATGTATGCACGAACATAACTACCTACTTCCTGTATATGAAGTAATCTATTACATTAATCATTCAATATTCATCCCTTTGCATTATTTGTATTTGTTTGAAACCTACAGAACACGTGACTTGTTTACAGGCGTTGAACACTGTCGCTTTTTAGATGAATTTAATAGCTTTATGTTTATAAATCTTTGTTGTCCTGTAAATCAGTGGTTCTCTTTCACATCAAGGGCCCCTAAACGCACACAAACTCGAACCTCGGTCCCCCGTCTGACGGGATTTTTACTTTTAGATGTTTTGTTTCAGAAAGTGTGTGAAACTCATGACCCAAACACTCAGACATCATGTCGCTGTGTTACTGATCCTCCTCAAACACCCACTTTGAGAGCTCCAGCTGTTCTGCGTGTAACACTGAGAGTGACTTTAAACCGGAGTCAGACTCCTTGTGCGCGTTCACACACAGAGCTGGTTCTGTGGCACATCTGTAATAAAAGATACGTACACTGATTAAGCGCCCGTGCGGCGTGACCGTCAAAGGCGTCGAGGAGACCGCTGAGCAGGTAGAAGAAGACGGCGGGCCACGGGCAGCAGGGCATCAAGAAGAAAGACAGCAGGGCCAAGACCACCCGGGCGTAACCTGCAGGATCAGAGGACAGCGTTACACCTGGACGGTTACAGGTACTCGGGACTTTCTGCTGTAATCAGCTCTGATGTGTGGTTTTTTTGGGGTTGATTTGTCATCACAAGCGTCAAACTGAGAGTGACGGTTTGAGTCCTTTGCTTTCATTTCCTGTCATCCGAACTGAAAACTGTTCTCATTGCACATTGTGTGGGTGTGCAAATATAAAACTTCTTTGGATCCTTTTTGTTTGATGACTGTGATTTATGTCACTTTACCTTACTAGTTTAATTTTGTTTTTCATTTAACTATTTAATTAATTAAACTGTCTTGACAAATGACCACCACAACAGAAAGAAAAAGCAATAAATCCAAACATGTGAGAAGCTTGAACCTGCAAATCTTTTGTATTTTTACCTGACAGTTAAATGAGCTTTTCATCACGATAAGTACTTTTATTAATGTAGTTAATATTACCATGTGCTCCTTAACCTTTTTTTTGGGGGGTCTACGTGTGACACCTGATCACAGCTTTTGGACATGTGTTGTGAACCAAAGAGGGTTTAATATTTCTTAGATAATTTCATTTGAAGGTTTTTAGGGGACTTAAGAAATATAAGTATTCAATAATTCACAATAAATGAAGCAAAGACTTCAGAACAAAATAAACGGGTAATAATTAAACAACATCAAACGATATGTAGATAAACAGACAGACAGAACGAAAGCTTGATTGATAGATTACATTGTTCTATGTGTTCATTATAATCGGCACTTTTTTGAATGGAGTCTGGTGCGACAGCAGCATCCAGTATGTTGGCTAAAGCTAAGCTAGCGAGACGTTAAAGAAAGACGGTAGAAACTCACCGATTAAATTGGGAACGAAGAGGAAAATATTTTCCTGCGCCATCGTTGAGGGTTTTGGGGCCGAAAAACGTCGTCTTTTTATTTCTTGAAAGAAAAACTCACAACAAGCGACAGTTTAATTTTCCAGAGATGACTTCCTTTTTGTCAAGCGCGCGTTTCAGACCACAAAACCAGGGGCACCACTTCTGGTGAGTCTGATTTCAGAATAAAAGCCCCATTTTCTGAACATGAAAAACAGAACCACTTTTATTTTAGTATGTAAAACCACCAAAACAATGTATTTATGTTATGTTTTTATAGCGGGAAAGATCAGTCTATTAATCAGTGTAATAACTGACCTTATTTTGTCAATATAATAATTTGAGTCATTTTTGAAGCATTTATAATAAATGTTTTCTGGTCACAGATTTAAGATTCAAAGTGTTTATTGACAGATCAAGTTTCAAGTTTCCCTGTAGACATCGAATGCCTACATTAAAAACAAAAAACAAAACAATAATTAGAGATGTATAAATATAAGCTTCAATTAAAAAAGTGTCAATTTCAGATATAAAAAATAAAGAAATATAAAGTTTGTTGGGGAGCAGTTACATACAGGCTACATACAATTGTGCAATTAGATGCTCCGTCTTGTGTATATGATTTATATACACAAGGAAAACCATTTATGGAACAATGTGCAATTAACATTTTACAGCTTCCCAAAAATAAAGATTTGTTGTTTATTTATTGTTGTTTATTTAATAAAGAAACCATTTTCTCAATAACTGAGCCGGAAAAATAACTATACATCCTGAATCCTGCAGCACTAAACACTCGTTACAACACTTCTTGTGTGTTTTTGGTGGTCATTTACACTGGGGACCCGGGGGGACACATGTTCTCATCACATTTTGAAATGGCTGATTTTGTTCCGAAACACTTCTTTAAAGCATAATTTGTTTAAAAATGTTCTGAAAAGTAGCTCACAACAAGAAATGTTAACTAACAAAGGAGAAAGGTTTATTTGCACAAGAAAAACATGCAATGAAATTGAAATATAGAAGAAACAAATGTGCATTCTCCTAAAAAAATGAGCTGCTGATTATAAAATGAGCAGTCAGTAACTTTAACAACTTCTTGACACAGATTCTTTTTGGTTTTACGTTCTCTCCCTGTGAGCAAAGCGAAAAAAGACTGGATTACGTCTGCATGTCTGAGAGCTGCCCCGACTTATATTCTGTTATATTTTGAGTCACCTGCCACCTGAATTTTGGGTTCCCCTTTACATAAATAAAGACATTTCCACCATAACTTGGTGCAGAAAATTAAGTGTTTAATGCTCTTAACATTTGAAACACATGAGACGTTCACATATTTCGGCATCGAAGATTTCTTTTAAAACGTGTTCAAATTCACGCAGCTAAGGGCCACAGGCTGGACTCAGCCTTGTACACGGGGCAGATGCTCCCCCTTGTATTTTTTATATATTAAAAACTTTTAAATCTGTAAGAACAAGATTTCCTTTCATCGAGACAAGACCTCGAGGGCCCCAGAACTCCAGGGGCCACAGGCTCACTGTGTGTGACTTGAATTAACCACAAATCAACTCAAGCAGCTCTGCATTATTAAGTTAGTTTGGCTTAAACTGAGCTACATGTTGAGTAATTTAAAATAATTCTAAAATAGTTTAGTAAAGTTTGATGCTGTTTTAAAGCTTCTGATTGGTTCTCATGTTTTAATTTGCAGCGCCGCCCTTCTGCCAGCCTCTCATTAAGTTACATGAGTTTAAAAAAGTATTAGAAATAGTTACACTACTATTACATTTTAAATAAAGTAACACGTAATTAGTAATCTAGTACATTTCAAAGTATTCAGATTGAGACCAGGGTCTCATTTAAAAATATCACAGATATAAATGTAATTTTAAAAAAAACAAACAGACAATTTACAGGTAACAATTACATTTGCAAGTAAAGTGTAAATTCCACATTGCCGTAAACCGTCCTGTTGAAATAAAGACAATTTTTCGAGCTTCATGATTTTAAATTGCAATCAAATGGAAAATTTTTCAATACCAGAATGTGTTTAATTATCACATTAGGCTGAGAAGCTGGAAGCCGCGTGCATAACTAAAAGCCCCGGGGACACCGTACAGTTCATACAGCTTAATCAGCAAGTTGTGCTTTTATTTCATAGGAACAAAAACTCTTTACTTCCGGTCTCCGTCTCCTGTTTCTGTCCAGCTTCATGACGTCAGCGGTTGCGCCGTGAGATCATGCGACGCAGGCCGCAGCGTGCAGCGTGCGCGCGCCTCCCCTTTAATAATTTCTCCCAAAAACAAAATGAAAAAGTTATTTTTAGGATGTTTTTTTTTTTTTCCACCTTTGAGGTCACCGGAAGTGCATTTTTCCTCCAGGAGAAGAATAATAATAAAGACGGAAGTAATAAAAAAAACCAACACATTACTTCTCTTGTCATTTCACCTCTACAGGTGAACAAAAGGTCACACAGACATTAAAGGATCAATACCTGATGCTACTGATTTATCAAAGACCTCGATCTGAAATGAAAATTTAAATTATATCAGACAAAACTCAACATGTAATACATCCATATGTATAAATATATTTAATAATATCCTTCAAATTATTTTACAAATTGTTGGTTCATTTATTTATTTTTTTACACATTTTTATTCTCACTTTAATTTATATTTTGCCACAGAAAATAACAGGATTTAATATTTATTTCTGTTTAAATGGAAACGGTTAGCGTTAAATCAGAAAGACGATTTAATTCAGTTTCCAATATCTCTGATCAAGGTATTCAAACGAGCAGGTAAACAATGGTGAGAAAAAATAAAAAATCTAATTTGACATTGAATTGATTTTTATTTTTTTTATAGATAATACCATTTATTGATGTTATTTACTTTAACTCATCTAACAAACATTTACTTCACACTCGCCAGTTTTAAGGCTGATTTTTGTTTATTGCCAGTTTAATGTTTTTGGTGGATAAAACTAATGAAGCTGTGTTTGTAAATGTAAGTTTATCAAAATAATTTGCCCTCAACTGAGGAAAAAAAGTGATATTCAGTCCGTAAACTCTTATTTAACCACCAGTTGGCGTCTGAACTTCTCCCCCAAACAGACCAGGAATAAAAAAACAAAACAAACTTCTGTTTTTTGTTCATTTTATTTCTCCAAAATTATTTCGTTAACGTTTCTGTACATCTCAAACTTTTTCTCCTCCAAAAAACATTTTTGCATCTGAAACTCTCCGCTGTACAAACCACATGCATCCTGCTCTGCACACAAACTCATCATCATCATCATCATCTTCATCACGGCTGAGCTTCCTGTCAGTTCTTTAACCTGCTGGCCACAAACAGCAGGACAGTCGGGGGGTGTTTTTCTCTTTGTTTTTTTTGGGGGGGGCTTCCTGCCTTCAGAGGCCGAGGCGGTAACACTGAACTTTGTCCCACAGAAACATTTTAAAAATCTGCACCAGGAAACGTACAAAAAGGAAAAAACAGCACGGTGTTTTGGGAAATCTGCTTGTTTGCCGTCTTATTTTCATCATACATCTCATTTATTCCGGCGCCCAAATGTCAAACTACGCATGAACGCACCACGAAGGACACTTGGGAGAAGAAACCAAATCACAAAATCTGACAAAACAAATATGGTGCTGAAATAATTTGTCTTAACTTTAATTTAAAATCAATCCGCTCAACATTTTCATGATCAAATTTGCTGCTTTTTTACGTTTTTGTACGACAACAGAATATATTTTTGATCTTTGTACAAAAACAAGCAGCTGAAGAACTTTCTATAAACCAAACGGCTAAATCGACATGAATACAGTGCTGCAATGTAGGATTTACATTAATGACCAGCCTGCAGATCATTTCTTCAATTAAATCAATAAGTTTACAAAATATCAGTAAACTGCGTAGAAACGCTCCTCAGAATTTGCTTTGTCCGACCAAAAGGCACAAGTAGTTTTTAGTTTATAGATTTAAAACCGAAAAATTCTCAAATTTGAGAGGTTGTTGAATTTGAGAATTCATTTTTAAAAAACGGTCACTAACTTGTTTTCTATCCATTAAATATTTGTGTTTAATTTTGAGTTTGTTGGACAAATTTGGAGACGTCATTTTGGGATTGAAGAAATCCCAACAGATCTTTCTTTCACTATTTTCAGACATTTTATCGACCAAAATAATTAATCAAATTATCAAGAATATAATCTGCAGATTAATCATGAATAAAAATAATAATTAGTAAAACTACGACCACAAAACTAGGGCTACAAAAAAGGGGGAAAATGACGAAGATCTTTTTTTTAATTTTGCATTTCGAGAATAAAGACAAAATGTTTGTCATTTCGACTAAATTCTCAAAATGCAAAATAAATAAAATTATTTTTTGGCTCTCCGTCGTCCTAAAACACGTGACTCTGCAGAAAGACAGCAAACAAGAACATTTCCCAAAATGTTCCTCTAAAAAAAAAAAAAAAAAAAAAAACACAGAAATCCCGATGTCAGTGAACTGCTCACCGTGTTCACTCTGTTTACATAAGAAACAGGATCAATCTAAACATCTACTCGCCCCTCTGTCGGAGGTACTGACCCCCCCAGTGCAGCTTTAATTGGCAACAGTAACACAGGAATGGTCACAAAACAATGCATTTAAAAAATAAAATAAAGTTGGCAAAATGAAATCTCACGGTTCAAACGTTTCCTTACAGGATGGGGAGAAACAAGAGTTCATCCACGTGCGGCCAGCAGACACCAAACATTTCCATCCACTGAGGTCAACACCAGCGTGGGTGACCTGCTCCCACCCAGCAGAGCGTCTTTATTAGCGTTTCAAGTCCAGCATGTCCTGAAGAGACGGGTCAGCGGAGGGGAAACGTAAAAAAAAACAAAAAACAAACAACTTCCTGTCCTGCTCGCATCCAGCATCGCTCCTCCACGTTTATAAAAAACAAACTACAAGTTAAGCGAAAAGAAGCCAAAAGTCCGCCTATGAGAAATATGCATTTTGTTTTTCCACCCAAAACATTCTTGTTAGTAAAATCAGTGCAAATGAGGTAGATGTGACGACTACACGCAGCATCGGATCACACCGACGTCGGCTTCCTGCAGCGGCGGGTTTATTTTCCTCTGCAGGAAGCGGCCGCAGGATGTTTCTACCCATTCACACTGTGCAAAACCAAACGAGGAGGCCTTTAAGTTCTGTTACCGGAGCCCCAAAGTCCTCCAGTAATAAACAGTCAGGTGAGTGAAGTGTGTAAAAAAAAATTATATACATCTCTAGTAGAAATTGTGAAACGAATTATTAAAACTGAACTCGTGTGTCTGTGAAGGTCGTTCAGGTCGGAGTTATCCAGGGAAGGTTAAAAATGAAGGGCAGCGGGACCTGGTTAAAGATACTCGTGTCTGGAGTATCAACAAACACCAGAAGGATGGAGGACACTCGTTTCAGGCTACATCCACACTACGTCTCAAATCCGTCCACAGCAGCGTTTTAGTACAAGTGTTATTTACACGGTACAAAATACTCAGTAGCGTCTGATGAGAGCCAATCAGGAAGCCAAACGTGAGCGTTTTTGACGTCCTCCGTTTTCACCTGTCCGCAGTAAAACGCTACCCCGGAGTTTTAAACATAAAACGGGGTCTAGCAGCGTTTTCAAACTTCTTTGTTTTAGTCTGGACGGGATGTAGTATTGTGGATGCAGCCTTCAGACAGAGAGGACGGATGGTGTGAAAGGTGCGTCAGGGAATCCATTTACATCCGAGTGGAGAGACCGTCTGCGACAACGCTTATCCCCCCACTTACAATGCCGTCCTTTCATCTCTCCCCAGGAAACTAAACAAGCGTTCAGACTTGGCCTCAGTGGCTCCAACGACCCAGCGATGTCGATCGTCTTGATAACGACCCCCCAGAGGTTAATCGGCTTAGTTTCCCCTCCAGTCAGTCAGAAGTGAAGAAGTCCTCCGTATGAAGGTAACAAAGTCCAGTTCTTGGTTTTTAACCTTCCTTGGATGAACTCACTTGTGAAATATATAAATACATATACAATTTTTTTTTTTTTTTAAATGGTTCTCAAAAAGTTTGTTTTTAATTCATGACGTCACTTTTCGTAACATCATGAATAAACAAAAACAGGATATTGAATAAAAGTGTGGAAAAAAAAAAAGAATATGAAAATTTTAATTATATCCAATAAAACTCAAAAATGATTAACATTTGAGTTTTAATAATTTCCTTTAATTACTTTACAAATTCTTTTATGTATTTTTGCACAATTTATTCACACGACTGTTTGTCTTTTTTTTTTTTACTTATACATTTAACATTGAACCCTCTGAGGCTCCGTAATTTTGCACATTTCAGTGTTTTTTTCGGAGGGAAATCGAAATATAAAATAAAAAATAAAATAAACATGGCACCAAAATGTAGTGAAAGAATCTGTAAATGCGTCGACTGCGGACGCTCCCGCCTTTTAATACTGGCTCAAAAATAAAAAAAACACAAAGTCGAACGCAGCCCTGCCCAGAACTGTAGACTCCTTCCCTGAGACCGCGACAGGAATGCTGGGTAAGGTAGTCCTTTTGTCCTCCTTTAAAAAAAAATACACAACATAATATTTTTTTTTTATAGCTCTATCACAGTTACATTGCGCTTATTCCCCACCTAGTGGTCAAAATTGGCAATTACATTTTAAAAACTTTTTTTTAAAATTAGCATACAACATAAATATTCCCACTGCAGCAGAGGTAATAATAATGATGATAGCATCTATTTTTGTCTGCATCTAGTACAAATCGGTAAAACGCACGTGACAAAATAATCATTATTATTACTCTAACACAGCCTCAAACGTTAGTGCTTTTATGTACACTGGTTAAGTACAATGCAAGTCAAAGTGTTTGGACAGTGAACAATCTTCAGTATACCTGCGACAGGTAACTTACATTAATATGCATTTATATAAATAGGTAGTGTGCATGTTATCCATACAAATGCTGTCTGTACACAGTTCCATGCACTTGAGTTGTACTAGTTTGTAAATGTACATCTTATCTACAGACGCAGACCGAACTATGAGGGGAAACAGGTGGAGGTGACGGTAAGCTGCACACACACACACACACACACACTCACTCTCAGCAAACATCGCACACATTTAGCGCTCGGCTCACTCAAAAATACTCTCGGCAGCGTCCCTTTAAAAAGGAGCGCTCCGACGTCCTGGGACGTTTTCCTGTTTGCCGTTTTGACTCTTTTTGTTCGGTGCAGAAGTGAGTTTGAAAACAACAACTCGCAGAAGAAGAAGGAGGAGGAAACTGTTTCCAACAGCTTCACATGTAACGTGTTTTCACGTCGCCGCTTCTTGATGCGCAAGTTACTTAGTTTAGAGGCGAGTCGATATAAAAAGGCGTTGTCGTCTTTATGAAGTAGCAGCTACTGTTAGCTGCTAGTTACCGCCAACAGTAGCTGCTGGCGCCGCCTGGACTGGAACGCTCCTGCACTAACACCAACACGCCAAGCTTCCAGTCCGGGCAGAGTCAGCTAACGGGACGGCTAGCTGCACGGATAACTAGCTAGCAGCAGCAGCTAGCACCCTTAGCAGCAGTTAGCGGCTAAACAAACAAGCTCGGTAAATCACCCAAAGCTGAGGCGGAGCAGCCGGAGGACATCAGAGGGAAAACCAGACAATAATTTCTCCTTAAAAACAGAGAAGTAAGTTATAATGTTGTGGTTTTGTATTTTAATAAGTCTCACAGAGCCAGAACCATCTCCAAACATCGAAATATAATGTGTTTTTTAAACATTAAAGGATGTAAACATGTTGGAGAAGAAACCCAAACTAAGAGTATGAGCCTGAAAAATTACCATAATATGGTATATTATTAATTAGTGAGAGTTTTATGGCAGTAAAGTCGTTTCAAATCATTTTTATATCGACGTCAGGTCTTTAATTTCTTGGACTGGCCAAAATCGAGACATCCGTGTGTCGACAGTTTATCCGTAAATACGGTCGCTCCTGTACAACGTGACGCATCGACGCCAAAATATGAAACCACAGATGGTTTGATGGAGGATTTTAGCGCCCGCTGCAACCAGACGATGCATTTAAATCAAGAGGACAGAACAAAGTGCTCGTGAAGCTATAATCATTCAGCCACACAGCGTGTCCGTGTGACAGCTGCTGCAAGGTTTCCTCCCGCTAAAGATAAATCACTTCTGCACCGAACGCCCAGAGATCAAACCGGGTTCACGCCTCTGAACGTCAGACCGCTCCTTCAAGAAGACTTAAAGGGCAGTGGTAGATTTGTCTTCGGCCCAACAAAGAGACGGCAGTGTTTTGTTTGTCATATACAGAATCTTAACACTACAAATAAAAAGAAATGTCTTGACGGGAAGTCTTCCCGTGGTCGACCCCCGCCCCGCCCCCGCCGCCCTGCTGAATGTATGAAACACTTACAAATCAAAAACTGGGTGTACAGTTTTACCGTTATTTACATAGTTACAGTGGTTTTTAAAGCACCGCTAGCCCAGTGGAAGCTCCACAACTGTCGCTCAGTTCGATACAAACTAAAAAAAATAATTAAAATAAACCCGCTCGCCGCCTTTAAAAACGTTAAACCTGAACGCCTGAAGGTCTCGGCTCAAACCTGAATCTCAAACTGGTCCGGCAGGCGACACGCGTCTCCTGCAGTTAAACCTCCAAGTCGAGACTTGTGCAACGGATTCGGTGCGTCACAAAGTGAACAAGCGGACGTTTCGTTAACGCTTCGACTTGCTCAGTTTGCAACACGCGGCTCATTTTCACACATGGACGTGTCGTTTGTGGTTTTTTTGGACCGTTTTGTTTCTTCACTGTGGAGCTCTTTAACGTGCGAAGACTTCTCTATAAAATCGCTTCCTCTCTTTCTCCTCTCACGCCAAGAACGCTCTGAGGCTCCCTGCACGCTTCGAGAAAGGAGATCTTAAAATTGACACTTTTTTTAAAAATGGGGTATTTATACGATCGATTTTTTTGCTCCGGCTAGAAACTCTCTCCGCCTCTCTAAGGGTTCTGCTTCTGCGTTCAGCCATGTTTGTTTTTCCCCGTACAGAAGCAGAGCGGCGCCCGCAGGTCGGAGGCCTCGCGGCGGTTTCATGAGTAGGAGAGATGAGAGCCGTTAGAAATGTGAGAAGTGACCGATGTGCTCCGGCTGAGCCCTCCGTCGCTCCCCCCGCCGCCGCCCGGCCCTCCGGACGCCGTCCTCCTCAGAGGCTGGGGGCTGTTCCTGAGGGCCATCAGACCGGGGCCCCTGACGCTCAGGCCCCCGCCGCCGTAGCCTCCCTGTGATGACGAAGAAGAAGAGGCGGAGGACGGAGGGGAGGAGGACGAGAGAGAGATGGGGGGAGGCAGCGGTGGGGGAGGAAGGAGAGCAAGGGACTGCGAGGAGGCGTGGGAGGAGAGGAGGTGGTGGTGGTGGTGGTGGCCCTGGGAGTGATGGGGGTAGTGGGCCCCTCCTCCCACCCACTCCCTGGCCCGCTCGCGCTCCCTGCTGTCGCGCTCGTGGCTCTCGCGGTAGAGCTGTGGCGTGCTCTGGTGGTGTTGGTAGTGCTGGGGGAGGTAGTGCTGCTGCTGCTGCTGCTGCTGCTGCTGGTGCTGGTGGTGGAGGTGGGCGGAGCCGGAGGGGTGGCCCCTGGCGCTCTTGTGCAGCTCGCTGTCCCTGCCGAGGCCGTGGGAGGAGGTGATGGACTCCGTGCGGATGAAGCTCGCCCCGCTGTGGTTCTGACTGCGCCAGGACGGAGTCGCCACCGAGTTCTGGACGCTGTGGCTCCAGTGGCTGCCGGAGCGGGGGACGGGTCGGGACGGCCAGCCGCTGGAGCCCGAGGAGGGGCTGGGGGTCGGGTAGCCCTGGTTGAAGGCCTCGGCCGGGATGCCCGTCAGCGCCATGTTGCTGAAGCCGAGACGCATGCTCTCCGAGTCGAAGGCCTCGATCTCGTGAGCCTGGCGCTCCAGCAAAGTCCGGATCCGCTCCGAGCGCTCGTTCTGCAGGGAGAGCATCTCCTCCTCGATCTGCCAACAGATATTCAGACTGTTAGAGCTGCGTTCACAAATACAAACATTTCTTCTACAGCCGGACGATCGGAATCCATTATTTATTTATTCTCCGGCTCCCACATGTGACGATTTGATGCTTTTACCCGTCACGAGAGTAAAGAGATCATCTTTTATTACTGCTCTGAACTCACAGCCCTAATTTCTTCCAATTAACTGTTAAATAAAGTTTGTTTTTCTGGAAGGTTTGTGGATTCTGTGCATAAACTGACAGATTTACGTTGCCTGCACAAACGGCCTTTTCCAAAATACTGTCTGACCTCCGGGGGACTTTAACCCACTTTGTTTCTAAGACATAAATGATTCCGGGGCCCCGTCGCCTGCTGCAATAATGAAACTTCAGAGTGGACATTAACCTACACCTGCCGGCACTAAGCGGCTGACGGGCAGCGTTGTGTCCGGGTTAAAGACGCGGCGTGTTCGTACCCTTTGCTCCAGCAGCGCCCGGCGGATGGACACCCTCTGCTCCAGGTCCTTCACCTCTCGTTCGTGCTGATTGTCGGTGTGGATCTTGATCTTGCTCTGGTAGGCGTTCAGCAGCTCCAGCTCCTGCTGCAGCTGCATCCTCAGCACCTGGTACTCCGCCTCCTGGGTCTCATCCAGCCGCAGCTGAGGGACCAAACAGGGACGAGCGTCAGTTATCAGAGGGGCACAATCTGCTCAGAGCCCTGACGCGACAGCCGTTATTAAAAACAGTTCGTTTATTATGTGCAGAGAGATTCTTCACTCATTACTCATTCAGCACTGCTGCTGGCGTGTGGGTGGAAATGCAAACTAACGGTCTCATGTAAGTTACAGTTAATGTGTTTGTATTTCATTGTTTCCTCATGTCATTTTACTTATTTCTCCACCTTTTACTTTTAGATTTTTAAGTGCAATTAAAACGCACCTCAGAAGGGAGGAGGTTTCTCATGTTGCCCTTTTTTAAAAAAATTTTTATATTAATGTCTGCAGATAAATGTCAGAAGCTGTAAAATGAAGACACAAAAGGCAAACATGAACAGTCGTATCTAAAATGACTCTGAGGTTATTTTAACAGGGTTTTAGAGGGTGACGCCCAAAACATGCTGTGCCATAAATGTAAAAATCACTGTGGAGCATCAGAACCAACCAAATAACTTTCCACTAATCTAAAAGGTTGTAGTTCCTCCAGCAGACGTTGGTTATTTATTATCTGCTCTAGCTTTTCCAACTATTTCTTCAGAGATATGGTGGAAATAACGGCCCAATATGGTGTGAAATTCCATATTTGTCATTGAAAAACTTAAAAGTTTCTTGGGGGAGGAGCCCCAAACCCCCTCTGACCAAGACTACCACCAAAACATTCATCTAGAGCTCACATAAAAACAGGGAAAACACTTCTAATGTGCACCACAAGAGCAATGCTGCCGAGACATGTTGTGTTGGGGTTTTATATTCAGACATACTACGAACCACGCGCATAAAAAAAACTCCATCCTAGGGGAAACACTGTAGTTAAAAGTAAGGGCCTGTTGTAAATATTACACCGTACACCTAATTTATTGTCTTCTAAGTGCATGTGTCACAAGACTATTGAGATCACTCAATGCCTTGGACTACTTTTATTAATCCAAGATGATGTATAATATGAACCTAACCGTGGATCTGGAGAATCGTTTATCTGTATAGCACATTTCAACAACAAGGTAATTTAAAGTGCTTTACATGAAACAGAAAAGCAACAGGGAAATATACATTTTTGTAAAATAATAAAATAGAATAAAAACAGGCAGGTCTCTCACCTTTACTTATTTGCTCCTTTCTTTTTTTATTTTCCACTCGATTAATAGATAAGTTGTCGTCTATTAAATTAAATCACCAACTATTTTGCTATCGATTAATCAGTTTGAGTCTCGAGTCAAAACTCTCTGATTCCAGCTCCTGAAATGTGAATATTTTCCGGCTTCTTTGCTCCTCTGTGACAGAAACGGAATATCTTTGGGTTGTGGACATAACGAGACATTTGGAGGACGTCGCCTCATTTTATAGACAAAAACAACTAATCGATTAACTGAGAAGATATAAAATATAAAAATAAGAAAAAAAAGCAGTAAATTCTTACAGGTAATACGTTGGAACAAGAAAACATGTTGGGCTTTTTACTTGATAATTTCTAATAACTGCTGTCATTTATTTAATTTTCAGTTGACAGATTAATCATTTCAGCTCTAAGCATCAAATAAAATCAAGTTTCCATTACAAATCTTGTTTTTCTGGGAGAAATCAAAATTGTTTTTTTTGGTAATTACTGTCAGTAGAAACCTTCTGCTGACAGACTTACGTCGTCTCCATAAATTACATTTTTCAAAATACTTTCCGTCCTTTTGTCCGTTGCTTTTCTAAATGTGCGCGTCTGTCACGGCGAACACGGCGAGGCGGCGGTGCCGATGACGGTGCATGTGTTGAGGTGTAGGTGCAGAGTTCAGGTGTAGCAGGTGCGCGGGGGTTTCCTTGCCTTACTCACAGCCTGTGTGGACAGCATGTCGTTGATGGAGTGGTCGTACTGCTCGGCCAGGATGGCCAGCTTACGTGTTTGCTCTTCTTTGATGCGTTTGAGGACGGCCTTGTGGTCGGATTTGGGGGTGGTCTCCAGCAGGTGGTTCCTCAGGGCTTTGTACTGACGGGTCTGGATCTTACAGGTCTCCTGGAACTGACGCTTGATCTGCAGCTCTTTGGACTGAAAGGAGGTTAATTAATAATCAGATACCACCAACGCTACGCTACAACAGATTAAAAATCATTTTGCCGCTCGCACTACAGAAGCTCCTTCATACCTTGAGGCTCTTGGGCTGCTGCCGGACCTCCATGGCGTGTTTCTGTCGCAGTTCCTGCTCACGCCGCTTGTTGTACTCCATCTGGTTGGTCAGTTCGGTCTGATGTTGCGTCCGGATCAGTTCGGCCCGGGTTCGCTGCACGGAGCCCAGCTGCCTGAACTCCAGCTCCTGGGTGGACTCGTGGTGCCGCAGCAGCATGGCACACTCCAGGTCCTTCTGGGTCTGCTTCTTGTTCAGGTCCTGGTGGAGGACGGGACACATGTCAGCGGAAAACCAGGAGGAAGGAGAAGAGAGAAAGGAAGGAGGAAAAGAAAATGCCGGTCACGTCACGTATGTGGGTTAAATTAAAACGCTGGAGTTCTGCTTTAGTTAAAAAGTGTCGCCGGACGATTTGAGGAAAATGTCAAGTTGTGATTTTTCTGACAAACATTTTATTATTTAGATTCTTTTTGTGGTCTAACAAACGAGATGTGATGGTCCAACGCCTGCTCTTGTTTCTAGATGAACAGAATCAGATAAAATAATGTAGTAAATGTCCGTCAACTAGAAAACAGTACACTTTTCACCCGCTACAGCTTTTTAATTCTTCAAGCTGTAATTACAGAGCGTTGATTTCAAATTGGACTCAATACAACATCTTGTTCGGCCCTAATGAAAATTCATGTGCTGCGTTTCCTACAAACTGGTTAAAGCCATCACGTACTTAAAGTAACTCCAGCACAGAGAAAGAAACACAAAAATAAAAATCGTGACAATTTGGAAGGTTATTAAAACATTTCCGGCCGACAAAATCTGCAGCGTCACGTCTGTGTCGCCTGAGCGTCCAGAGGAACGGGATGTTTAACGAGCTTTATTACCCGCTGTTATCAGCTGCTCCGCTTGAGACCGACTTCAGCTCAGTGTAAAAACTTCCTGAATTTCACTGCAAGGCAAACCCCGCCCCCCCCAAAGTACCGGTACTAAAGGAAAGTATTCATGAAGTCGGTTTAAACACGCGATCGTGTGCTCCGCTATAGTTGACTAATGCGCGGAACAGCGGTTATAAACCTTACAAACGAGCGACAACTTAACCGCGCGTGCAGAAATCTGTTCTTGTAATGTCTCAAACATTTCGTCTCCGACCCTGCAGTGAACGCGGCGCCGCGTACCTCTCTGAGCAGGTCCTGCTCCAGGTTGTGGCGAGCCAGCAGCATCTTCCTCTTGTACTGGCGGCACTGCAGCTCGTAGTACTGCCTCTGCCTCCTGAGCAGGCTGGCCTCCTCCTCCGCCTGCATCTGCTGCAGACACTCTTTCTGACGGATCAGCCACTCCTGCTTCTCCCGCTTCGGAGTCAACTGGTTCTCATTCAGCTCCTGGGTGGAGCGGAGAGGAGAGAAGGTTAACATGTGTTCGCGTACGCAGCCATGTTCTTATTGTAGAAAGTAGGGATGTGACACGAGCGGGGTGTATTTCTATTTCTAGTAGGTTATTTCACAATTACTACTTTATTCTCGACCATATTCTAGTGTTTTCTCACTACTTGAATCTGCTTTTCCTTCAGTTCTCTTTTCCTCACACTTTCTTACTGTAAAAACACCTGCTTGTGAGTTTCAGACGTATTTTTTGATATTGTTGGTATTCTGTTTAATGTCACTGATCACTTTATTCCATGCTCTCTGCTTGCTGCTATAATGTTTGAAATTTGTAGTGAAGTGTTTCGTCACACCCCTCGTATTGAAATACTTTGGCGTGTTGAGAGCAGAGACACATTTTTGGAAGATCAGTGTAAAAGTTGTTTTGGCTCTAGAATTAATTTATGTTGATATTTAATATTAAAAAATATAAATGAGCTGCAATCATGATTCCACACCGCTTTGAAACCAGGGCTGGCCAATAAAACAATAATGATAATTATAGCAATATAAATTTTCCAGTATAATAAATGTTCAATATATCGCCAATTATATTTGGTTTAATTCATTTGAATCATGAACAAATTGGCACTTAAACTAAAATATTTTGTTGAGGAAGAGATTAACTAATCGTATTTGTTGAAAAAGGACGGTAATCTTAATAGTTTTGAATGTTCTACCTCGGATCTGTGAAGTGATTCACTGTTTGGCATCGAGTGTTTGTCACGTTCTGACCAAACAGAAAAGTTTAACCACATAATAAACCATCTGGTTTCTTCAATTTTCACTCAGGAGCAAAAATCAGCCTTTAAACTTGAGAGAAATAACGATTTGACTGTTATCGTGATAATTATGGATATCGAACACCACGTATCGCCCAGCCCTATTTGAAACACAAAAACAGGTTGACAAATAATATTTGATGTTTCTGGTGAAGAGGAGCGACCGAGCCGCGCTGATCCAGCGAACACGTGGGGCCACTACTTACCCAAGTGCCCCGGTTTCCACCATCGGCATTTGTGTTCGCTCTCACCTCTTTCAGCTGATCCTTGCGCTGCCGGTACTGGCGCTTCTGCGATTCCAGTAAACTGGTCAGTTCTTTCTTCTGCTGGCCCAGGATGTGCTGCTGGAACTTCTTCTCCTCCGTCAGAGCTGCTTTCGTCTGCAGGAGGACGCAAAGAAAACATTAGTGCTGATCCAGAAGCACAGAAACAGCTTGAGAATCAGATGAATATGAACCATGTTTACACCGATTATTAAAAAGGTAAACATGGTGCGGACATACCGAGTCTACCGATACATAAACCTCTAAAGTCTTCGTCCGTCCCCCCTCACCTCTTTCTCCAGGATGGCCTGGTGCTTCTTCACCAGCTTGTCGGCTTCGGTGGAGAAGCTGTTCCTCTGGTTTTCCAGCTCTTTGTCTAGTTTCAGCTGGTGCTCGTCCATCTCCGCCTTCAGCTTGTTCTCCAGCCCCATCAGCTGCTTCTGGTGCTGCCGCCTCATACGCTTGTACCCGGACATCTGCTCTCGCAGCGCCGAGCCCTGCTCGTGTTCCTGGATCTGACGGGTCACCTGGAGGAGGGGGGGGGGGAGAAACGGGTGAACGCCGGTGTTTGAGAGCGAGAGCGCGTTTCAGCCGGCCGTGTGAAAGTTACTACACCTGCTGTCATCACAGAGGAAGAGGCCTCGCTGAGAAGACTTACCAACGAGGCAGTTCGGATGGTGGCGAAGTGGTCACGGTTGCGGTAGTAGGCTCGACGGCGTCCAGCTGAGGGGGCCTGGGGTTGGTCCATCTCTGGCTGGTAAGGGTCATCATAGATGTTATCCTGACCCTGAGGGGGAGGGGAGAAGGGTCAGACACTTTTAATCACACACAGAGGAATAAAACCATGAGGCGTTTTTGGACCCAACTGTTTGGGGGGTCGCCCTGAGAACTACAGAACTCCAAGGGCTTTTTATCCGTTTCCAGTCGCACAACCAATAGCAACGCCGAAGCAACGTAGCGACCGGCAGCGGCTGGAATAGCAACATCACTTCCACACGACAATAACAAGCCGAGGGTCGCCGTGGTCCGACTTTCCCTAGTAACTAGTAGTGTAAGGGATTTCTATTTCCAAAACAGTAATAATATTACAGTTAATAAGTAACGCTGCGTTACCAGAACAACATCTTATGATGACGCGTTTGTGTGACAGCAGGTTAGGGGCAGTTCAAGTCGGCTGAACAAAGCTAAAGCAGAGAGGCGTTCTTTCGACATGCTGGAACAGAAACGATGCTGTACTAGGGCTGAAAATCACTTTTTGAGCTTCGAAGCATCGATAGTAATTACCAGCGAGTAGTCGAAGCTTAACTACTGAAATTTGACTGTTTTGATCTGTAATGAAGTTAAGCAATTGTAAAATTAATAAAAAACTTAATCATAAACCCATTGTAGAGCTTTTAACGGTGATGAAACAGCAATGAAAAATCTAACCCAGAAACCCTAAAGCAAAGAATAGAAAATAGAATAAGTAATTTCCCAAACATTTTATTGTTGTTTTTTTAAACTTTTAATGGACACATGTAACATGTTTTATACTTTCTGTGAATATAATCCAGTTAATCTTATTTCCATCCTGTACAGACGCCTTATTTTGAAAACCGGACGTTGTCACATGTGTTTCCTCCTCGTCGCGCTAAATTCATCCAGTAATCCAGTAATAATGTTGTATGTGGTTCTCGTCCGGCGTAACATGAAGACTTCACAGCCTCTCTTCATACTAAAGAGACAAACTGACAGGATAAAGTCACTAACCTGCCCGTCAGCTCGCTCTGGGGCGCTTCACTTACCGTAAAGGCTTTAATACGTGTGCACTCCAAATGTAGGCGCGGCAGCTCAATCGCCTTCTCACAGACGAGAGACAGAACCAGACCGCTAACGTTACCGTAGTTACCTCAAAAGAAAAGTGGTTATCTCGAGTCGGACGCCAAAATGTGCGAGCGTGCGAGCTCACAGCAGCGCCCGCAAAACACAACGTTAGAGGTCTATTAATGTTATGAGATGTGTAAAAATGTTTTTGGTTCATTTTGAAACTATGGCGGAGCAAATTAGACTACGGCGGGCCGCCGGGGTCTCGTTAATTAATGGGACAAGTACAATACTTTTTGAAGGAGTAATAAAAATGTGAAAATGTGAAAGCGCGAGCAGAAGGAAAGTTGAGTGTAACATCATCAAGGAGGAGAGAAGAACGCAGCACTGCAGACAGAGGAGACAGGAAGTTGAACGTTGTCTTATTCCTGTTTTATGTGAACTAAATATTTCAGGGGAAATACCGATCCACTGGTTAGAAGCCGGGTATTAAACGGGCCCCGGGGCTAAATTATTAAAGGGTGTAGTGTTGATAAGATACCTTGGCTACTAGTGAATTGTTATAAACAAGCTATAACAAAACCTGTCTATGTTTAAACACGGGTGTCGACAACCCGTGAAAATTCACTGATAGCAAATGTCAACCAAACTTAAGGTCCGGAGCTGGACGCGCTCCGTCCTGGGAGGCGGGGGGGGGTCTTTACCGTGGGTCGGTGGATGATGGAGCTGTTGGAGGTGACGGTGTGCTCGCCCTCCTGCATCATGGCCATCTCGCTGCTGCTGTCGTCAGAGGCGTCGGCCAGACTGTTGACGGAGCTGCTCTGAGAGCTGGCCGAGATGGACATGCTGGGCACCGACTGGGAGCTCTCCATGCTGTTCACTGTGCCGGTCCGCAACAGGTACTGCTCCGCCTCCTGACACAAACGCACACAGGCTGGGTTCAGTACGATAGATGGATCTTCATTAGGCTACGGTACGTTTTCATTTAGTCTTTTCACACATCAGTACGCCGCAGACTAAACCAGGCCGAGCAACACATTCACTTTATCTTCCCCTCTCCGCCTTCCTCACCTCCTCCTCGTCCCCTCCCTCGGACACGGGGCCGTTCTGCTGGGTCTCCTGGAAGAGGATCTTCTTCATCTTGCGGTACTGGAGGTTGTCCAGCTCCCGCACCGCATCCTTGGTTCGCGCAATCAGGTCCATGATCACCGTCAGCGGACGTTCGCGGCACAAGAACCGATGCTACAGGGGAGGAAGGATGGAAACGACAGATGAGGCCCTGCAGACGAGGTTTGTGTCAGGTGAGATGGTGCAGGGTGAATAAAACAAACAAAACGTTCTCACGTTCAGCAGCACGTCCGAGGTAGGCCGGTCCTGGGGAATCTTCTGTAGGCAAGAGTCAACAAAGTTGCGGAAGGAATCAGACCTGCAGAGAAATACGGGATGAAGTTATTTTATGTGATGAAATTAAAGTCCTTTGGGTCGTCTAATGCCTCGTGCACGCTGGAGGATTTTAAAATCTTAAAATGATTAACATATTTTTTTACATTATAATCTGAAGAGCGCACACACCAGACGGCTCAGTCCTGACGCAGCACCACGCGCTTGGGGTTCGCACTAAACGGTTTCAGAGGACTTCACGTGATCAAACGTGACTTCAGACCCAAACAAACATGGAGGCAGACTGGTGTCATCAGCTGGTTGCACTTGTGTGTGCAAGACAGTTTAATTACTGGTCACTCCGCAGGTTTGAATGGAGAGCAGTGAAGCCTGTATTTGTCCTATGTACCATTTCCTACTGGCCCCAAGGTGTACTACGCATGATTGATCAGATTTAACAACATTTAATGACGTAGAGCGACGACAGAAACATCGTAATTGACCCTTTGCTGAGCCACACCCCCCTTTCAAACTGTCAGACTTTAAAAAAAGCTAGAAAACAACACCTTTCACATTAGAGTCAATGGAGTGCAGCCATCAAAGTGTCCTATACTGCGCTGTGATTGGCTACCTGCGTATTCGGGGTGTGGCTTAGCGAAGGGTCAATTCTGGTAGCTGCATGGCTGCACCAACAGAAAGTCTTTTGGCTCAGGTTGCTTGTCTGACTCGGATCGTGACTCTGTTTAATCACCTGCCAAACGCCGACGCAGCCTCACTGATGGCCGTACAGGCTTTTTGGCCCCCCCGAGAGCTTCTTATCTAATCCATGCAGGCTTTTCGTCGGCTTCACTGTTCAAACTCTCGCTTATCCCCTGAGAGGTAATCCCCCCCGCTTACGATTAATTAACCGTGACGTTTTAAAGCGCAGTTAATAGTGAAATCCGGTAATCGCTGCATCCCTAGTTCCCAGACCAGCCTCGTCGGGAACAGCCCTGGGATGGTCGGGACCCAAAATGATCCTCTACTGAGGCGCCAGCATAAGGAGAAGAAACAAACAGCACTTATATTTTCCATTAAGATACATTTTGACGTTACTACAATATAAAAACACTGTTTTCTCTGGGTCACGATTTAAATGTCTGATTATCACATTTCACAGACGCCCAGGTGAGTTTACTGATGGAGTCTCTGAGCCTGTAGGAGTCCCCGAACAGAAACGTGATCGACTGATTTCATCAATCGACACAGAAAGCAGGATGATTAAATCAATCTCTGACTCTCAAGACATTCGATAAACTTTAAATGGTCTGTATTAAGAGATAAAAAGGAGATGTTCTCACCAGTGATTGGACTGAAGGATGGGGCTTTCATTCTGAGCGATGTGATATAAGGCACTCATAGCATTCATATTGAACAGTGGGGGCTTCCTCTCCGCTGCAGAAAGAGCACAGAGTCGAGACTTTCATTTAATTCACGTCTGTATTCAAACACGCACACACTCAGAGGAGTCAGACTGCAGGTCATACCCAGCTCGATGCTGGTGATGCCCAGCGACCAGACGTCCACCTTGCCGTCATACTGGCCCTCATCCATGGCCAGGATCACCTCGGGAGCCATCCTGACAAAGAACACACAGCAGACGTCAACGATACAGACGACTGAAGAGTCTCAGCTACTGTAGCGTCAGCCGGCTGCATCACTATAGGTTTTTACCGTTACATCCTTTCTCGCAGGCTGAATCAACAGTTTGACATAATACTGGTGGTACACAGGGTGGTAACATGGGCGCCGTTAGTTGGTGAAGTAATGTGGAAAGCAGGCAATGAAATTTCATTTATTCATAATTCATTTCATTGAAAAACTTACATATAGCCCCTTTAAGAAAGTAGGAATTAGGGCGCAATAAGAGGACTTCTGACTGGTTGAAATTACGGGGAATGATTTCAACATTTGTCCCCGCTTAGTGATTATATGCATTTGTAGGACAGAAGAAGTCGCGAGGTTTGGACTAAGCGCTCACCAGTAGGGAGTCCCCACGAAGGAGTTGGCCGGAGCCACGATCGAAGCAGAACCAAAGTCCCCCAGTTTGACCTGACCGGGCTCCGTCAGCAGGATGTTTCCCGCCTTCACGTCCCTACAGAAGACAAGCAGACGTTGAGCGGCACACACGAAGATGCTGCCTGTGGCATTTTAAAACATGAATACACTGATGTCAAATTAACATATAATGAAGTCAGCGACATCAGAGCGCATCATAGAGGCTGGTAGCTTGTAGTGGTCGAAACTAAGCTTTCAAAGTAACCTGGGAATAATTTATAATAGAAACCTGGCAAACAACAAAGTGCGGGCAGGTGACGGCGCCATCACGATACAGAATCATTGAGAGACAAATAAGTTACACCTTAATCCTCTGAGGACAAGACAGAACTCATCTCCAGCTGAGCAAGTTATAAACAAGCCATATTTAGACTCTCGGGATGCAACGACCAGTTTTTAACAAACGTGTAGCAGATTCTGGGGCGGCTTGTCTCAACTTGTATCGAGCTCAGCGTGTAGACTCAGTGTCCCAGTCTGCTCTACTGTGTTTACTAACCAGATAAACAGATTTTTATTTTGTCTTTGTATCTTTATGTTGATTGATTTCTGCAAAAATAATTAATTATAATAATATTGTACCTAATACACAAATGTGTCGCCAACACAGCGAAAAAGAATTTTACCTGTGAATCATATTGTGAGAGTGCAGATACGCTAATCCCTGCAGTGCACCATGGGTAATAGCAGCTATTTCAATTTCCTGGAGTGGCTTTTTGTGAACTGCAAGAAACAAAGCACACGAAGAGTCACACACACACAAATAATCAGGTCTTAATAATGAAAACGTTGAAGCAGGGGAAGTGCAGGAGTTCAGCGCTGAACTGACCTTCAAGGAGGTCTGAGGCCGAGCCGAGGCAGTACTCCATCACCAGCTGAGGAGACAGACACATTTATATTATAGCAGTAAATAATATATTTTATACTGTATAACAAACATAATGTCATGTGGAGGCTGCATTAAAATGTTATATTTACTTCAGTTAACGTCATCTTAAATCAAGGTAACGGTGCATTTCATCTGTCGCCTGTCAGGAGCTTTAGAGCTCATGATCTTCTGCCAGAAGCTGTCATAAATTGACTGTTTATCTAGTTTTAAGACAAATATTTACAATACATTTGTTTTGACTATATATTTTAAGGACATCTGGATCTGAAGTTATCAGAGAAACAAGCTCGGCAAAAGTTAGCGACAGCTCGGCACAGAGCGCCCGGTGTCCACCGAACAGCATCGGAGAAACACCGACTTTTAGCATGAAACCGCTTTGTTCAGTGTTTCTACTGGTTTTAATCACTGGCTCTGTTTGTTTTAGAGAGGACGAGACCTCTGCGTATAATTCAGCTCCTGGTAAAAACCTCCTGAATAATAAACTGACTGCAATGAACAGTTACTCCCATGATCCCACAGTACTTCACGACGTCAAACTACATCTTTTGTTATTGTTTTTATATGAGAGACGCTCAGCGGCAACAATGACATTGCATTTAAGATTTATCATTTTAGTTATTAGTATACTTAAAGTACCAAAGGTAAAAGTACTCATAATGCAGAATGGCCCATTTCAGAATAATATATATTATTGGATTATAATTATTGATCAATCACCTTAAAGTTGCAGCTGGTGAAAGGTGGAAGTACTTTTAATTACTTTAAACTGCTGGAAAGCCCGGGTCTTATCTTAACAACAACAATACATCATCATTTATTTGCTGATTATATTTTATAACACTAATCGGAATCCATAAAGTCACTAAAGCAGTCATGGAAAATTTAAAAAGGATCACAAAGCAGAAAAGCACAAGTTAATCAACATGTTACTTAAGTACAGTTACTTTCCACCACTGCGTTCAAATAAATCACTACATAAAAGAAAACCAGATACGTACCCATGCTGTGTGCTCTTTCAGGTAACATCCCAGATACTCGATAGTGTTGGGGTGGCGAAGTTTCTGCAGGAACTTCACCTCTTTAATGATGTCCTGCCATTTCTGCACAAGAACACAAAACGACTCACAGCCATGAGTACTTTACAACAGACCGTCTTTACAAGAGAAATCTTTTAATTCATTACCACACATCTTATTTTTCAGTGTCTTTACATCAAAGACAAAGCGTTTTTTAAATGAACTGAAAGCGCTCATTAGTAGATAATGACCATTTAATTGCCTAAATGATTATTTTTACAGAGAGAGCGAGCAAAGACAAAGCGTGCGGAGGGACGAAAGGAAATCAGTTGTTTCTTTCTAGTTTGTTACCTCGTTTGTCTGCTTGCCGCTGTAGGACATTTTCTTAATGGCCACCACCTCATTGTTGCGCACGTCTCGGGCCTGTCGGGAGACAAAGTCACAATCGTCAGCACCTTAAGTTACACAGAGAACAGGTCACACGGGGAATCAGGGACTTGGACTTCTGGATAAGAATGCATAGATCCATCGGCTGGGGATCGGATTTGGTCGGTTTTCAGCGTAATCGGGGCCGATCAGCGTCAAATATCTGCTTTTCTGCTGGTCACATTTAACGTTACAGACGGTTAACTGGCTATTGTCACAGTCACACACCTTTAAACAGTCAATGCTTATGCTGGTGGTAATGGGGACCCTAATAAAGAAATCATTTTCCCAATAAAGAAAAGTTATGCATGTTTGTCTGTAAGAATGATAATTCACAGCATAAAGAAAAACAAATCTGATTTGGGCAGGGCAAAATGTAAAATCGGTGCACCTCTAGTTCTGGAGTCTGCTTTGTGCGGGTTTTGGTTATAGATATATTTATTTAGAATAAGGGGATGTCTATCTCTGCATGCAATGATCTCGTTTCATGCAAGCTGCTCTGCTGTCACAGGGAAAAATGCAGATTAGAAAACGTGTACACATGTTCAAGAAATTCTCCAGGAGAAATCAGGTTTCTCTAATCCTCCGCCCAGATTACAGAGGCAAGATTCTCACATTAGGTTTTCAGAGATCAGCTTACTGGAGAAAGCTGACTGTAACCCGGTTACTTAGACACATGTAGATGCACGCTTCCTTTACTTTGGGACTTTCATTTCTTTTTGAATGACGTGTTAGGACTCGACCAGGGCAACCTGCTGCGCTGGTCTCTCTGAACCCTTCTCCATCCATTAGTCACAGCGTTTTAAAGTGTAGTTAGTCATTGAATGTATCCCGATTTAGCAGCAGATAAAAATAATTTGGTGTTATTACTGCAGTGGATAAACCACTTTAACCATCCTTTCCTGAGTAAAGAGCGCATGATAAGACCACTCGGTGGTGCTAGAAGATCGATCTGATATTTTCAGTGCACAAGAGAACATCATTAGTACACAATGATCCATTCCCCAACCAAACTGCATTATTTATTTTTGGATGAAATACTCATATGTTCCTCAAATCTATTCCAACTGCTTAATCCTCCACACACAAAAAAAAGGGGCTTAATCCTAAAAATCCCAAGTAAGGACGCTGCTATCAGACACCAGATGAAGAAGTCCTGCTGCACTGTGATGACACTGACAACATCAAGTCCTCCTCCAGACTGTAAACAACTAAATGATGCATCGTTTCTGTTTCTACTGAGAATAACTCCTGAAAGCAGCATTAAAATAAGGAATAACCGGGTAGAGCAGAGTTGTACAAGCTTTAAAAACATTATGTAAAGGCTTTTAGACCCTGACTCATGTAGTCAGCGGTCAGTTAAAGTCAGTTGTCCCCTTTGAAACACACAGAGTACATACAGTCTGAGCTCTGAGGATATACTGAATAAAGCAGACACTCTGGTAAAATTGATGCAAATTAATGCACATCGCCTATTTTTGCAGCTCATCTCTAATGGCCTTTAAGGATCCTCTGAAGCTCAGACATTCAGTGTGGGAACGCTGTGGAGGTGTGAGTCTACCGCACAGCCTGAAGGTAACAGGTAAGATGAGATGCACAGCTTAGTACACGCTCGTGTTATGTTCCCACTGTTTGTCTAATTAGGTGCGGAGATTTTTCAGATTCACAGCTTCCTTATTAATGAGAAAATGCAGATGAGACCGAATTTCTGTCTCTTAGAAACCCACACAAAGTAACACTGTTTACTGGCTCGGGCCTCCTGGGCTCACTGAGCATTTCCAAGGGAAGCGCTTGAAAAATCAGATAACGATCTAAACTATTGCTCATTTCTTCAAGATAATCTCAGCACTGGGCGGCAGGAACAACACAGCGTTGCTTTATATGTAGAAGATCATCGTGTTCTGACCGTCTTTAACCAGTTTAGAGCGTGCGGTTTGCTCCGGTTCCAGACCTCTGGATCAACGGTCGGAGAAACAGTTAGAGCTTTGTAGGCAGATCAACCTCATCTTCTTGCAAAGCTTTCTAACTACATCCACGATAAAATAGCGACAGAAAAATGGCCACAAAAAACAACCACACTGATGCAGTTGAGGCGACTCCACCAAAGGAACTATAACCCGGAACTAGCAACTCGCTGCGTTTCCACCAGAGGGACCAGCGTCTAAATGTAGACCTGGGGTCTTCTGGGGGGGCTCGCCTTGCAGTGAACTTCTGAATGGGCGAGGAGAATAAAACCAATAAATCTAGCAGCCAATCCAGCGGCTGTAACGTGGTGGATCAATATTTTGGAGCATGACATTTAAAAAGTCTTAGAGGAGCCGAACGTTTTTCATTTTACCCGCTTTAAAGTTAGCGGGGGGCTAAACTGACATTTACTGACAATATAACGTGGTGTAATTGTAGCTTACGCCGCAAGTTTCGGCATTAATCAGGCTTTAAAGGGGCGATCAAGTTGAAATTTCTGACTGGAGATTCAGACTTCAGATGGAAGCAGCGTTTGTCCCACGTCCAGCTCGTCACAAACTCTGCTGGTGCCTTCATTGTAAAACACTATTTTCTAGCAAGCATTGCACATTACTCTGACGTGGTGATGATGTGTCGTAATCAGCACATCGCGCCGCGACAGACGCTGCCAAAAAAAGTTCCAGAGGGGAAGAAAAGAGCCGTCTGATTGGCTGGACCACAGTGTTTTTCCTCTGGTAACGTCTTTGCCACACAGCAAAAATAAGCACTAATGACAACTTTTGTTTTGTGAACGCTAGAGCTGCACAATATTGGAAATAACTGACATTGCAATATTTCTCTTTTTTGCAATATATACTGAGATATAAAAAAAACCTAACAGGAATTTTCAATTCCTCTATTTGATATGAATTAAGCTTCCCAGATTTATTGAGGTGATTTTGTAGGGAAAATGCATAGGAAATAAATTTAAAAGTGAAATGAAAAGGCAGGAAAATGTCTTTTTAGTGTGCAAACCATCCTTTCTTGAGCTTTAATGCAGTAAACATATTTTAAACAGTTAATTTGACTTGCTTCACATTGCACCGTCCTGCGACGTGACAACTGCGCACAGACACATTGCGATGACGATACTAAAACGATATATTGTGCAGCTCTGTGGCCTCTACAACTGAACGCCTTCTGTATAGTGACTACAGAGCCACATGCAAGAAAATAAATGTTTTTAACTTTCTTCCCAAGTTATTGAGTATAAAAACGTTAAACAGACACGTGTAGAAGTGATATAACTATGAGTCTTTATCGATACTTTATTATTTGGTGACGGTTTTTAAATTAATTATAGGATTAGAATTTAATATTTTAAATATTAATAAGGCTAATTTGCGCTGTGCGTGTGCGCGACAGAGAGCCGCAGAGGCTGCAGCCCGATGATAAACATTCATTATTAGAACTCTAAAAATACGCTGTTGAAGCCACGTGAGCCGGACTGGACCACCTCCTGCTGCACTTGATTTCCCTTCTGACACGTCACAGGAACTTTTCTAGAATAACCCCGACCCTCACGTGAACACAACGTCAGGCCGATCATCAGGCGCTCACAGATGATCCCAAACAGAAGAGGCTGTGCTGAAAGAGACACCGCGTCCTACTCACAAAGTAAACGGCGCCGAAGCTGCCGTGGCCGATCTCACGGAGGTCAGCGAACAGCTTCTCCGGATCATCTTTGCAGAAGAGATCCGCCACATCCGGGTCCTTCAGATTGCCCGCCCGTGCATTCGAGGGCATGGCCAGGGCCTGGAAGACAGGTGAGATACACAGGTTAGTACCGCAGGTGAGCGAGGTGCGGGAAAACTCAGGGTTAAAGTCAAAACGACGTCATCCAGGCTGCAGAAGGTTCACTGGAAACGTGTTTTTGTGATCTTGTCTCACATGAATCATCGTTTAGTCACAACTAGATAGTTTCTATGTTCTTCTGGAGAATTTAAGACCTATTTCACATCAAACAGAAGTACAAAAGGACATGAAGGAAAACTCCCAGAATGACTTGCAAAGTAAATAATATTTTCATATTCAATAATCCAAAATCGTGAAATGAATGACATCTTGAGCTGGAAAGACTCTTCAAGATTCATGTTTCATTTAATCCATATAACTATATACAGCACACTGGTTCGCACGGATGTTTATTACTGTTGCACAACGCGCTCACGCTGTAGACAAGCGACCGACGTGATTTAATGGCACGGATGGTAAAAATGGAGAAAGAGTGAAAGTAGCGAGGGATGAAGGAGAGACAAAGAAAGTGAAAAACGTAAGCTAACAGAAAACAGCAGCTCTGTACAGCGTGTCTGCTGTAAAACAGAACCACGGCTTCTGCATCAAGACGGCGAGTAGGACGCTTTAAAACATCAGAAACCAGGTTAACGAAGGTTAAAAGCTGCTGCAAAAAGGTGCGTCTTAAGCAGCGATTTAAGGGTTTGTAGGGTGCAGCTTTAATCTGCATGTGGAGGCTGTTCCATAGGATGGGGGCGCCCACTGCAAAAGCTCCATCGCCCTTATTTTTAGTTCTGTGATCCTACTTCGTTGGACGGGCTCATTTGCATATAGTTGAGTACCTGTCTTGTTTATGCAAATTCAGATATGGCGAACGGTCAATTCATAGATCCTGTGCGTCGGGCTGGGCAATAAATCTATAATGATACTTATTGCAATATAATATTTCTCAATAACAACATAAACGTTCAATATATCGTTAATAAATGTTTGATTTAATTCATTTGAATTACAAGCAAATTAGCACTTTTCTATTAAGATATTTATTTTGTTGAGGGAAAGACTTTTTTACTAAATTTTACTCAAGCATATTTTGTGAAAAAAAGATTTTATCTAATTGTTTTGGATCTTCTTCCTCAGATTTGTTAAATGATCCACTGTTTGGCATCAAGTGTTTGTTCTGACAGTAAAGAAAAGTTTATAAACCATAATTAACCATCTGGTTTCTTCAAAAAGCAAAAAAAAAAAATCTGCCTTAAAACTTTTTATCGTGAGAAATATCGTTATCGAATGAAAAATTTTATTTTGTGATGAATTTTTTGGCCATTTCGCACAGCCCTACTAGTGCGTCTGCGTCTTTGCACAGCTGAAGTACCAGGGACGCCGAGCAAAAGTATTTATCTGATTATTCGATTAAAGAATCGGTTCCACACCTGAAGGTTTTAGCGAGGTCAGTCAGGGACCGTGGAGTTTGTTTTTCTCCATGCGACTTGCTCGTACACCAAATTAGACAACAGACAATTTCACTTTAAGTAGGATTTTTTTAAATGATGCGTAGAGACGCCACGTTAGCCCACACATAACACAACACCACGACAACTTTTAGACTTTTTTATTTATTTATTTATTTTTTTAAAAGGGACCCACCAAAATCCTGATTAGATTTTTTTTGATCGTTTAAGCTAAAACACAAAACAACATGGCTCCAGATTCTGCAGCAATGTGAGGACTGGCTGACTGGACCGGTCAGTAGAGCTGCAACAATTAGTCGATTAGTTGTCGACTATTAAATTAATCACCAATTATTTTCATAATCGATTCATCAGTTTGAGTCATTTATTAAGAAGTAACAGTAAAATTCTGTGACTCCAGCTTCTTTAATGTGAACATTTTCTGGTTTCCTTCCTCCTCTGTGACAGTTAACTGAATATCTTTGGGTTGTGGACAAAACGAGACATTTGTTTTCTGACATTTTCTGGACAAAACAACTCTGAAAATATTCGTTAGTTGCAGCTGCAGTGCTCAGACGAAAAGAATAGTATGAAGAAATCACATCTACGATATCGGCCTGTTATTTCTGTTTCTAGATTTAAACAACATGGATCGTGGACTGCGTGACCATATTGTTTTTAGAAGGATGTGGAGCATCTGTTTTCAGTTGGGCAGAAAAACTAATTAATGTGTTAAACATGCTGGAAAATGCATTCTCGTCAAAGTGACCCATTTGCAAAATTCCCCCATGAGACTTTATCAGATTCGCTGATATTCACAACCTAAGGTGCATGTCTCGAACACTCGGTAGTGTTTCAGGAATGTCACGAGTGGCTGGCTTTTGGCGTGAACGTTTGGAGAGATATCACGGTCTCTGCATCTGTGTGCTGACAGAAAAGCAGCCCAACGCTGATCTATCTGGGACAGTAATCAGCTGACAAGTTGTGACATGAAGACGTTCAACAGTCAGAAAGAGACTAGAGCCGGGCTGTACGACTGGGGAAACTGGAGAGAGCGAGTAACAAAACAGAAAGGGAAAGGATGAACAGCAGAGAGAGAGTGTCCTGATGTGGGGGGAGACAAAATGGCAGCTGGGTTTCACAAAGTGCACTTCACAACATGAATGGACTTCAATCAGTAAATGTTCAGTTAAGGCTGGAAACTCATGATGAAAAACACACCAACACCTTACAAAATAAGGACTCGTGGCAACAATCAGCGTTTTCTAGTTATGCTAATTATAATAAACAGATCTGTCGAAACAGACTACTAATCCATTAGTTGTTTGGTCTATAAACTGGTGAAAACTGTTGACTCAAATGTCTCGTTTTGTCCACAACCCAAAGATATTCAGTTTACTGTCACAGAGAAGGAAAGAAACCAGAAAATATTCACATTAAAGAAGCTGGAATCAGATTATTTGTACTTTCATTGCTAAGAAAAAAAAGACACAGATTATCAAAATAGCTGCAGATTAATTTAATAGTTGATAACTAATCAATTCTAGAGCTTTACATGTTTGTACTGCATAAAGCAAAGTTTACAAAACACAAGCACAAAAATGACTGTTTCAGCTCTAAATGCAAATTCTAGAAAGATGAAATACCGACTTAACGGTAGGGCTGAACGATTAATTGCATTTGCGATATTATCGCGGTATGATACAAATGAGATTTTCTAATCGTAAAGGCTGCGATTATGCTCTGGTCACGACGCGCGAGAGTAAAGCAGTCTGCAGACGAAGCATCAACTTTGCACGTTACGCCGTACCTGGACTTGTTGTAAGCTTGACTGAAGTTGACACGAGGGGAGGGAGGGGGCGACTCCGGTGTTGTCCGAGAATTACTAAGCTTGTGAGAGATGGATTCCTGGGAGATTTGACCTGAGATAAGGAGCTTAAATTGGTGGTTGAACTGTGGGTTTTGTATTGAGCGCTTACTCTGTGATACAGCTCACACTGGTAAACTTTTTCTTGTGGCCTGTAGGTAGGCCGACCTGATGATGTTACATTATTTAATGCCATGACTTGACGCTGAAATTATCTTTCTCATATTATAATAATTTGATATTTCTTCTCCACCATTGCTCATAATAATAATAATTCATGCAATTAAAGCATCACCTAATTTCATCATAACACAGGCCTGGCCTACAAGAAAGAACAGTGCATGTTTAATATGTTTAAGGTTGTCATGAGACTGTAATAATACAAACTTACATTAAGATAGAGCAACCGCAGTCTCAAACAGAACAAAATCATTCATTTTTCAACAAAAAACACGAGTAAAATAAATAAAAATCCAATCCCATTCCCCTCAATAAATTAAAAGCTAATTTGTTCATGATTTCAAATTAAATCAAACATTTATTGAACATTTTTTATATTGTTAAAGGAAAATTATATTGTGATAATTATTATTGTTTTATTGCCGAGCCGTAAATGTTTTTTATTGTCATTTAATCAGATTATTTTATGTCCAAAAAAAAAAAAAAAGCCAGGAAATAGAGCAGAGGTTATAATACTCCACAGCCCAAGGAGACGTCTTCAGCGTCTACTAAAATGAATAATTAATAATAAGAGCTGTTGCAGATTAATTATCTGTTGATCAAATAATCAACTGCTTGTTTCAAGACTTGCTGAAATATAAAGAAAGGGTTTTCCTTAAATAAAAATAGCACACCGTGGGGCAAAGACATGAATCTTTACATAAATAGAATTACTCATACGACGCTCGTGTTGCCTCATGTGAAGATCAGAGAGCAGCAGAAAGCTGAACTGACGGCGCTGCAGTTCTTCACCATCCAACCCTAATCAAAAGATCCGTATAAATAAATCCACGAAGATGAGACGAGCCAAGCTTCAAATGAAATCAGCCCCCTGAATGTAATCTCAGCACGGGCTGTTGACAAATGCAACATCATTTTATAAGGGGGTTAATGTAGCTGCTCATCCTGAAGTCAGCTGGAGGCCCCGAGGAGAGCCGGCAACATCACCGGGCCTCTGTGATTCGGTGACTGCACGGCCCCGGGGTCCCTGTTTAATGCAGGGCTTGTTCCTTTTTAAAGCACTGCTGTGTAAAACCCCCACTAGTAAATCTGTGCTGGACGAGAGGACAGATTCCCACCCCCCCCAACCCCCCGACAGAACACTTCGTCAAAACGCAGTGAACCCATTTCTAATCACATATTATTATGTGGCACTCAGTGGCCTGACAGTGTTCAGTATAAAGGCAGGGAGGCAGATGCCTGCAGCTACAGCCAGCAGAAAAACCAACCAACCTGAACAATGTGAAAGACAGAAACGTACGCTTTTCCAAATTAGAAAGGGAAAAAAATGGGGCACCCTAATTGCCTAAAGCCTGAACCATGTAACTGTAATGTTACTGGTTCTAATCTGGCCAAGGGACATTCATCATATCATTCCCCCTTTCACCTGTTATCTTTTTAAAATCAACTTACATAACCACAATAAAAAGATCCTTTTCCAGGACATTTGCAGCAATGATCTCACTGGTCTGACAGACAGGGATCATTAACTAACCGGTTCCTCTCCGCTGAAGCCAGACGTCTGTGGCTTTAACATATCTATGAAATCATCTCTTACATGCGTAGAAATTATGTCTTAAAAGGTCCAGTATGTAATATTTAGGAGGATCTACTGACAGAATTGCCTTATAAAGATCCATAACTATGTTTTCAGTGGTGTATAAAAGCCTTACATAATGAACCGTTATGTTTTTATTACCTTTATATCTACATACACTGCAGGTCCTCTTCCATGGACGCCGCCATGTTTTCAAATCCCAGCAGTCTGTTGAACCTCAGCTTTCGAACATTACTGTGGTCCTGAGCTCACATGTACGTCCTCTGTCACAACGCCACACATTGTGTATTAATATGCAAGTGCCAAAAACTGGGACTACTTCAAAAGTGTGCAAATATCAAAAGTTAACTGATGGTCTCTAGAACGCGTCACAACAGGTAATTAAACCAAGACGTGGTATAAATCAGTTTATCACACCATGTTAGCCTCTTTACTAACAAAGCTCATCACAACCTGCTGTGAACCAAACACCAACGTAACATTATTCAGCCGTTTAAAACACATTAGCAGCCAGCAGAGACTAATATTTACCATGGGAGGATAAAGCAACTTACATAATTTCCAGGACATCACAAGATTTTCCAGGACATTTTACTACCCCCCCCCCCCCCCCGTATTTTCCATGTTTTTCCAAGGACTGGGAAATTTGTCAACAGTTTTCCAGGACTTGTGGTAACCCTGTTCAAACAGGGTCATGTTAACTGTATTAAGAGTCCATATAAATAACCAAACGTTGTATTCATGACTAATTTTTTGAAAACCAAACGTGTACTGATGTGTTTTTGAAAAAATAAAGTGCAGCGAGGTCTGTCCCTTCTCTTGTCTGCCATATAATGACTCCTCTGCTTTAAGCTGAAACCACCAAATCAGTCACCATTTTTTAAAATGAGAAGCTGTCTTGTGGTTTCTATTTTTGTCATTTTCCAGGGAACCGGGTTGTTCTCACAAGCTTTTAAGAGCAGAGCACAAGAGGGGGAAGCAAGTTTCCTCAACTTCCTATGGGAGGGGGGAAAAAAACAAACTCACAAAAGACAGTAAACCAGAAAACAGAAGGGAAAATGGAAACGGAGGCGCAGACGTTTCTATTTAAACACGAGTGACGTGAAATTTAGTGCGTCAGTGGTGCCCGACAAAGATCACATGGCGGAGCTAACACTAGCAAACACTTCTGCATAATAGAAGCTCCTTGTTGTGAATGTGTGTGTAACATTCAAAACTGGGAATGAAAGCATATTTAGCTCCAATAACAAACATTAACTTGGGTTGATTTCTCTCCTTTTAAAAAAAAAAGAAGAGGAAAGTGGTCTGATCACAGGCAATGACGCACCGGACGCGGTCTAAACTTTTAGAAAAGTTTGTTCAGTTACAGTGAAATATCACCAAACTGTAGCACAAATATAATAACACTGCAAATAGCAAATAAGGCTGGGCAAAAACATTTCAGTCCCTTTTCCTCAACAAAATAAATATAATAGAAAAATTAAGTGATGATTCGTCCGTGATTACAATAAATTAAATAAAACTTATTGAACATTTGTTATATTGCTATAATTATTGTTTTATTGCCCAGCCCTATTCTACCTCAGATTTGTGAAGTGATCCACTGTTTGGCATCAAGTGTTTGTTCCGACCCATAAAGAAAAGTTTAAAACCACAATTAACCATCTGGTTTCTTCGGCATTCACTCAGGAGCAAAAATCAGGCTTAAAACTTGAAAGAAATAACGATTTGACATTTATCCTGATAACATTTTTGGCCACGTCGCCCAGCCCCAACTAACAAGCTACTCCGGGCTGCAGGAGCTTACAAAGAGAAAGCTGAATAATTCCGTGATTCAATGCCAAGGAACACACCATCTTTATATTAAACTAAATGTCTCTAAAGTTATTTAAGAGCACAAGGAGGAGACACTCTAGATGTCAACATCAACCTCTGCCTCAGGACTATTAAGTCAGTTATGTCTGGACAGTTCAACAACATAAATGGTCTCTACTCCACCCTTATAAACATAATCATAAACAGAAATTCCACTGGAAGGAAAATGTTTTGGTCGGCCTGCAGCAGCATCATGTCCTTTAGCAGCTCAACTGAACAGACTCTAACGAGGCTAAATCAATTGTGTGTTGTGGTTAAAAGCTAAATAAATCCAATCCTCCTGGATCACGAAGTTACACAACTTACTGTTGCTCTGTTATCTGTTGGTTACTCATTTAATTAGCAGATGCTAATCAGTGTTGATAAGGGCAATGCTAACTCTTTATGTTACATGACAGCAGTGTTAGCTAATGTTAACCTTGATCTGTTTTCGCGTAGGTGATCGAAACGCACTTAAAAACACATCAGGATACTGATAATAGCTGTAAAACTTCCTGGAAGTCGTTTTTTGTGTTTGAAGTCTAACTGAATTCTGTATCTTAAACGGCTGATGTGGAAAAATAGCGTTAAATTCGGATGCTTGAATAAATGCTAATGAGATAAATCTGAATTAACCGAGTTAGCGGTTAGCTGTAGCACATGTACAATCTGTCTAATTGTACTAATAAAGGCCTCTGATAACAAATCAGAGACCACAGGGCGTCCCCCGGACCGAAGTTTTGAAAACCACTGGGACGGCTAAACTAGCCAAACTTAGCTTAGCAGCTAGCTAAATGTAGCATTGTACTTACCGCGGCTTATTGTGGTGCCGCTGTGGAACGAAAAACAACAGTTAGCAGCGAAGCTAGCGAGCCGCTATCCTCATAGCCCGGGTCTCCTCTCGGCTCGGCGGGTTAATCAGCACGACGTTTGTCCCATTTTCCACCGAAGTCCCTCCAGATTTCAGGGCGACAGTGAAATTTAGTACACTAATTTAGTTTAGCTGGCGCAGGAAGAACCGTTTCTCTCCTCTTTATGTTGCTACTAGCTTTAGCTAATTGGCTAGCTTAGTTTCGGCAGCTAACATTAGCTCCTCTGCGGGGTGTGGCTGATGTTTCTCCGCGGTGCCCCACTTCCAGGCATATTGTCCCGTTGGCTTTTCTTAGAAATATACTCTTAAAATTAGACTTAATGTCTGCGCCCCATCCCGAGGTTGGACTTGTTTCTTTGCACCGTTTTTGTTCTTGCTAAATACAAGATGGCTCAGGCTGGTGGGGCGGGACTGGAGCGGTGACCGGAAAACGGTCTGCTCTATTTCCGGTGAGGTTTCAGCTTCAAAAATAAAAGGGTATAAATAAATCGACCTAGTTAATATTAATAATCTAGTACAAAAGGCTCGAAGGCTTGATTTAAAGATTCTTTTTTTCATGCCATTTTCTACTTGTACACCTTATCTCAGAGGGAGATTTTCTACTTTTTACTTCCTTCACATGTAAATTATTTTTCTCTATTCTTTTATTATTCTTATATAACTTGCATTTGTTTATTCCATAATTATATATTTCTACATTTATTTATGTCAACTGTATGTTTGTCACCAAAGCAAATTCCTCGTATGTGTAAAATACTACTTGGCAATAAAGCTCCTTCTGATTCTGATTCTACCCTTCAATACAACATACAATGATCTCTGTATATTTTCTCTTGGAGGTTCCTACTCATCACTGTATAATAACTCACTGAAATGGCCTCCACCTAATATAATATGAAACTTTCGTTGGGTGCAACTCATTTTTAAATGTGTACATTTCAACTATCACTATTTCATTATCTTCAACAGTTTTTAGTACCATATTCCTCGATATACAGTATCTCACAAAAGTGAGTACACCCCTCACAGTGTTCCAGCCAGGAACACTAACGAACCAGCAGTATCGATGATCCTGGCAAACGACCCCACTGAGGTTAAACAGCTGAGTTTCCCTACCAGTCAGTAAGTCCTTTGGATGAGGAACGAAACGTCTTCCAGTATCTTCAACCAAGTCCAGTTGCCCTTGACTTTAACCTTCGTTGGATAACTATGACCTGGATGACTGAGAATCTTCACAGACACCCCTCACATGTCTGTAAATATCTGATTATATCTTTTCATGTGACGACACTGAAGAAATGACTCTTAGCTACAATATAAAGTAGTGAGTTTACAGCTTGTATAACAGTGTAAATTTGCTGTCCCCTCAAAATAACACATCACACAGCCGTTAATGCCTAAACCGCTGGCAACAAAAGTGAGTACTTTGAGGGGCGCCCCTCAAGTGGATATTTTGTTTGTTTTATTTTTTTAACACACACAAACACACCCTTACTGTTTTATTTATTTATTTTTAATATTTTTTTATTTTTTTAACACACAAACACACACACCCTTACTGTTTTATTTATTTATTTATTTTATTTTAATATTTATTTTATTTTTTTAACACACACAAACACACCCTTACTGTTTTATTTATTTATTTTAATATGTTTTTATTTTTTAACACACACAAACACACCCTTACTGTTTTATTTATTTATTTTTAATATGTTTTTATTTTTTAACACAAACACACACACCCTTCCTGGTTTATTTATTTTATTTTATTTTTAATATATTTTTATTTTTTCAACACACACGCACTTATTATTTTATTTTTTTAACACAAACACATATACGCTTTCATTACTTTACGCTTTAATTACTTGTTTAATGAAATGTATGGGGTTGATTGTTGTTATGTCGTATGTATGATGCTTTGGCAATATTGTTGTTAATTGTTGCCAATAAAGCTATTTTTGAATTGAATTTATAATCAACTAATTAATACACTTCAGAGATTCCAACTAAAATATAGGGACTTTTATGGTAAACAAGAAAGGACTGGTGCCACCGGAGGAAAAAGGACCTGATGGCCACCTTATGCATGCAAACTGAAACACATTTCGAATTTTACTCCTCTTACTTTGAAATGGAAAGTAGTGCAAACGTAGTTAAGTTGTTTTAACTTGAAACTGTGAGTTAGAATAATGCAGAAATGTACATGGTCAGACTAGTTAAGGAAAGTTTTTCTTACATTGATTAAGTAACAGAATTATTTGTTTTAACTCAAAGTCTAAAGTTGAACCAAGATATAAAAAGATCGATCAACTAAAAAACACAACGTTGAGACAACTAGAACACTGTAAATGTCAACTTTATGAACTCGAGATGAAACAAAGGCAATCTATAAGTTGAGTAAACGTACATTAGACTATCTTAAAATGTTTTGCAGATTAGATCAGCTCAAACTGCCGACCTGGATGATGTAACAGTTTAAACTGATTATAATCCTGAACTGAACCACAGACATCAGTTTCAGTTTAGTTCTTATCTGCTTTCACTTCTTGGCAGTTTCTCCTTGACTTCTGGTGGTTACTGACACAGGAAGTTCAGTGATCACACCTCAAGATCCACATTAAGGAGACACTCTCATGGTTTAGATGCAAACAGCAAGCTAGTTTTTATTTACAGAAAAATGAAACGATGGATGATGACAGCACACTTTCTTAAACAAATCCTAAACTTACACCACCGGTCAAAAGATTTATCACACCCCCATGTTTCTAGTTTGTATGTAAACACAAGAAGTTCTGTGAAAAACCTTAAATGGTACAAAAGTAAGCAGCAAACTGCCAAAGTTTAAAAAACGTTTTCGTCACGTTTTACAGATCTAAAATTAATAATTAATTTCACCTCATTAACACAAACTGTTCACTGTAGAAACGTGTTGCTGCATCAACTTTCAAGGTTTCATTTCCTTCCACTGCTGCAGAATAACCAGAGAAGGTAGAGACAAAGTTTAGGTGAGCAAAAAACAAGTTATTCTGCAGCAGTGGAAAGAAATGAAACACATTTCTACAGTAAACAGCTTGGAACAGCCTGTTAATACACCCTCAGAAGCTTTATTTGTACTATATTGTATATATTATATAATATTAATAAGGAAGACAGAGCAGCTGGTCATCAATTGATCCTACAGTGAATAATGAACAAAACTCCTTCATTTAATTGTTAATTTTAGATCTGAAAATGTCAGTTTTGGTGACATAAACATAGCTTTTAAATTTTGTACCATTTAAGGTTTTTCACTGGACTTGAACAACCTAGATTTACATACAAACGAGAAACACGGGGTGTTCTAAAACGTTTGACCGGTAGTGAAAAGGTATTTAAAAGCTGACAGGCTCTTACAGCTGTTAGATAATCTGCCAAAGTTTAAGTGTTATTGTGACATCTGGTGGTTTTTCTAAAAACTGCACTGCTTTGATTTAAAGGGTCACACATAAACATGATTTACCTCAAATTTCACAATGTGTGCAAATAAAGAATGTTTGAATTACGAGGTCATTTTTATATAAAACATCTGTTATCATTTAAGAATAACTAAAATATTTAGTGTTCTGAAGTACTCGGGTTTCTGTTTGCAATAATCTCCAGTTTCATTTTATGTTGAGTTCTGATGACTCCATTACTCAAATCATATTAATAAAAACTTGCAACATGAAAATCAAAAGATGCATAAAGGTTTTTTATCTTTATTTTATCTTTTTGTAACGTTCAGCAACAATATAAAAACATCTGAAAAGCCAGTTCTCAAAATGTCTGTTAAACTTACACATCGTAGATCGAAGGATGTAAAACTACAAAACATGAGGTATAAAGTTTATAATTGCACATTAAACAGTCCTGGTGATCTTAGAGTCCATGTGAAGGGCCACTTTAGTCCACCTCCTCAATGGTGGGCCCCTGGGAGCCGGCTCGTGCCTGCTCTCCACAGCTTCCAGCGGGCATTCCTCCCTGATACAACTTGCTGATGATGGGGTTACACACTTTCTCCAGCTCCTTCTGCTGGTGCTGGTACTCCTCTTTATCAGCCAGCTGGTTGTTCTCCAGCCAGCTGATGGTCTCGTCACACTTCTCAATCAGCTTCTTCCGGTCCTCCTCGCTAATTTTGCCCTTCACCTTCTCGTCCTGCACGGCGCTCTTCGTGTTGAAGGCGTAGGACTCCAGGGAGTTCTTGGCGGAGACTTTCTCCCTCTGAAGGTCGTCCTCAGCTTTGTATTTGTCGGCGTCCTGCACCATCCTCTCGATCTCTTCCTTGCTCAGCCGGCCCTTATCGTTGGTGATGGTGATCTTGTTCTCTTTGCCGGTGCTTTTGTCCACCGCAGACACGTTCAAAATGCCGTTGGCGTCCACGTCGAAGGTGACCTCGATCTGCGGGACCCCTCGCGGAGCGGGCGGGATTCCCGTCAGCTCAAACCTGCCCAGCAGGTTGTTGTCCTTGGTCATGGCTCTTTCCCCTTCGTAGACCTGGATCAGGACCCCGGGCTGGTTGTCGGAGTAGGTGCTGAAGATCTGGGTCTGTTTAGTGGGGATGGTGGTGTTGCGCTTAATCAGGGACGTCATGACTCCTCCGGCCGTCTCGATACCCAGGGACAGAGGCGCCACGTCCAGCAGCAGCAGGTCCTGGACGTTGCCCGAGGTATCACCCGTGAGGATGGCGGCCTGGACGGCGGCGCCGTAAGCCACCGCCTCGTCTGGGTTGATGCTCTTGTTCAGCTCCCTGCCGTTGAAGAAATCCTGCAGGAGCTTCTGGACTTTGGGGATTCGGGTGGAGCCTCCCACCAGGACGACGTCGTGGATCTGTCCCTTGTCCATTTTGGCGTCCTTCAGGGCTTTCTCCACGGGCTCCAACGTTCCCCTGAACAGGTCGGAGCACAGCTCCTCAAAGCGAGCCCTGGTGATGGAGGTGTAGAAGTCGACGCCCTCAAACAGAGAATCGATCTCGAGGCTGGCCTGGGAGCTGGAGGACAGGGTTCTCTTGGCCCTCTCGCAAGCTGTGCGCAGCCTCCTCAAGGCCCTCTTGTTCTGGCTGATGTCCTTCTTGTGTTTCCTCTTGAACTCCTCCACAAAGTGGTTGACCATGCGGTTGTCAAAGTCTTCTCCGCCCAGGTGAGTGTCTCCGGCCGTGGCTTTGACCTCGAAGATCCCGTCTTCGATGGTGAGGACGGACACGTCGAAGGTGCCTCCGCCCAGGTCGAAGATCAGGACGTTGCGCTCTCCCGACTTGCCTTTGTCCAGACCGTAGGCGATGGCGGCTGCCGTCGGCTCGTTGATGATCCTCAGGACGTTCAGTCCGGCGATGACGCCCGCGTCTTTAGTCGCCTGCCGCTGGGAGTCGTTGAAGTACGCCGGGACCGTGATGACCGCGTTGGACACCTTGTGGCCGAGGTAGGCCTCAGCGATCTCCTTCATCTTCACCAGGACCATGGAGGAGATCTCCTCGGGGTTGAAGGTTTTGTCCTCCCCTTTGTACTCCACCTGGATTTTGGGCTTCCCTCCGTCTCCGACCACCTTGAAGGACCAGTGCTTCATGTCAGCCTGCACCACTGGATCGTCCATCTTTCTCCCAATCAGTCTCTTGGCATCGAACACGGTGTTGCTGGGGTTCAGAGCCACCTGGTTCTTGGCCGCGTCCCCGATCAGCCTCTCGGAGTCGGTGAACGCCACATAGCTGGGGGTGGTCCTGTTGCCCTGGTCGTTGGCGATGATTTCTACTTTCCCGTGCTGGAAAACCCCCACACAGGAGTAGGTGGTGCCCAGGTCGATGCCGATCGCCACACCTTTAGCTGCAGACATCTTGGTGCTTTTGAATTTGTGTCCTAAAGAAGCAGAGACAAAAATTGGAAAGAAAATTTACAAAAGTTACAAAAACTATTTGTGCTTCTGCAAGGGCAAGTGTGGTCTAAAGAGTCATATCAATATGAAGCCTGGAGCAACTGGGTAGACTAATGAAATAAAATGATCAATGAATCAATAAAACCTTGCAGATCCCAAATGATATATTAATTTTCCTTGGTTTGTTATTTGTAGAAGTTTGGTCATGTGAATAAAAATATGTCTGTATTCCTGAAATTATAACTTATTATTTAAAATATGAAATGGTAATTGTTGCCCTTTTGTGTATTATTACGTTGGTAATTATTTTCTATAAAAAAAGTACTTTAGTTTGAGAGGGCTGTAAATTAAGGAGGCCACTAATGCAGCCTTAATTTGACAGTTTTACAGACAGAGTTTGGTGGGGTTTCATCTTCTGTTAAAGAAAACTGTAGCTAAAACACTAAAACGTGTAACATTACTCACATAATTCTTTATTGACCAATGTGTTAATTTATTACGTAACATTCGCTGTTAAAACCAATAGCATATATTCAGAAAAGAAAACCATACGTTACTGACAAATAATGCAGCCCAAATTTGACAGTTTTACAGACAGACTTTGGTGGAGTTTTCCCCTAAAATAAAACTGTATTTACATAATTCTTTATTCACAAATGTATTCATTTATCACGTAGCTGTTAAAAACAAAAGCTTAAAAACCATAGCGCTGTAGAAGACGCCAGGCTTAAATACACAGTTTTTATAAAGCAGTCTGGTTAAACGTTCGTTCTTTATGTGAAAACTCCCCGTAACGACGGTTATTTCTATAATTTGCGCATATTGATGAGGACATGTCAGTTAAAGGCAACCGTTATTAACTCATCACATAGCCGATATGTAAAATAAATTAAATTTAAACTCAAGCAGCGGACTTACCCTCGTTAACAGAGAATAATAGCAGGTTTCTGTCGCTCCGTCTGGCTCCTCTCTTTAGTTTCCCGGTAACTTCAACCGTCCCGTTATTTATACTTCTCCCGCTGCCTTCTGGCTGTTTCTCCAGCTTTCCAGTGACTTTGTCGTCCAATCAGAGAGCTCAGCGCTGGATGCTGTGCGTGATGACGTACCCTGGAGCCTCGCTGACTTTACGTGACGGATCCGCTGCCTTCAGGACGATAAAACAAAACAGGACAAACCGCGTACGTGTGTTTAAAACAGCCGGATTACATTTAATCCAGAGCCGAACCAGACCTAAACTTATATTTAACTAAATTCAGAGTGAAATACAGTAGATTTACGGTGAATATCTTACAATAACTCAAAGCACGAACGGCCTTCCCGCTTCCTGTCAGACATCCAATCAGAAAACAACATTTTAATATAAACGTGTGCTGCGTTCATGATCCATGGGAACTAAGGACACAGTACAACTTTTAAAAAAAGGTTTTAATACAAAAAACACATTCTGTGGGAAACACTGCATAACCACCCCTTCATAAACTGGTGGAACAGCAACCAGGGGCATTTCAGGGTTATCAGGGTATCTTACCAAGGACACTTTGACATGCAATCTGGAGGAAGCGGGGATTGAACCGCCGACCGACCGGCCGGCAACCCGACCTTACTCCTGAGCCACAGCTCCCTTTCCTTCTCACATATCTCAGCATCATGACTCATATTGGTTAGACAAAAAGTATTTATTTAACATATGACAATGAAAAAGACGGACAAACAAAATGTCTTAAAATATATTTCAAAAAGCTTTACTTACAATAAGATACCAAACAAACAGAAACACCTGTAAAAGGTAATCCAGTTACACAACCCTGCATTAAATCCCAACCTCTGACACTGTTTGAGGGGTGTGTGTGTGTGTGTGTGTGTGTGTTATATTTTTATGTAAAATGATGAAAATGTGTACTTCATGTATCCTCTGCTTATAAATCACAGTCCCAAGTGTTTAGTGCAAAACAACAAGACATCAGCAGTTACAGTAACTCAGCAACTTCATAAACTTCTAAAATTCACCGTCAGTTCAAATGTTTTATATTTTTCCAGGTAAAAAACATCAGAAAGACTTTTAATTGTTTTTACATTTGATCAGTTTCAGGCCAAAATCTGTTCGGTTTATTGATTTTATTGCGAGTCTGGAGTAATTATGAAATTTTAGTGTTATATGGTAACCAGGGTTAATAAATTCACCACTTTTAAAAAGAGCTCTTGTTAAATTGACCAGATTAAAGGATGCATTGTAAAACTCAAAGTAAAATAATGAATTATCCATAAATCTGTGTTTAAATTATGAATTTATCACATTTTACAATAGGATGAAAATTGCATTTAAAAACTTTAACTTCGTTATTACAGTTGCTGATGTGTCAGACAAACACATTCCACCTTACAGTTAACTTGTTTCATTACTCCACACATTAATCTTAAGGTGTCTTTAAATCAAAACAATAGAAACTAAATGTTAGAGAAAGAAAACAAATGAGAAAAAATGTGAGATTGCATATTGGTAAATTAGTTAAATTTAAAAGCCATTTTAAAATAAAATTTTAAAATAACAACATTAACACAACACATTAATTCAACAATAAATACAAAACAAGGAAATAGAGTCATTAACTGGTCAACCTAATGATCTTTTATTGGATCTTTGAGTTTATAGCATGATTTAAAGTCAGTATTGAGTTTGATTAAAAGCTTATGGGTGAGTTTATTAACTGATTATAATTAAACACTGAAAAGCTCTGATTGACTCCAGGCTCCATAAAATCATAATTTGGTTGTCGTCACCAAAAAGTTTAAAGTTTCCACCGATGTGAAAATTCTGCAGCTGAGCTCAAATTATTTCACATGTTTCCAGCACAATTATTAGAACATCAACGACTGGACATCGATTAGTTTATCAATAGAAAATTAATCGATAACTGAACAAAAACGCCTGTCCCTGTTACTGGCCGGGTCTCGCTGATGTATAAAAACTCCTGTAGACGCCTTTCCTAAATATAGTGTGAGTTCAGTGACTGAAGCAAATAAAAGCCCGACTATTCATTTAAGTTTTACAGTGTTTTGATAATTGATTTTAGTCGTTAAACAAACGGTTGTCTGGTTCCAGCTTCTCTGATGCAACGATTTACTGAACATGTTTGGGTTTTACGCTGCTGGTCCAAATGTTTTTTGAGTACATCAGGTTGTGTGAAGTTATAAATAAATCAATTATTGAGAAAATACAAAACCAAGCTTTAACATTATATAAACTTCTATATTCTTTTGTGCAAAACATCCAGTAAGTTGTAGACAGAACAGGGAAAGAGACGATGAATCAATCACTGGAGAAAATAATCAGCAGATTAATCGGTAATGAAAACATTAGCTTGTTGAAGCCCTTGTTTTTTAAATCAGGTGTCATTACACCAGTTTCTCTTCTCCTCTATCGACTCTTTTCTGTAAAAACTCCTTCAGCACAAGAAGCCGAGCTGGAAACAGGTGGAAATATTTGACTCCAGGAGCAGATTTTGTTGCTTGTCTTAAGGTAAATTAATCTCAAAAGGCTAAAAAATATGAGACAGAGATTTTGACTCTATGAAAGGAGAAAGAGGGAGAAGAGAACCGGCACAATGGACAGCAGCAGAGGAAGCGAGAGGGAAACCAGGTGAACGGTTCCAGAGGCTGAACCCGAGAAGCTGACGAAGCCCGGCTGGTTGGTGCTGATCTGGCTGTTGATCCAGGACTGATACTGGGACACTCGGGCGTAGACTCCGGGGAAATTAGGTTGGGCGCAGCCTTCTCCAAAACTCACCACTCCAGCCTGGACCCAGACAGAGCCGGTTTTAGTCACCAGCGGGCCGCCTGAATCCCCCTGCAGATGTCAGATATGTCAGTTATGGTACTTTTATTTTATGGGAATAACAAACTGATGCAGATGCAGGATAAACTCTTCTGGAACCAGCGACAGATCTATTGATTAGTGCAACTTCAAACGTGTTTTGCAGACAGACTCACCTGGCAGGAGTCCTTTCCTCCCTGGGCCACTCCGGCACACATCATGTTGCTTGTGATTGTATTGCTGTAGTCGGTGTTACATTCAGCGTTGGACACGATGGGAACACTCACCTCCTGCAGATTCTGGGGGTAAGGAAGGGAAACTGAAAAAGAAAAGGAGATATTAATGTTGAGTCTGCCTGGATTGTCTCACAGCCTGATCTTTTTGTGGTCCAGCAGTCCTTCCCTCTTGTCCCCTGTGTTAAGGTTTGTCAAGCTGAAACTGTCCTGTTTAAATCATCAGTACAAACGATGAACAACTGTAATAGAAAATATCCATCTGTCCATTTTCTGCCTCTGATCTACAGCAGGGTCTTTGTGGCAGCACGCCAAGCAAGGCAGTCCAGACGGCCATGATTACTTCAACGTTCAGAGTCTAAGTTTCAGTGGCATCTGGTGGTGAGGGTTGCTAATTGCAACCAGCGGCTCACGGTGCATTCACGTGCTCCTCGGTTGGTCCCATTTTCCCGAGTTTTGAAGTCGTCCTTCCGACTTCAGTGTGTGTTCATGTGCTCTTAAGTCAGAATGTTGAATCAACATGGACGCTGCTACAAAGATGTGTTGGATTAACATTATCAGAGCGTATAAACAACACACAGACCAGGGACGTGCACAGGAATTTTGAAGGGCAGTTGCTCTGACCTGAAAAAAGGCACTAAACACAGTATCCAAAATGTATTAACAATATAAATGTCACCAAAATACATATGAGAAAAGGAGTTCCTTATATTATTGTTTATTGTTTTTTTTAATCATTATTATTTTTTATTTTTTTCCTTTTTTTTTTATTTGAAAATAAATAATCTAGATTGAATTGACAGATGGGGAAAACTCGCTTCTAATAAAATATTAAATAAAAAAACGCTTAGATTTCGGAAAAAAATACAATCCTTTTTTAACCTTTGGCTTCCCGTACATTCAGTTGCGCTTCTAGCTCGTATTCACTTCTGTTGGTACGTATCACGTATGGTAACTGGGCAAAACTACGCATGATTTGTTGTAGTATGATTGCATAAAGGAAGGAAACAGGAATTCCGGTAGGGAACAGAATCGACTGACGTGCAGGCAGCGCTGCAGCAGTGCAGCCACTTAAACAGAGTTTGCTTTTCCCCTACTGAATGGAAGTGAATGAGGCTTTGCGATCGCGATTATTTTTTTATTTTATTTTTTTTTCTCGGAAGGGCAACTTGAGTCAGGAAAGGCAAACGGGCAGTTGCCCGGGCAACCAGAGCAACCCCCCTGTGCACGTCCCTGACACAGACATCTGGTTCCCTCCACACATAAGTCTTAAGCCCCGGGTATACTTCAGTGTGGACGCCACAGACGCAGACTAATCCTGTTTAAGTGTTTAATTAAAATTCTCACCGCCAGATCGAATGGATCCCCATCCGGTGACCCAGCAGGTCGTCCCGGCGTCAAAGGCGCTGCCGTCCGCTGCCAGACACACGGGTGTGATGTAGTCATTGAAGGTAACAGGTGAGGACAGCTGCAGCAAGGCTATGTCGTTGTTGTGCGAGGGGACATCATAGTTGGGATGCATGATGACCTGGGTCACGGTCCGGGACACCTCGTTTGAATTCGGTAAGTCTTGGGTGTCACGGCCGAGGTAAACGATGAGACTGGCCGGGATGCTGAGAAACAGAAAAGACAACATGTTTAATTACGTGATGGATGCTGGTGCTGTCTGTGCATGGATTTTAGAAAAAGACTAAACTATCTTTGATAAGTGAGAATAAATAAGTGAGTTTTTTTAATTTCAACCGTCTGAAAAAAATAGTTGTTTGGAAATGTTGCTATTCAAATAACTTCTTCTTTTTAATAAGCCAAGATTCATCAGGCCCTATTTAGGGATTAAGAGGGGGAATGAAAGCCATGTGAAATACAAAGTTTTGGGGTTTAATTTCAGGATTTTGAGAGGAAAAGTGTGAAAAAATTGTTTGTTTCTTTAAACTCTTCTAATGTCTCCAGTCAGTTCCATTGACTGAGGAACTGGTCTACATCTGGCGTTGGTCCCCAGGATGAATTTTGCATGTGTTATTGTTTTTGTGTGTAATTGCATGTGTCAATAAAAGTTGATTTGATTTACTGAGTCAGAAGTCACCATTCTGAGGTCAAAATCTGAATTATGAGGTAAAACAACTCTCATTAAATTTCATATTGGCTCTCAATTCTTTTTCTGACAGTCTGATTTTTGATCAGTGGCTGGATCTTTAGCTGCAAATTGCACGGAAAGCTGAATCCATCACAGCTAATCCTCATTTTCAAAAAAATTTGAGAATCTTCCCTCCAGTCAGAGACAAGTTTTTATTTATCCCATACGCAGAGATTAGTATTTTATCTGGTCCCTGTTCTTATTTTGGCAGTTTGCAAAAAAAATAAGTAATAATTTTGTTGTGCTTATTTTTTTATGTTGCCATTCTGCAAAAAAAATTAAAAAATTCAGCTTAAATAAAGATCTGAACAGCTGTAATGGTGTCTGGCTATAAGTAAAGATAAACATGCAGAGTGGTTTTAATGTGGTTTACCCGCCGCACCCTCTTTGCATTTTCTCTTTGTTGCTATACAAGCTCCCTATGTTTATACAGGTGAAGTGCTGAGTTATGTGACAGGATCAGAGCTCACCTGGGGAAACAGTGAGCAGCAGTCAGGACCCACTGATCGTTGATCAGGGAGCCTCCACAGAAATGACCTGAATCGCCGTGTAGACTGGCCTGCCAGGGCCACGACCCGGGAACAGCGTTCTCCCCTCCTACGATCCTGGTGTTGAGCGGCGCAATGCCACAAACTGGAGGGAGACAGTCAGAGTTCATGTATATTCATGTTTTTGGGTCCGGTTTGTTCACAGTATTGTTTCTCTCTGGGTGCCATCATCTGTGTGGATTTGTTTAATCCAGCACGAGCTCGGCTCTCTGTCCAGCTCTTTGGTCTGGATGTCTCAACAACTATGGGATGACTTGTCATGAGATGTGTTTCAGCCCTTCATGTTCCCCTCAAAAGGAACTCTAATAACTTTGGTGATCCTCTGACTTTCCATCTAGCGCCACCTGATGGTGACCAAATACCTGCAGAACTACAGACATTCCCGTCAGCCTCAGCTCTACTCTGTGTTTACTGCTAAACTAAGGTGGCAAACAACAAACATCAGCATGTTAGCATTGTTATTGTGAGCATGCTGACGTTAGCATTTAGCTCAAAGCTCCGCTGTCCAGCACCAACATTTGATAGATATCGGCGTGCAGGAGGGACACCATCAAACACCGTCTTATTTTGGTCTAAAAAGTTTAAAGACAAGAAATAAGAAAGAGAATTATTTGTGCGAGGTAGAGAGAAATCACGTCAAAGATTTATTAGTGACCCCTCGGGGGCCCAGCTGCAAAAGGCCCAATGGTGTGCCAGTGGTGGTATATATCATAACTTAAAACATGTTTTCAGGAAAGTATTGATCTGATAACTATCACAACTCAACAGACTAGCGGTCATACTGTCAGAGCTGAATCCACAGCTATGACAATAATAAACCTATAGGCCAACAATGTGTGACAGCGAGACCGATTTATTAAATCAACATGTCCATAACTTATTAACTAAACAGGCTAAAGCAAATACTTCAATACGATTCGATTGGAAAGACTTTTGCAAAGGATTTTCCATGAACATCACGAACATCAGTGGATAAGAAGTTTTGAGCCTTGTGTGCAGTATTGGAGCGTGTTAGGCCTGCTTCCTTTTATAAGTGTCTCCCAGTCAGAGGTACACGACTCGTGCAGCACTGAGTAGCTGTTTGTCTTTCAAACTGAAAAAAATTCAACAGGACTGCTCAAAGTTAAGAGTGATGAAGATCTCTCTCTTTATGAGCTCCTGTTTTTGATGTCACTTTGTTGGTCATTCTGGAAAATCCACATAACCAGCGGATGCTGAGATGCTTAAATGTTGCTGTTACTAATTGCTAATGAACTTGAGGAATTGGAAAGGGCGGTGTGAACACGGATTTTGACTAAAATATTTGTCATTGTTTGCAGTAAAACCATCCAAACAATGAAATCACACATAAATAATCCATCTATAAACATTTATTAATTTAATTCAACACCATTTTTATGATTGGTCAACAAATGTGTTTATTTATTTGTTTTTTCTGTTTTTATTCAACATATTGTTAATTCTATAGTATTGAAGGATGCACGTAGCTGTTTGTATTCTTCACATAGTCACTATATTTGGATAAATATCTATAATATAATATATTAAATATCTCTCTCTGATCTCTTATCAAATTAATGTTGATGTGTCTGACTGTAAACCTCAACCTTGAAAACAAATCACACCTTAATGTAGGCCTGTGCTTCATTTACATTGTCACAGTATTTCTTAACAAATAGGCAGCGTATGAAATCCAGCGTGATCAATCAGAAAATTAGCACGTTTTAGTAAATCATTACACTGATCCAGTAGCCTATTAGATTTCTCCCACTCTCGTCGTTGTCGGTGCTTTTGCATCTACCTTCGTTTCAGAGAGGACGCGTTGTTTCAACTTGACTCCCTGTCTAGAGACCCGCCCTTATCTGACACTGATTGACCCTGAACCTGACGCTATTAATGAAACCAGCAATGGCAGCGAGTATTACCCAATCAGGGGCAGAAAAGGAGAAAAGTATTCACGGAATGCAGCTGGGATGATTTGCATGGCATGCTGCATTAAAGACAACTCAGAAATACGGGACAAACCACGTCCCGATTCATAGAAATAGAGCCAGGAGGACATTAGCTTAGCTTAGCATGAAGGCTGGAAGCAAAGGGAAACTTCAATTGCACTTAATTCAAGAATTAACTGGAAATGTTGAAAATAACGCTGAAGTAACATTTCAACTGTTTTCTCGAAATGCGGCCCTCTTATTGAGGCCCTGAGACCAGGGGCGTCACTTTCTGTTGAAAAGTGGTGGGGACATTTAAGGGCTCATTTTAGGGGTGTGATGAAACACGTAGTCCACGAGATGTGATAAGGCACAATGTTGGAGTCACGAGAACAAGACAAGAAGATACTCCAATACTATTTATAAGAATTTGGTCGTCCCCAGAAGATTTTGAGCGTAAAACTCTTAATTTTCTGCTTTCTGGTGACATTTTCTGCACAAATTTATGGTGGAAATGTTTTTATTTATATGAAGGGAAACAAAATTCATGTGGCCGGTGACAATTCAGAATATAGAAATATTATTGAATATAATTCAGCGATCAGCAGCTTGGTTTTTAAGCCAATTTTTTTGGACAAGGCAGAAGTGTTTGTTCTATATTTACATTGCATTTCAAGTAAACCTTTGTTAAATAACTTTTATTTGTTATTTAACATTTCTTGTTGCAAGCTAATTTTCAGAAAACTTCTGCCAAACTTTTGACCCCTATGCCTAATACTCAATCATAGAAATCACATGACACATTTACCGGCTGGCCATTAATAAGAAATTCAAATTACAAAAGCAAATATGAGTACAAGTCAATCAGCTGTGTCTAAAACATTTAAGTGTGAATGAATAAAAGAAAGAATGAGGAAGTAACTCACCGTCTATCTGCGCATGGCTGCCTGTATGAGAGAAACACAATAACAGTCAGATGTTTGAATGTGCAGTGATTATCTGCTCATGAAACTAAAAGGGTTTCGACTGGCAAGTGTAGGTTTCTGAGAACACACCCGACCGGTTTCTCGAGTGTTTCTGCGAAAAAAAACATTTTCTAACTTTTTTCTGTTGTGACTGACTAAATAAACTCAACTGATTGTTTTATTACAGTAGAATAGACAGAGATAAATATGTTAATTTAAGCCATCAGTGTCAACACACAGTCAAATTGCCGGTTCTTCTTTTCATTTTTATTCAAATAGTTTGGCATGTTGCTACAGGTAACTTCCCTTTGACTTTATCTCACTTGTGTGAACTGTTATCGCCGTATATAGAGAGGAAAACCTCTTTAAATACACAGACACATGACTTTAAGTGTCTGAAATTTGCTATTAAGATATAAGTACACAGAAACTTCAATCTCCTTTATCTAGTTCTTTTCAGTGTGAACACATCAGGTGATCCACGCTTCTTCTCTGCTCTGACAGTATTTAACAGAACTCACCTGTAGCCGCAAAAACCACGAACACGGCGCCACAGACGAACAGCTTGACCTCCATGGTGCGATTCTTCTTGTCTTCTGATCAACGTAGGAGCTGAACAGCCTGAAACAGGAATCAAACAAGCCTCCAGGAGCGTCGGGCAGATGCGGTCACGCTCCTGTTTGAGGCCACACCTCACACACTGACACACTAACACACCTCACACAGCCTCGCCCTTCTTCACAAACAAACATTTTTCTGTGGCCCCGAGTGTCGCACTGATGCCGCCGAGCCTGCTTTTAACATTCATTTAAACAGGTAATTTACCTGTAATGACACCTGGCTCATTTAGATCACTCTGGAGAGGCCTGTTCTCACTTTTTATGTGGTTAAAGACACATTAAATCTATTTTTATTATATATTGTTGGACATTAAAACAACAAGGAAAGCGCTTTAGTGTTGCACAATTTGTTCTTGCATACCTGTGACTTTGTGAAGAAGCCAACGAGGCAAAAGGCAGAAGGTGTGGCGGGCAGATATTCCTTCCTGAGGACTGTAGTGGATGAATTATTCATGTAAGTAAAAGCACCAATACCACACTGTAAAAATACTTTGTTACAAGTAAAAGTACTGCATTGAAAATATTACTTAAGTAAAAGTATAATCAGGTACTCAAAGCTGAAATAATAATGTCCCCTGTGACTGTTATACTAGTATTACATCATTGGATTATTATTACTCATGCATTAATGTGAAAGCTTAATTTGCTGATTTAGAGGTCAAATTATTAAAAAGACATTAAAATAAGCAGCATGTTTTCACATTTGTGAATCAAGAGATGTTTTTACGTAAAATAACTTAAATGATTATGAAAAAAGTTGCCATTGAAAATTTATGTCAATCTATGTACCAGCTATAAAATGTTTGGGTATTTTAATTTATAACAAAACATCATATTTTTTAAACTCTTTATATGTTTTGCGAGTGAGCTGTCAGATAAATGAAGTAAAAAAGTAAAAAATCTCCCTCTGAGATGTAAACGTGTAGAAAATACAGTACTTGAGTAAACCACTGCCTGGTATGACCACAGTATGATCAAGTTAACTAAATAAATAATAAATAAAAACAACCTGTATTTATTTCCCTGTTCATATGATATTATATATTTTAAATGGTTATATCAATATGTTACTGATGTTTGATTCTGTTTAGTAATTAGTTCATGACAACAAACTGATCAGGGAAGAAAAACACCTGAAAGCCTCATATTTCCCCGGTGAACGTGAACACTGGAAGAAGTACTCAGATCTTTTACTTACTGTAAGTAAAAGCTGTAATACCACAAAGTAAAACGTTACATGTGCCATATTCTCTGTTTCATACTTGACTCATGTGAAATATTCTGGTTTGTTCTGTCCAGTACTGCAGTTTTTATCCTTTCCATCTCTCAACATGATCAGTACTCACTACTTTTAATCCATTAAACTTTTTCCATGAAGGCCACTTCTGACCAGACTCATCCAGATTTATGAAGTGAAGTAAGCACGCTGTGACTTTCATCTGCTGCAGTGAGTTTCTTCGCTGCATCTACAGTCCTCAGTGTTGCCTGTTTCTTTGTGTTTATTCTAAAGAGCCTGGACAGCTTACCTGGAAACCCTTGCCTGCCTTGAAATGTCTGCCTGACCAGACCAGACCAGTCTGCCAGACCTTACTGATGCAGTAAAAATACCTCGTGTTTTGTGGCTGTGTGTTTGATCTTTTCTGAGTTTGGCTGTTCCTCACATATGTTGCAGTACAGCACAATGCCTGCATCCCTGGTGTTTCACCTTGAGCTCAACCCCTGCGCTTACTTACTTAGTAAGTTGCCTTTATTTACCTGTTTAAATTAATAGAAACAATTTAATTTTCAATTAATTTCAAACAAAAACTATTACAGCTGTTCAATTACAATATATGACTACATCTTACATTCTACAATTTTGTAGAACTTTGCATTTTGCATTTGCATTTTGCGGCACTGGAGAAACCTGCTGCCTGGTTGTTGTCTTGGAGCGATTACATTTGTAAGCCTAATGAAGGCGGTGAGAAAGGAGGGGTGAAGGGGTTTCTTTATCATCCCCCTGTGGTTCCTTTAGCTTTTCCACGGGCTCGCCTGTAGGTGATCGTGCTTTTTTTCATTAGATCATCCCCAAACGCTGAGACCGTCAAGTCTCGTCTTAAAACACATTTTTGTTCTTATTGTTGTTATTTTAATTGCATAACTTTGTACTGCACTTTGGTCGTTTTTAAATGTGCTTTCTAAATAAATTGACTTGACTTAAGAATCAGAACAACAAATATTTTTGTCAGACATATCACATGTTGCTTTGAGGGTCAGAAATGTACAAACAGTTTTTGTCCCAGTGCTAAATGAGTGAAGGAGAATGAACCCTAATAACAACAACAGCCACGAGCATTTTTCTCTGCTGGTCATAAGTCCTGTTCTTCATATGGCTTGCAGTCATAAAGAAAATTTCTACTGGAAAGCAGCTGGAGAGGAAACAAGATCATTAAATTTATATAGAACTTGTCAAAACCAGAGATTTCCACGTTCTTTACAAGAACAAATACAAATGGATTTTATGGCTAAATCATAAAAGTGTTGTTCATTTAACACTGACCTACATGTGCTTTTCAAATATATCTGGCCTGCACACACACATAAATACAGACATGCAAACAAATGATCCAAATTAAATAAAAAATATAATTCAGTATAATATAATATAAAAAAATTATTATCAGCAAAAAGTATGTGTTTATAAATCAATATCAGTGAGTAAAAGCATTAACTAGTATTTATTTATTGTGTTCCTTTGGTGTTATCTGCTGGTGATCTGCAGGAAGGACACATGTGGCAGACTCCAGCCAATGAACCGTTTTTAATACCATTAATATTTCAGAGGCTTTCATACTTAGACCTACATCATGCATTAAATAACTTTACTTATACACAAACCAAGCTGCCGAGCTCAGGGGCCACAGCTCATGTTTTGCTGCACTTTCTACACAGAGAAATCCTGATTTGAATCCTGCTTCATTTCCTTTATGTAACATCTTCAAGTCCTTAAATGAAAAAAGTAGTGATGATATCCGAAGTTGTTTTTTGTGATCTGAAACCAGAGAATGTCAATATTTCACTATAAGATAATATACAAAGACATATACACCACAGTCTGTAGGCCGATCTGAAACATAGGCCTACTATGCAACCATAAATTGTTAAAATGTAGGTCAAAACGTATAAATTACAGAAGATTAAGTTAAATTAAGCAACTCTTATATATGTATATTTAACAGAATCATATGTGTTAGCTTATTCAATTTACCATTATTTACCTTTTTACTGAGCTTTTTAGTACCTTACTTTACTATCTTTATCAGCATTTGGAAATGTTACAGTACAAAATGTTGTCTGGTGTTATTAAACATGTTTATGTTGAATACAGTGTTGGATAAAATGCTGTTACACTGTGTTTTTGTTTTTTCATACGAAAAAAGCCGTTCACCAATACTCCGCCTGGAAAACGGTGTATTTTAGGCTTTTTTGGTCGTCTGATTAATGGACAGTCTTGTGAAACACATTTTATTAATTTGGACTAATCACTAATGTCTTCTCAAAATATCGGCAGCCGAGTTCAGCACCGACTGTGCTTTTAAAACCAGGGACATTAGTGTTCAAAGGCTAATTTGTTTGGGTTGATTAATGATAGTATTACACGTATTTACGCGCATATGTGTTACGTTGTGTTTTCTATCCAGCCTGTCTATATTTGCTCGCTGTGTTTGTACTCGGGGTTTCTGAATTCACTGTGAATTTTATTGTTTTTAAAACGCAGACTTCGCTCCCGCAGTTTCTCAGTGAGACCAGAAGCTTGTAGAAACTTCTGAGGACACGCAACCGAGTACGTCATCACGCCCCGCACCCAGCGCTGGGCTCTCTGATTGGACGACAAAGTCACTGGAAAGCTGGAGAAACAGCCAGAAGGCAGCGGGAGAAGTATAAATAACGGGACGGTTGAAGTTACCGGGAAACTAAAGAGAGGAGCCAGACGGAGCGACAGAAACCTGCTATTATTCTCTGTTAACGAGGGTAAGTCCGCTGCTTGAGTTTAAATTTAATTTATTTTACATATCGGCTATGTGATGAGTTAATAACGGTTGCCTTTAACTGACATGTCCTCATCAATATGCGCAAATTATAGAAATAACCGTCGTTACGGGGAGTTTTCACATAAAGAACGAACGTTTAACCAGACTGCTTTATAAAAACTGTGTATTTAAGCCTGGCGTCTTCTACAGCGCTATGGTTTTTAAGCTTTTGTTTTTAACAGCTACGTGATAAATGAATACATTTGTGAATAAAGAATTATGTAAATACAGTTTTATTTTAGGGGAAAACTCCACCAAAGTCTGTCTGTAAAACTGTCAAATTTGGGCTGCATTATTTGTCAGTAACGTATGGTTTTCTTTTCTGAATATATGCTATTGGTTTTAACAGCGAATGTTACGTAATAAATTAACACATTGGTCAATAAAGAATTATGTGAGTAATGTTACACGTTTTAGTGTTTTAGCTACAGTTTTCTTTAACAGAAGATGAAACCCCACCAAACTCTGTCTGTAAAACTGTCAAATTAAGGCTGCATTAGTGGTCTCCTTAATTTACAGCCCTCTCAAACTAAAGTACTTTTTTTATAGAAAATAATTACCAACGTAATAATACACAAAAGGGCAACAATTACCATTTCATATTTTAAATAATAAGTTATAATTTCAGGAATACAGACATATTTTTATTCACATGACCAAACTTCTACAAATAACAAACCAAGGAAAATTAATATATCATTTGGGATCTGCAAGGTTTTATTGATTCATTGATCATTTTATTTCATTAGTCTACCCAGTTGCTCCAGGCTTCATATTGATATGACTCTTTAGACCACACTTGCCCTTGCAGAAGCACAAATAGTTTTTGTAAATTTTCTTTCCAATTTTTGTCTCTGCTTCTTTAGGACACAAATTCAAAAGCACCAAGATGTCTGCAGCTAAAGGTGTGGCGATCGGCATCGACCTGGGCACCACCTACTCCTGTGTGGGGGTTTTCCAGCACGGGAAAGTAGAAA